CGAAGCAAATAACAGAGGACAGAAAACGGCGAATAAAAGTCGCGTCAGCTCGACGCCTCGGGGCTGTATTTTTGCCCGAGCCGGACAATCGATATAGGCGTTTCGGTACCGCGGGCATGAGAGCAAAGAGTGACGTGGGGAAAAGGGGAGAGGTCTAGGCTAGACCTCAACGAGCGTCCGGGGTACAACTCACGGGGATTACCTTATTAGCGTGCCACACCGTTTGGATCGATAGAACCTCGCGGGAGAACGTGCCACAAGTGAAAAAATGTTGTTTCGGTAGACGTTAATTATCCGGGGAAAGTTATTATTTCAGAATGTAAAGAAAGCAGGGAAACTTCATGCCGCAGATCTCGTGATGTATTTTTAATAATTTTTCATTGAAATTTTAACAATTGTACAAAAATTTATGGAAAAGAAGACATTCCGTCATTTCCTCATTAATTTAGGTTTATAATTGCTTCAAAATCATTATCGGATTTATGATAATGTCTATCTATTATCCATTGCGGCGGCAAGGGGGATGTAATGTCAATCAAATCGACAAAAGGAATTATTCCTCATTCACTCTTTTCTCATTGAGTTAATTCTTCCCTCAGTGGTGGCACCTTTAGCCCCATTCGACCTTTTTCTTTACCTCTTAGCGATCTTCTCTCCGCCTGCGCCAATAAATCGAACGGCGCTCTCGCGCCTCGCCCCGCTCCTTGAGTCTGTAGTGCATACGACACACAAAGGGTCCAAAGGGATTGAAAAGAAACCCGACGGAGTCGCCCTTCATTCCTCCCCGCCTGTAAATCAATAGTCCAATGGATTCTCAGTCCCTTTTTCCTACTATTCCCGCTATTCAACTTTTCCCAGAAGTCGTTTAAATCCTTTTTCCGTTGCTCCGAGCCAATCCACATTCTTCCGTTTCCTCTGTCACAGGTCATTTTTATTTGCTGTTTGTATCATTGTTTTTTTTTTTAATTCCCCCTGTTTTCACCCCACTCTCACCTATCCCAGAACTGACGTAATGGCAAGCGCGACCTACACACTGCGCCAACGGAACAAATAGGGTGAATGCCAACGCGCTTTCTACGACTATGTGAGTTTCTATAAATAAACCACACTGGAAAGCTCATTGCGTGCTACTGGAGTGGCACCTGTAGATGAGGAGAGGGCGGGAGAGAATCAAGTGGAATATTTTTATTTTTCAAATTTTCAAAGAAAGTGTTTTTGCCAACATTTTTTTTAGTAATTTGCAGAAACATGATAATTTCCCAAATTACTTGAATTTTCAATAAAAACATGATTATTTAGTACTAAATTACAATTAATTTTTGAAGTAATTGAATTAAAGCTTTCCATCAATCAAACTGTCACTTTTCATCTTGAAATGCGTGCTTCGCATTGTTAAAAATAAATAACAATAGAAAATGTTCATACCCCTCGGTTCGGAGTAATTTGTTGAGGGATTTTCCCCTCCCCCTCGGGAATTTCCATTTTCCGGAATTTTAGACTCCACCATTTGGGATTTCTCATCCGGACAGTTGACGTAACACTATAATTTACTCCATCACCCAGTGCTCCTAAATTTCGTAACAAATTCTCTCTCCATGTTTATTCCGTTTGTTTTCCGCGTTTATTTACTCTTTAGCTTCTCACGTGGAATGAAAATGCCTGCACCACAGACAGATTCCAGGGATTGTCGGGATGCCTAGTGGGTAATGACGCGGCTTTTCAGGTTGAGCCGACATTGCAAGAAAATGTGGGCCACTTATACTTGCAACCGGGGCAGTTTGTATTATTGGAGGATGCGCCTTTTCCTGTTTTCTTTTTTTTTAATCATTACTCTCCCAGCTAGAACAGAGAAAAGGGGGTAGAAAAAAGGAGGAGCAGCCGGGTAAAATGATGGGCTAGCCCGGAGAAAGGGCGAGGGAAAAAAAATTGCAGGAGGAAAACTCGTTAGAAAAAGTAATTTAATATTTTTTTTCTGTCGTTATACGGAGATTCGAATCTGCGCACGAGGTTGAATTGTGGTGAGAGGAGGTAGAGAGGAGGCCCAGTCGTGCAATTTCATCGGGGGTTCGGAGAGAAGTAAATAGATAAAACTTCCTGATGGTCGATGGGAGGAAAATGAAGGAAGAAAAGTCGGAAAAAAAACCGAGATTTCCGAGTTTTTTTTCACAGAATTGCCTCAACTTTCTCAACCACAATTTTCCAAGGATAAATTAGAACGCCTTTGACGCGACTTGATTCATCATTTCAGTTTAATTACTAAATGGACAAACTTCAATATGGTTCGGATTGTGAGTAGTTTCAGCGGCTGGACGAGATAAAAATCCTTCTGTATCGAGTTTTCAATCTTTAAACACAAGATAATGCCAGGATGCCTTCTGGGACAGACAGGGAAATTAAATTTTCCTTGAGTCGCTTCTCTTGATGGAAATCACCATGATTCTTCCCAGGAGGGTATGCCGGGGATGTTCTGGAGAGGTGAAACGTTGTTATTATTCTGAACATGAATATCTTCTTGAGTAGTGGATTGACGAGTGAATTTGTAAAGTGAAAATCTGCCACTGATAATCAGCACTTTTTCACTGATCGCTTTGAGCCTTACAAGCAAAATTTTGAGTGAAAAGCCCAATCTAGAGTAAAATAGTGACTGTATGAAATTAGTTTCCTGAACACCATTGATATTGAGTAGAGTCGGTGTTGAAAATTTCAAACAACGACAGTCAACAGTCGACGTTAAAAGGAAGAATACAGAACCACTGTCCCCGAATCTCCGACTGCCACAGCCGCAAAATCCCCCCCCCCCTTAGAATTGCAGAACCAATAATACCATCAAATACCGTCGACTCTCGGTCTCGGAAGCAGTCTTCCGGCTTTAATATTTCACGCCTCTGAGTGTTGGCAGTATTCGGCCCGTCAGGATCTCGTAATGTCGGAAGTTATTCAAACCAATCCCATAATTGCCGACATTTCGATGGGCCCTTGCAGGTCCGACCAGCAGCGTTGGTACAGAACAATTACAGTGGGTTATCACCACTCCGTCAACAAATACACAAGCCAGTGGGAGTTCTGATAATCGATCCACGTACCTTCTAAACTGCCCGACAAGTTTCGTCGCCTTGGGCCAGTGAATTTATCGGATAAAACACGATTGTCCAGTGTTGGCGCACAGCTGGAGGCACTTCCTAGCGATTTTCATGACACACCATGACACCCCCAGGGAGTCCCAGGGTCTCAGTCCGATAGATAAGAAGACCTCAATTCTGGGAATGGTAAGCTGGTCATGATTACCCAGCGAAAACATCGAAATGCTCTTAAGGCCTCTCACACTCCATCAGAGGGACACCATCTGCCGAGGGGTTAATCTTCTTTGCAACTATTCTACATTGCAGGAAAATTCAGACATTTAATTTATTCTATCGATTTGAGCTTTAGGCTTGTGACGTGGGTAGAGAGACAATGGGGAAATTCAGGGCTTCAACATGCATTTTCTGTAAGAATGTGTGTAAATGATGGAATTCCCTGCATTTTCATTGACAGTTTCTGAAGATTATTCCGTAAAATTTGAAGCAATTTTTGTTTCTAATCATTCATCAACATCAACTAATCATCTAAAATATTCCCCAAACTTCATAAAATCAGATTCCTATAATTACCTCTCCCTGAATTCCCAGAATCACCTTACCTGAAATTATTCTCATCATTAAACCCCCTCCCCAACTAACTTTAAAGTGATCTCAAATTTTCTAGAGCACAACGTGCACCTTTTCTCTCTTTCCCTCTCTCTCTCTCCCTCTCCAAAAGGCACAGAAACTTGACAGGAAACTTTGTCCCAAGATTATACACCTTGACTAAATGCAAATTCGCCAGAGCCTCTCCAACACCCCTCCAACTAAACTCCTCCCCATTTCCCTTAGCTGGTGCTCCCAGACTGCCTTGAATATTCACTCTAATTTGGTGATCAGACGACGCTAGTGTGGCCTCGTTGTATGCTATTCCCCGAGACCTTCGACATCGCAGCACAAACCCACCAAAATCAGGCTCCCTCAAATTATAGGGACAATGGCTAATGGCTTCCGGCATTCCACACTCAACGAGACGTATTATATCACCTACATGCGTCACTCGGGCGGGTTGAGGGCATGTGTTATTCACGAAAACCGACGGCGCTATTCATCTCTACTGGCACTTGGTGGACTTTCGTGTCTACAAACTTGGTATTACTGTGATTGCCTACTATAGGCTATGAGGATCCAGGTGGACATCTTTTGTCTTCAACTTCAATGGGATGTTGCTGGGATACGTATGTTCAGGGTTGATGATAAATCTTGATGGATGACAGCGAGCAAATTGCTCATCTCGTCTCAGTTTTCAATACGTCAATTATACTGATGTTTTTTTTTCAATTTTTTCTTCAACACGTTGAATTCATAAAGTGAAAATGTCATCATTCACCTAAAAAACATCCCATTCCCCAATTAACTAATCAATCTCCATTGTTAGACTAATCTTCTCCCCATGAACCTTTTCAAAAACCTCCACCGACTCTTCAATAAATAACGTCACGTCAGGTCGGTTCATCGACCTCCATCACGCCGGAGACCTTCGCCGGTGCAACATTGCATCGTTTTCCAAGATTATGCAACGACCCACCCGAATACCTCCGGACGTCCATGTATACCATTAGCATCTAAAACGGGGATATGAGATAGACCCGGAAAACACATCAGGCTATCCCGTTCTGTTGGCATTTAACTTTGATCTAAAAATCGTTTTTTAACTGACAACGGAAAAAGGTAATGGAGATATTGGAGACTCTCGTCACGTTCGAGGCTGCACCGCACGCCTCCACAGTGATAAGAAGGAACGATTTTTTAATCGCTCTGGATTTTTTGTCCTCCGTTGGGCTTGCGACCTGCGCAGGAAAGATTAAAGGCATGTCAATCTTGGCCTATAAAGTAGAGGCAAGTTGTCGTAATAGTTTCAGTCGCGGTTGAAAAATCGTTCTTTCAAGCTTGCAAGAATGAAGAGATCAATAATGAGGCGATCAATTTCGATCGATTTCTCTTTCGTCATTCTACTCGTATTGAGTGTCTTTGATGTGAAACCATCGGGTTCTTGGTCCATTGGCGTTAGTTATCCAGAGCCCGAGTCCGGGATTGACGACTCCAAGGAGACGCGGAAGGAGCGATTGAATCTAATCTATCCAGGTGAGAAAAAGATGAAGAAAAAGCCCTGAGCCCTGTGTAAAAAAGATCGAATGAGGAATGAAAAGAAAACGATTGTGGAGGAAATTCATCGCTAGCTCTTCAGCTGACTCTGCAACCAGTCACATTGATTCTTTTCATCCCTGACACGGGTTTTCCAGGGGGAGCCAGCAAACGCCAGTGAATTACCCTCGTTACAGTAGACCAGTTGCAACGCTAGTTGCTTGGTTACATCTACATTTATATTCACTACTCTTCTGTCTTCAATACTAGGTACAAAGTGGTGTGGAAGCGGAAACGTTGCGGAAAACTCGGAGGATCTTGGCCACTTTCCTGTGACTGATGCATGCTGTCGTGATCACGATCAGTGTGATGATGTAATCGAAGCTATGGGAACTCGGCACAACATTACCAATTCAGCCTTCTATACCAGGTCTACACAGAGAACGAATGAATACATTTTTTTCGACATTGTTGCTACGAAAAGTGCATCATCGTTTACCAGAGATTTATTTTAATTTTTACATTTCCCATTTGCAAATGGCGAAAAAAAATGCTAAAGTGTCTTTCACACAGCCAGAAAAATCCATCTTTTCACGTACCATACCTAGAAATTTATAGAGCACATTCACTTGCCACGATATCCGTCTGATTTGAACATGACATGTTTGTAGATGCAAGAGTACTCCATCAGTCCCATTTTACGATCCAATTTTTTATTAAAAAAACCCTCAGGGTCGAGTGCTCCTGCGATGAAAAATTTTACGACTGCCTTCACCATTCAGACGACAAGATTGCACCGCAGATAGGTACATTCTACTTCAGTCTCCTGAACACCCAGTGTTTCCGGAGAGACTATCCGATCATTTCGTGCAAACGTTATTCCACGTGAGTTTTTTTTTCTTTTCTCTTCTTTTCTTTTCAAATCCATTGTGCCATTTCGATGGACACTAATGGACCGAAGAAAATAATTCGCCAGTTGATTTTATTGGAGAATTTTTTTGAAACCCGAGCGAGCTCTCCCGACAGGTATCCGAGACGCTGCGTGGAATACGATCTGGACGAGAGCCAGCCGAAAATACACCAGTGGTTCGACGTGCCTCCGTACTGATGATCGTCGGCCCGGAATCAAGTGCACCTCAGCCAAAAGCCGCTCCTCTTGCTGTGAGATCCTTTAACCCGCTCTCTTGATGCTCTTACTCCTGCTCAACTTTTGGCGTTAACTTGAATTTTCATTCAACAACGACCCACTCCATCTAATGGGACTCCAGGGTGGCTTGATTGCCCGGAAATGAATCGTTCAATTTTTACTTTTCTTTCATTTTCATAATGAGTGAATTCCCTCTATCTAGCATTTAAGACGAAAAAAATGCTGTACAGAAATCAAATGAAACTGCAATAAAAAGGCTTTTAACGATAATTTTTCTTCTTTTTGTGTTTTTGTTTTAAATTTCCCATGACATAACATCCACTCTCTGTTACAATGATATATTCTCCGGCAAAGAGATCTCTCGAGCAGACATTACCTCCGTAATTACCCCCTACACGGAGAGAAATATTCAATAAAAATTACCAGAAAAAAGACGTAAAAATTACGTTTCGAAACGTAATCTGGGAGCGAGGTAAAATTCAATAAAAAGTCAATCGTCACGTAAATTCTACGATCTGTTCCGTAAAAATTACTCATCCGTCCGACGCCTCACGGCTAGCCATGAATCACCGTGAGGGGGAGATTTTAACATGTTGCGTAATTTTTCTGGAACTTTTCGTAAAAATTCTTAAACATCCAAGAATTTTCATGTTCTGAGTCATAATAAGTCTTGAAGTTTCCGTTAGATTTTACAACTTCCAGAAAAATTACGTGACTTTTTCGTATTTTTTCGGTGACAGACCCGAAAATTTACTGAACGTTTCAGATTTATTCTCTTATATTCCTATAGAAATTCACTGAAAACGATTCTCGCTTGCAGATTACGTGAAATGTTCCGTAATTTTTCTTGAATATTTCTCTCCGTGTAAATGACAATTTTTAAATTTTCTAGGAGTATCATCAGTGGAGGTGCACTTCGAGAATAAAGACGGTGGTTTCTTTTTGAAACACACGCCACGCCAGTACTATCCATCACGCCTAGACACGGCAATCGGTTCAATCCCAGCGGGAGGTATATCCAATCCGCCATCATCAACGGAGTCAATCCTATCAGTAGACAAGTTCACAGTATTTCAGACAAGCGAGCCAGCCTCAGTTCGTGCGACCTACGGTCCCTTTAGCACCAAGCAAACAGTGCCAGCGCGTTACATAGTTCCTGATGCCCTCGAGGCGTTGCCAGGACCCGAAGTAAAAAGAAATGTGACCTCGTCAAACGCAGCGCTGATGGACGCCCAGGAGCTTGGAACCCGTCACCTTGACATGTCAGCGCACCTAGTTGGCACGAGTGTGGCGCGTGATTCTCCAGTCCTCCGAGTGCTGTTTCACGCGGGGAGTGAGGCAGGTGGTAGACGTCAAGTTCTCCTGGCACGTCATCAACGCATCTGTGTGCTGTTGCACGCTAATCTGCCTGGGAAGCCTCCGCTGTCAGCCGCATGCAGCCCAGATGGTGAGGATGGTGTGTGCTTGGCGCAGATAACGATCCCAGCTGATTGGTGGCCACCTCTGCCAGCACCAGATGCCTCAGGTCGGATGAAAATCATGAAAACACCACCCAGACTCCTCCAAGTGGCGTATTCAGTCCTCGAGCCGAGGACAATCGTCATCGCCGACGAAGGCTCCGATAATTTCGGTGGCACCTCTAGGGCACAGGTCCAGAGTGACTCATCGGCTGGGGGCTGTCGTCCCCGGGTGCAGATTCAACCTGTCACACCTCTCGGCAAAGTGCCACTAGTCCCGAATCGCACGGATTACAAGGAATTAAAGGCTGACGAGGCACTAACACTGCTTGTACCACATGGCCCACTTTACCCCAGATCAAGGCTTCATGTGCCTGCTTTTCTTCATCCCCAGATTCCACAGGACTCGGTGACGTCTGTGGGTGAGCAGAGAGAGCTCACAGCGGGGACACCCGTCGTCGCTGTTGTTGTTAGGTGAGTACGATTCACCATCTCGTTCTTCTTTTTCCAAAAAGACTGGTGAACAACAAAAAAAATTCCCAAGGCAAGCCTCGCCAATTCTGTCAATTTTTTTTTAACCAATTCTATTGCAACAGTACTCAAATTTCTGTAGAATATATATTTTTTGTTTATTTCCATAGATTTTAACATTTCACAGTGTCCACTTTTGGTATCTCGTTCGATATCGCGAAACTGGGTCACAGTCTGAATATTTCAGTTGGATACTAAAAGTAATAATCAGCCGGATGGTAACTAAATTCGTAAATTCTCCGGATTTCTGATCCCATTATCATTTGAAATGTTCTACACGAGGAGTATTGATCGCTCACTCCATAACGACTGCCGTATTTTCGGAATGTTCCAGTTTGTTCACCGGGCTTAATTCAACTCTAAGTTGATTCTGCCATGAGATGATTAATTTAATCATATTGTCATACGATTTTAGAAATCGGTGCTATTTTGGTTTCTTCTGAGGTACATCTGTAAACATTTTAGTATGACATTTAGCTAGCGAAATCTTTCTTCTCTTTTGCAGAAGATTTGCATTTAATTTTACGATGCTTTTTTAATGTTGAACGACTATTTACCAAACGCATGACATTTTTGAGATGTTGTTCTGGTGCTTTTTCAAAGGATTTATTAATGAAAATCCCTAATTATATTTTTCTGCAATACTTGTTTGACAGAATTTTTCCGGTGTATATTCGCAATGAATGGAACGATGCAAAGCTCAAGAAATTCCAACAACAATGTAATTCTATTTTTAATTGATGTCTTCCACTCGGCAAAACTCTCCGAGCTCATTTCCCTCGAAATAAAGTTATCTCCAAAGCAGTTGTCATGTCGGAGTCCACTCCCACCCGACTTCTTCCCCCTTAATTGTTTCCTTGGATTTAATTCCAGGGCTCGTGTCAAGTCGGGCGTAAGAATTTTAGAGGCGACATCAAGCAACCCAAACTGGATTCTTACATCGGACATTAATGCCAAGAACACAGCTGCTACATTCACAGTGAGAAGAAAGGAGAATGCACCCCGGCCATCAAATACGTGAGTCTTTTTTTTCAGTTTTTTCTCTCCTCTATCCTTTCCTCTTTCTTATTCCACTGAGCATTTCAAACGTATACACGTAGTGAAGAAGATTAAGTCCCCAAGAATTTCAAAGTGCTTGTCGTCATGCCTTTCAATTGAATCCTTCCTCTGTAGTACTGCAGAGGAGATTATGACGATGCTCCTCGAGGCGAGTGAGGAAGCTGCTGGAAGCAGCAGTTGGGACGGTGGTAGAATCATGTGGAGTGTGCGATATACATTGGAAGGTGATGAGGATGATATTGCAATGCAGACTAGAACGGGACAATCCACGGAAAATGTGCAGTTTCAACGCCAACAGCAGCAGCAGCACCATCATCATCATCATCATGTTGAGAAGAGAAAGCTGCAGGCACGTTTGGAAATACAAAAGGATGACATTCAGGCAGTTCTGCCCATTTCCAAGGTACAACATTTTTCAATGTCTCTTTACTCATTTCCCAATGAATTATTCATCACAACAGAGCAAATCTCAATAATAAAATTAATTTCAGTATTCAATAATGGTGAGGTATGCCGTCAATTATGCGAGACCTATTCACCATTCCCCACCTCCACCTCCACATCCTTCATTATCATCAATAATTTCAAACAATGGAATTCCGATCGTTCTGCTCCCCATTATCCCCCGCGAATTATGAAATTCATCACCTGTTAAACTTACAAAACTCCATCAACTCTCGTTATCCTCCGCGCGGCCATTTACCTAATATCGAATTCCGAATTCACATCGACGAACGGCTGAAACAGTTGTCAATTACTCTCACTCCAAATTACCCGTTCATTACCCCTTCCCATTAATATTCATCACCCTCCGACCTAATGGATTTTTTATTCATCAACAACTGCACCGCACGAAGATTCAGTTGTGTGTAATACGGCTCTAAGTATATTGCCAGTACGATAGCCTGCATAATCAAGGATTACATTGTCAACATAATTGATCAAACCACTGAATTTAGTAACTCAAGTCCAACTGCATTGTTTCAAGAGCACTGAGCGACTACTCTCCCCACAGTGTCCACACAACACACACTTGAAACAGCTCGTGGCGCCATTCATTTCAATAGTTTCAATTTAGGTGTTACGTTTCACTGAGTCGTGGCTACGAAAACGTTGCATTTCAAATCGCTGTGGGTTTTATTCATGTCATAATCGACACCCGGGTCTACGCGTTTCATCAGACAAACGTGAAATGAAAGAAAAAAAAAACAAAAAATCCCCCGGAAACAAAACGCAAAAGATTGAAAAGGAAACAAATAAAAGTACTCAAAGTATAAAAAATATATATCGATGAATTGCTTTTCAAACGTTTCAATAGCTGTGAAATGAAACTGCTAGTGGCTCTCCATTCTGTTTGATTGAATAAACATGAGTTCCCCCCCCAAATCGGATTATCATGTGGTACTGTTTGAATACCCCATGACTATACGTTATTCCCTAGAATAAGGACAATCACGAAAACAACTGTTATGCAGTGGCAAAAGAACTTTTTTTTTGTAAGATGATCCTCTATAGTACTTCCGCATGAGAGAGCTGCTCATTAGTATCATTGAGCAATTCCAGGTGGCCCATCTCTCAGAAGTATTTTTCCTCTTGTTGTTCTTTGTTATTTTACGACGAAAAGACCAGGTCTCTTTGTCATTCTATCCCTGGGAGTAAGCACTGTTGTTTACTGGAGCAGACCTTCACTATTTTTAATGCAGGGAAAATACCTCGATGTCTTTTAGCTGTTTCAGCGTAATTACAAGAATTTTAGTCGTTGATGTTGGTTTCTGTTTTACTTCTCTGCAACTCTTACCCCACTTCCGAGGAATTGCATTAGATGAATGAGCATCTGAGACAATACTGCAGTTGGGTGCATCTATGTTTCGTTGATTTTATGATTTATTATTTCTAATGCACTTTAGTAAAAAATTTCCACCTCAGTGTCTTTCAGCTAGATTATACCGAAGTAGTACATTCCTCATACAATCGCCAAGTAATATTTAATAAAGGATTAAGACGATAATGTGAATTTAGCCGAAGTGCTTACTTTCACATGGAAAATAATAGAATAGTCAAGGCTACTCAAGAATATCCTCGCAATATCTCACTTTCCAGCGACGAATCTTGAGTAAATCTCGTCAGATTTACCCAGAATCTATCTATGGAGTTGTTCAAGTACATGAGAATCATACTCAGAGTGTTTACCCAGAGCTTCTTAGCTCCAGGGCAATTCGTTTAGTTTCACTCGAGTTGAGCTTCCCCCCGTTGGATGAAGGAATTGTTCATAATGAATTTGCTCATTAATTTACTCACACGTTTTACTCGACGACTGAAAAACATTTTCATCCCTTCATCTATAGAATGAAACTCATTAAGCTGTCTCTACAGCTAATAGCAATCATCCCCAATTGCTGGGTAAAGCGAAATAAAAAATAAAAAATTTATTAAAACTCGCTCAAACTTTTTTCATTAAAAAATAACAGTTATATCTATCATCCATCTAGTATTTCTGGGGAACAATTACCGCAGCAAAGTGGTTAAGATCTTGGCCCGGCGATATTAAAGAGCGGAAAATTCTAATTGTGAACAATTTGCATCAACTTTGAAGCGCACACCTTCATCAACTTATTCCTCGTATCTCTCCGGCATTTACCATCTAGTTATGCAGTTTAAACCTCCATATTTAACGCACTTGCCACCTCTTCATGGCTGCAAAATTATCTTTTTTCCTTTTATCCTTGTGTTTCAGAACTGGGAAGTTATGAATACTGCTGTACTTACGGGTCGACAAGTATCTCAAGCGATGAAAGTTTTCATTGTCAGTCAGGCTGGCACTGTCGCCGATGTGACATTGCAGTCGTCCTGTCACTCCGAGGATGAGAGTGTTCTCAAAGTAAGTGACAATTGCTCTCAATAATAACAATTGATCGGAAATCACTGTCTGTTCCCTTCTCTGGAAAAAAAAATCCGTCTTGTGTCGTGGATCTAGGTCTCATCGTCGTGCAGCAGTGTTTACGTAGATGGATCGGAAATAAGAGGATCGAGTAATGCCTCTGTAATTGTCAAATACGGGACATACACTGGTTTAGCGAGATTTACCGTGTGGATGCCCGAGTTTCCATTGGAAGTCACTGTTTCTGATTCACGATTGAGCCAAATCAAGGGGTGGAAAGTGCCCGATGGCCATCCAATCCAGAAGAATAAGAGGTATGTCAAGACATTTCATACATGATAATTATTAGGTGACTTATTTGGAATTGGAATGTCACGACAGGTCCCTAAACCACACAGAATCTTCGGCCTACGATATAAAACGTAGAAGTGTCACGGGAATGGACGAAGACGACGAAGAAGATGTTGATGAGGTCGATGCAGAGAGATTCCGCGTGGAGGATCATTGGGACTCGGTGAATTGGATTGATCGTAGTTCCCTGCAGGCCACCTGTAGACTCCGCTTCCAACAGAGCCCCGTCGAGGTTCACGCGAGGTTCCTAGCAGCTGGACACGATTCCGGCCGGGAATCCTATTTCGTTAATCGTCGAACATGGCTCAGAGTTACTGATCTCATTGTTGGTTTATTGAGAGTGTCCGATCCACGCATCGCCACACTACTCCAGGACAGGAATGTCCAGGGCAGGGGGGTGGGACGAACCGAGGTACAAGTGTTGTCACCGATAACTGGAAGGGTCATTGGAGCCAAGGAAATTCGAGTGGGCAATGATCGGGTGTCTATATCACGTTTATCCGTTAAAGTCGTGTCTGGATTACAGTTGAGCATCAGTCCAGACTCGGCTATTGAGAATGGCTACGTTGCGGAAACTTCTGTCACTAGGAGACTAACTGCACAGTATCAAGTAAGTTTGGTATTATATTTCATGTGAATAACATCTGAGTGGACAAAATAATGTGATAATCATTTCAAAGGAAATGCAAAAACGCGCTTAGGTCTGCAGTCTACTGAAGTCCACTGGATACGATGAAATTTTTTAAATTCAAATGAATCATTCCTCTGGGTGCACACAATTGAAATTTATGAAAAATACCATAGGAATTTTTCGTTCAATAACGAAGAATTTCATCTACCTGACATTCATAATTACATCTCGAATAATTGGAGCATTCCGTAATGTACATTGAACGATCCGGACACTAATACATGCAATGTTTGATTTCATTAGAGCGAATTATCTGTGGTGAGCGCAAAATTTAAACTGTCAAGTCACACTTCATAATTCACCGATACCGCATTGAATAATTTCACCAAAGCTACGAGCTTATTATATATTCACGCATGATTGCTTTTTTGCGGGAGTTATCTCCCGTTAAACGTGAATTTCCAGCTGTCACCATGAATCTTTGTTCGTTTTTTTACGGCGTTCAACTTAATTTGCGGAATTTCAGTTGGGCTGTTGAGAATGGGTCATTCATCATTTTTCAATGGACATTTGGAGGAATTTCGGATAAAACAACTATATATCTCTCTCACTCTTTCTTAAAAATTGAAACTTTTATAAAAATTCTTTGAGGCCAAATAGAAAGAACGCAATAATAAAAACGATAAAGTAAACTCTCCAATTTTTGTAATTCAATGTAATTTCACTCATGCAAAAATCTATTGACCATATTGTGACGAAAGCAATTTGTCAAGCTTATTTTTCTCTCCGATAAAGAATAGAGCGAGCCCCTGAAAAATTTCGTTATGCCATGATACTTATCAAACTCGCGGAAAAGTCAAGGAAATTGCTTGTGTTTATTTATTTTCCACTTGCCTCCTCTCGGAGTGTGAAACTAAAAGAAACTCCACCTGATGAAATATCCTCTATCCAACTTGTCGCAGGAAGGACTTTTGGACATTGACATAGAGTTTTCCGACGGCACGAAAACACCACTCCGCGAGATATCAGTCTCGGATTATCACCTTGTTGTTGAGAGTCTCGATCCCGAAGTTGTTGCCTTCGCCCCAATGGTCGCGTCCCATCATCCCCGTGTGATAGCAGTTGGTGAGGGACGTGGTGACTTGCTGCGTGTCAGCCTGCAATTGTCGGATGCCTGCAGAATGTCACAAACAGGTAACCGAAGATCCAAAAGCGCATCAAGGCCAAACGGAGGCTCTCCGAACCTGGCAACTGCCACCGCAAATGTTGAAGTGGATTTTACCTCGAGTGACCTTCCCCATCGACCGGAATTCGTTCAGAACGATGGTGGGGGCGCAGTTCAAGGCTCATCCCATCATCACAGAGAGAGAAAAACGGGACGCGAGGTCGCACCAGATTTACATGACATTTTGATTGGTAAGTTGAATCAATTCTCAATAACTTGAGGGAGGGATGAGTAAAATTACGAACCAGGTTATCGGAAAACTTTAACTTCATTTCAATTGGCGGCAATTGCATTATCTTGAAATGAGAATTTTCTGGGGCTGGAAGAACAAACTTTATTCCCCACCTTTTGAAGAAGTGATCGAATTAATACGAGGAGACATGTCTAAAGAATTTTATCATGGAAAGAGTGCTTGAAAGGGAAAAGAAAAATGACCAAGAGTCATTTTGTTTAATAAGTTTTACCCTCACTGAAATTTTGTATCGAACTTGATAAAACGAATTCAGGGAGACATAACTGAGAATTTTTTATGTGCTAGGGGTGGTGAAAAGATAAGAGGAAAAGAAAAAAAAAGCAAATTTACCATTGATAAAAATGCATATTGAGGGCAATAAAAGCCCAGTTCCCGTTCCCTCCCCCAAATAAAAACACACAATTCATCCTCAGATAAAAGGATTCCATCTCATCCCCAACAAAAACCCTTAAACTATGATTTAGATTGCATTATATTGAAATGTTCAATCCCCGATGTTGAGAAAAAAAACTTGACTCCCCTATTATTGGAAAAATGAGGAAACGAATGCGAGAATGAAATAAAACAAGAATTTCACCATGTCAATAGTGGCTGAAAGGGAAAAAATATTAAATATTGAAGCTGATAAAACCAACCCCTCCCCCTTCTTGATCATTTTTGTAAAAATGATTGGATGAAATTTGATAATTCATCTAAAAAGCCCATACAAGCCCTCCCTCAAATAAATAAATATATAGATAAATAAATAAATAAATAAAAAGACAGCCAGAAAGGCATTCTCAGATAAGAAAAAACCCATAATAACCACAAGTATACTTATCCCCTCAATCCTTCCCCATAAAATTGAATTTAAAATTGAAATTGAAGGTGGAGTGGGTGGAGTTGGAATACATCATCACCCTGAAAAGCCAGTGACACCACTGGAAATCGGGATGTACGTACTCTTGGCGGGATTCTGTTTCGCAATAGTTGTATTTGTGATATCCTGTGTGGTATACGCGAATAAATTCAAGCCCCAGCCATCGGATTCACCGATGCAGAGTCATCCAGTATTAGGTGCAGTGAGAGCGAGAGCAGTAGCAGCAAGCCAACAGTTATCATCGGGTCGTAGACCCCGTGAATCCACCACCAATGCACACGACTGGGTATGGCTGGGCAGAGCTACACTGGAACGTGCTGCCTGTGCCCCTCAACAGGTACGTCAAACCAACTTTTGACATTTCATTTCGAGAAATATCTTCCCCTCTCTCCGGGGACCTTTTTCCTTTGACTGTTGAATGCATTTGGCGGATTGCCCATCTTTTCACGGTACGATTTCACGGTACGGTCCTATCTCAAACTCGTATTTATCACTGCAGGTACGCGTTACGAATAATCCACTGGCTGGTGAAAATGAGGATGATACTGCTGTTGAGTTGGGCACTAGTTTTGATAATCCCAATCATATAGAATTGCCAACCTCTAGTCGTCCTGTTTCCTCGGTACCCATTGATACCACAACTTATTGTAAACGGGATAAACCGAGGAGTTTCTCGGGGAGTAAAGTGGGCGGCAAAAATCAAGGGGAGAAACAACCTACTGGAGCTGTTACTGCGTCACCAAGGAATGGGTAAGCTAAAATTTATTTTAAGGATGAGAAATGTATTTTGAGGGTGATTTGGAAGTTTTGATAAATATTGAAAAACATAAAATGACTATCAACAGTCCAAGGTGTTGACAGATGCCAAAATACAAAATCATAATAATTAAAATCTGAAATGTTGAAAACACTCGACAATTTCTATTTCCAGAAACGATAGTACAAAAGACACCCCTCCACCCCTTCCACCGCACGGTGCGCAATCATCACCCCCAGACAACGCCAACAACAACAATAACAACGAGGATTACAAGCCGCCAGTGCCACCACACCGAAACACTGGAGTAAATGTACGTTTGCCAGAGACACCAAAGAAACATGCCCACAGAGTATCAGGCAGTCATCACCCAGGTAATCATCGTCACGTGAAGCACCACCATCACCACCATCACCACGGCAAGAATCACACTAAAAGTAATAAAACCGACCAAGTACCGAGTGGAGTTGACAACAACGACGAGGAGTTGTTGGTTGAGTTGAGAAATAATGAGGAGAAGCCAAACAAAGAAGCCAAGTCAGCGAGAGAAATCAAGAGAGCGACAATAGTGGGTAATCCAATGTTCTCATCATCAAGTTCGTCATCATCCCAGGAGCACGAGGAGCCAGTGCCCCTTGAGGATCTCAACTTGGGAATGGATTACAACCAGATTATGCAGTATTTCGATAATCTCAAGGAATCAAATGCCTAGGTATTGGCCTCTCTCTACGACTTGGTGGATTCGGAAAGACCCATATGATTACAAATGCGTGGAGAGGGTAATGTTCTTCCTTGATCTTCCTTCCCAGATAATAATTAATGGTGAATTTAATTGGGAATTAACATCACGTGACTTTCTTCATCTCTGAAGAAGGATATGGCATACATATCCCCAAAAGTCGTCATATAGCAAACGTATATGTACGATTAAATATATTCTAGTCAGCTTCCTAGCAGCACTTAAATTTATGCGCATGTTAACAACTTTAACCCTTCACTGGTACATTAATACCCAAGTCTCTCTGTATTTCATGTACAAAAATAAAGTTGTTTCGTAAATATATTAATGAAAAGTCCTCTGCTCAAATTTTACGTTTTTTTTTATCTTTTGATTTTAATGAAAAGAATAAAATGGAGTGAAGAAGACTTGGGAAATCAATGTCGAGGAATTCTTATGAAAAACGTCTCAATGGAAAACGTTATATAGAAAGATGAAATTCTACCGACATTTTCTGCCTATTGTCATCCATTGTTGTTGTTTTATAGCTGAAAAATTGGAGCACGAGTTTGAATTTTCATAGCAGTTTCACTTCTGATTTCAAGTGACTCAAAACTTTTAACTAGATATTGAGAGGCTTCAAAATCCCCGAGCATTCGACACAAACTATTGCGTTCACTCGTACTATTGCAAAATATGGAGCACAATTGGTAGAATGCATAATAAATCGTACAAGTTTTGATAACATTCAGATGCATAATGGAATATCAATAATTACGACAATAGCACGATAAATTACGAAGCCGTCACAAATTGTTCATCAGTGGAAATATGTATCCAAAAGATTTTCAGACATGTCTAAAAAAATGAAAACAATATTTACCTAATTTTCAGGAAGAAACACAAATCAGCGAAACGTGGCAAAATGACAATCAGATAAATGTTATTTTCATTTTCTTAAACATTCCCTGAAATCTCTTGAATATTTTTATTAGCAACAATGAAGATGAATTAGAACATAAATTGCAAATATATATTTTCTACGCTCAAATAATTGAATAATTCATAATTAATAAAAATTCATAAGAAAATAAAAATGATACCAGTTCAGGGTTAAAGAGACTCGGTGGCTTGTAATTAGTCTGCGATTCACAGTGCATCTGTCGATAGATCTCAGAGTTCTTCCGTTAAAACTCAGCGCATAAACACGATTAATTAGTCAATGTTGATTAGTAAAAAAACGACTGATTAACTCTGTGTGTTCCTCGAGTCATATCACCTCCTGAATTCTCTCATATCTATCATTCTTCCCCCCCCCCCTTCCCCCCCCCCCCCCCCCCCNACAAATTGTTCATCAGTGGAAATATGTATCCAAAAGATTTTCAGACATGTCTAAAAAAATGAAAACAATATTTACCTAATTTTCAGGAAGAAACACAAATCAGCGAAACGTGGCAAAATGACAATCAGATAAATGTTATTTTCATTTTCTTAAACATTCCCTGAAATCTCTTGAATATTTTTATTAGCAACAATGAAGATGAATTAGAACATAAATTGCAAATATATATTTTCTACGCTCAAATAATTGAATAATTCATAATTAATAAAAATTCATAAGAAAATAAAAATGATACCAGTTCAGGGTTAAAGAGACTCGGTGGCTTGTAATTAGTCTGCGATTCACAGTGCATCTGTCGATAGATCTCAGAGTTCTTCCGTTAAAACTCAGCGCATAAACACGATTAATTAGTCAATGTTGATTAGTAAAAAAACGACTGATTAACTCTGTGTGTTCCTCGAGTCATATCACCTCCTGAATTCTCTCATATCTATCATTCTTCCCCCCCCTTCCCCTCACCCGCCTCCCCATCATCAACAGCTGCATAAAAAAGAAACTGATGCACAAAAAAGAAATATAATGCACATTTATTTTTCAATTAGCGAAAAAAAAACGTCTGACGGACACCGAGTTACGTTTCATAAAAAAAAACGATGAGAAAAAGAAAATGAATATAAAAAGAATGAAGTATTTATTCAATTGACCAGCGCGTCGTAAACATTTGTAAATTTTACTTTGTAAGATTTTGTACATATATTATAGTTACGCGAATAGTACAACAACTACGAATGAAAACCCGATGTATTTAGTAATTTGTAAATGTTCGTTCACCGATGAAGTGAAATAAATCGTTCACCAATTCGAATGATATTCATTGCAACTATTTATTATCATTTTAATAATGAATTTGATTGATCAATCTTACTCAAGGGTGTTTATAATTACCTTAAAAAAAGATCAAATCGGTGTAGGCATTTATCGACAGAGCCACAAGATTATCCATAATGAAATATAAAACCTTCGACGCGCACTAAAAATTTGAAAAATAGAAAAAAAAATGAGAAAACCACGAGAATTTATAATTCAATTTGATGAAAAATGAGAGTTTGCGCGTCGAGCTGCCGCTTCCTTGCTCCCGGAACTCTGTATTAAACGTTCCAACTGTCTCGACTGAGAATATAAAAGATATTTATTTGAAAGAAAAAAAAAACATCCACGTATAAAAGAGCTTGGCTATGTTATGGACGTTCTAAAAATAGAGAAAAAAAATCTAACGAAATAAGGGAAAATTGTATATCGCATTTAAAGGCTGCTAGTGGCATGAAAAAAGATAGCCACTGTATCACACATTAATAATAAGGCAATGTGAATCACGTTTAACAGGATTATTATCGATTCCACCTCTACTTATTACTGGACAATTATCTTCCCACCAGATAAAATGAAATAAAATACTCACATAAATAAATGAAAACATGAAAAAAGAATGAGAAATATTGAGATGAGTAGTTCATGTGATGAATTGTGACATTACAAATCGGTAATAAGTAGAGGTGATAGCGAATTATCAAATCCAATCAAATGCAGAGTGAGCGAGAGATCCCTTAGGCTTCAATGGTCTATATTTCTAAGTACCCATTATTGAGAAATAAGATTACATGTGTAGATTGCGCCGTGTAGACTATTCATAGAGGAATGGGGAGGATTGTTGAGAGATGTACGTAATAGCGCAATTGAGTGTCCGGAATACAAGTATTATCATAAAGTTTTTCCATGACTCCAGAGTATAAAGGCAATCCCCCCTTCTGCCCACACATTCTAGTCGATAATTTAACGTTAGATTTAATAAATGAAGAGAGAAAAAAAACTATGAGATATGCGTTTGGTTGAGAATAATAAAGATGAAGAGACGATCTACGAGAATTCTAAGATAAATTTATTGAGTTTTTTTTCTTATTTCATGGAAGCAATAGCTTCCAGTGCATCTGTGTAAGTAATTTCGTATGAAAAATATCTACATCATCCCCACTCTGCATATAACTATCGCTTAGGGATACTCATAATTGTCCTACCTCGTTGTAGCATAAATCATCCTCATGCTCATTTGAAAATAAACATTTCGTTGCGAAGTGTGGAGATAAATAGCAACCTTCCTCATGAAATAAACATATTCAATGCATTAATCGTTGATTCAGTATCGAATGATAATTTATCGTTGATTGGTAAATTTTATTGACCACAATTGCCTCCATATTTTCTATCCCACTTCCTCTCAACATTCCTGGGAATGCACGTGTCCCTATGGTATTTCAATTAATCGATTTGATGATAATTATCAATGACATCTATTGGAAGAGTGAATTAACTTGCCAGGGAGAGCCGTGAGGATATTGATCACTAGTGTTTGCCACTTGAATTAATGGAGCAATATTATTATTTTTATTTTTTTGCCGGCATGAATATGTAGGGGAGAGAATGTATGGGAATAAAATATTATTTGGTGGAGAAGTGGTTAAAACGATGATTGAACTTTTTTTTGAGTATTAAAACGCACAATTTGTTGATATTCAAATGATTTTTATAACGAGTGTCTCTAAGAAGAAAAAGTTGAATACGAATGAATTAATAAATTGTCGTGACATTTTCACAAAAAATTTCAGCAGCCTCAAAGTTATATTCCCCCCTGATTAATTCACAAGTTTACCACCTCTCCACGAAATTATTGCATTGAAAATGCTCCTGCGCCAGTCCCCATACGTGTATTGAGTAGATTGAGTGCAGCTTGAATTAATTATTGACCAGAGGGATGCAAGAAAAATCATCGTTAGACTGGCATTGAGACAATTGACGATCAGTAACAAGTAAACCTGTAAACTAATCAATCATTCCTCAAAAGCATTGCAAACGCATGTTTTCACAAATAAAATTGTATAAATATCAATCGAGAAGCGCAAAGTACTGACTATTACGCTTTCCTTTTTTATTAAGATTAAGAGAGAGGAGAAACGATGATATAATGACGATGCGTTGACCGTCGCTGCTCCATTTATCATACTCTGTAAACGCTATTAAGTAATAAGATAAACGACTGTCGCCTATTGAATGTACAATATGTAGTATTTACCTGTTGTTACCACCAAACCGTCAGCAAAGAATATTAAAAAAAATATTGTAATTGTATTTTATGACTATTTCTTGACTATTTCCCTCGTACTCAAAATATGCAGCAATGGTAAGTAGGAATCCAGTGATTGACATTAGATTATTCTAGTTTCATTTGGTTTATTCATTCAATAAGAAACAAAATAATGAAAAAAATTAGAGATACTTTCCCAAGAACCTCATGTCGTACTTGGATATCCACCTGTGACATCCCCCCATATTATTCTGTATGACATATTTCCACGTCCAGGGATTGCAATTCGTTCTCTCCAGCTCTTCCTCTTTTCTTCGCTTCTCTAGCATCCCTTCGTAGGACACAGCTTCGGCCTTGAAGGGCAGCCTTGCTGCTACATTTCTGAGGGTGTATTCCACCTGAAAAAGGGAGCAGTGTTATCTGACTTCATGTGGGTTTTTACTTTTACTCACTTCAAAATACTCCACGTGCCCTCCTACTTCCACTATTACTCTCCCAGCTTTGATTGGTGTTACGTAGTGGTTAATATGTCCTTTTCCACCTCCCATTCGTTGCCCTTGACCCTTGAATTTGAAATTATATTCAAGTCAATTTTCCAGTTTATCCTAGATAGATTCAATTTTAATGCAATGATTGCTTTTTCTGTCTCACCTTCTTGGTGACTGGTTGCCAGGGTGGATCGACTCGCCACATGGCGAATACTTTCCCCGAATCGAGCTCCAAATGCCTCAGAAAGAACATACGAATCATCTCAAAATTTTCATGTCGTAATCTACCACCACCAGTTGCCTAAAAGTATTCAGTGATAATTGAGCGTCATTAATTATGAATATGATAATGAGTATCTCGAGCATTAGTGAAACATTATTTTGCCTGAAAATACAGTATTATTGGCTTCAGAAATAATACTCACGACAATGCCATACTGTTTATGCAGTAACTCAGTATGAACAGGCTCTGGACCCCTCATGTACCTCAATCTTTTCTGCATTTTGAATGGTCTGAGAGTGGGGGGATATTGAGGCACTTTTTCCATAGGTCGCAACCTCCCTTTCTCCGGTAACTCAACATCTAATTGTAAATAAATGAATAGCAATATTCAATAGGAATAATCAATGGATTACAAATACAATAGAAAAACTTGATCGTTCTTAATTTATTAATTACTGGAGATTGGCAGAGTAAAATTACACAATTTCTTTTGTTTTAATTCACTCAAATCGTATCGTTCATTCACCCCAGCCTTTCTTAATTATGTAAACACAAGTGAAAATTTACCTTTAAATTCTTTAGGTGGTGGAAAGCTCTTGAGTCCTGACGATTGAGTTAGCACTACTGTCATCTTTTCAGCTGCAAAATAAATCGAATTATTCAATTCATTATGAAAATAACAAGTGCATGCATCAAACTAATCGAGATGCCATCATTTGTTCACTAAATAATTGTGAAAATTATTTACCTGACAGCAGTCCACGTAGTGAATTGAATTTACTTAGCATCATCTTTGATAAAAATTAAGTATCGTTGTGATGTACAAGATGATTAATTCACAACACCGAATGCACAACGACTGATTAAATCTCACTCTTTCGTGTTTTGATTTGAGGTTAGTTTTATGGTCATTAGGGATTTATTTTATCGACAATGGGGGAGTGGTGGGGGTAACAACACTGTTCTGGAGCGAAAGTCAAACGTGACGATCGAAGGATCATGTTTCAAAAATCCCACTCACGAGGACTGCATCACCAATAAAAAAAAATGAATGCATAAAACCACCAATCATCCTCTCACTGGCAATTGTTGCTTCATTCGAAATAAAACTCATCGATAATGTTGATGTTTGTTGGATGAATTGGTCAAGTTTTTCCTCTAACATAGTTTGACATAATATATCCTCCTGTAGGTATATATCGAATAAGGAAAAGAGCCTCGAGCTATTCTCGTCCGGAAAAATTTATATTATATTCTGAAAAAAAACACGGAATATTGTTTATTCGTCGTTTTTAAAAAACATAAATAACGGGATTTGAAATTTAAGCTAGAAAAATTGGCGGAATCGATCTTCTTTCCAAAGTGTCAAATATTCAGACAACAGAAAATCCCTCTGATCGATGCTCCTGAATTATCCGCAATGTGAATCTTCAATCTCAGTTATCTTTGTCATGATTTATTGAATAATTCAATGAAAGACTCGAGCAATCAATTTTATGAATGATACGTCAACACCAACCGGAAGTAATTCTACAATTTCGGGTTTCTCCGCTTTATTTTTCACGTCCGCAAGAGTCCTTGAAGTCCTTGGAGTTTTTGTCAAGGTGAGATCCCTCTCACCGCTTCACATACGTCCATTAATTTTTTTTTCAACATTCTTGTTCCGAATGTAAATACGAATTTCAAGAAGAGCAAAGTCCAATCTCAATTTTTTCCCTGAAAATTTTTTCCAGTTCTGTTTCTTTCGCGGAAACCGTCATACACTAGGAAAAACATGACGTAAATGATCATTCTAAATCACTTTCACGTATAGAACTTGAAATTGTAGATATTATTAATGGATTTTCCTAATGGTTTCAATTTCAAAGAAAAAGAATGAAAATTCAAGTCCACTCACAGTATTTTCCCATTGAAAAAAAAAGATTCCTCATACTATTTGAAATTTCTTAAAATTTAAGTGATAGTTGCATTTGAATGGTTGGTTGAAATTGGCAATATCAATTCAATTTAAAATATTCATTTTTTCATGAAATCTCTTCTTAATTTTGGAAATTGAAAGAAAATTTTGTTTTTACAATTGTAAAAATTGTAAAAATTAAACAGGTAAAAAGGTGATTTATTTGACATTTCAGAATGAATGTAGTAACTAAAAAGAAAAACCATTTTCAAAGATTTGTTTCCAGCACTGCAACATGAATAAACAAGCCAGGATTGCGTAAAATAACCATGAAGCAGTTGAGTAAGAATTACGTTAACACGATAAGAGCGCGTGTGACTGCTTTCGCTCAGTGCGTGATGACACTGAAACGAGTTTTCCTACATAAATTCAAATTCTGTGGGATTAATAATAATTTCAATGATAATTGCGCTTCTACAATGAAGTCATGGATGAAAATGCCCGTTAATTGATAACAATTATAACTCACAAGTGGCAATGGAAACGAGTGATAAAGCCATAGCTATCAGGTAGCTCTCTTATCACTGCCAATTTGCAAATGCCGACAATGACTTATCACTTTAATTTAGTCAGTGGATTGGGATCTCCGTGAGCGGTGAACTATTCAAGCGCACGTTTTTTTTTCTTTATTAATGGTGAAAGATATGTCTGAGGAACGGGGGAATACCTGCCTCTCATGGAAAATCCAGCGTCGTCTTTACCCAAACGGTTAAACTGTGCTGTCCAAATCGCTTGGACAGTCCGACATCGCTCTTTCATTACTCAAGTGCCTGACTAAGTGGGTAGTGGGTAATGAGTGGTGGATGATTGTTGATATTGTGTCAAATCTTTTTCAACTGCATTTGAACAAGTTATTGGATTAAAATCATGGTCAAATGGAGCGTTTTGACGAGTTTGTTACTCGTTGGATTGAATTTATCTGCAGAGGGTGAGTTTTTAATTTCATGACTGTCTAACTCATTGGTAGTGATTCACTGACACTGGTTTTTGGCCCTACTTTTTTATTTATTTAATGAGTCGTAACATGAATCTAATACACATGCAAATTACACGTGATTGTAAAAAATTATGAAGTGATTAACACTCGCCGCAATCACTTTGGACATTTTAACGTTGTTTTTTTCTAATTAGAAACATTAACACGAGTTCAATACCACAAATGAAGGAATTATAAGTTTTCTATTACATACTCTCTGTTATCGTTTAGTTATCAAACCAAAAACATTCCCAAAATTTGTGATTAACACATGTTTACAATAAAATAAGCAAACTTATTGTTCATAACTTCAATGTCACGAACAAGAAAATGATTTACTTGCAATAAACTTGTCCCTAATTCTTTACTATTCAGAAGAATATGAGTTATCAATTGTAAAAATCCATAAAAAAGTGTGAAAATGGTGATTAGCATGTGTTTAAAGTAAAGTTCTCCATTGTTAATCAATTCAAAGTCATGACCGAGGGAACGATAATTTTCCTATTAAATATTATCTGTAATCCCTGACTACTCAAGCAAATACGAGTTATCAATCGAAAAAATTGATAAAAAATTGAAAAACTCGTGATGAACACGCGTTGACAATAAAATAAAACACTCCATTGTTCATAAATTCAAAGTCAAGAACAAGAGAATAATAAAATTCCCTGGAATGTTCCCCTAATTTTTTTCATTGAAACAAATACAAGGTATTAATGCAAAAAATGGATAAAAGAATTCCGAAACTCGTGACAAACACGGGTTTAAAAATGAACTAAGTAACGAATATGAATGGAAATTTTGTACTCAACACATCTTTCTAATCCCCCTTAATGCATTATTAAACACGCCCACAACATTGATGAAATACCGGCATTATCTTTACAGCGTCAATAATCGTTAACGCGCCTGAGGATGAAGAGCACCTGGATTTGCCTCCCTCCCCCTTTGACTCATCCCACGAGGAAGAGAATTTGGTCGACCTATCCAAGCACCCCTGCCGTCGAGCCTGCAAGGACAATTCCACCCCGATGGAGTGTCACTACTCCTTTGAAGTGGAATCTTACAGGACCATGAGCAAAGCTTGTTACAATTGTCCTCTGAATGTCACTCAGTGCTTTCTTCCTCATTGCATTCCAGCCGATGGCTTCAAACGATCGTTGCAGATTGTGAATCGTCAGTTACCGGGTCCTACCATCGAGGTACATGAATAATTGAGGGAAAAAATCATGAAATTTCAAATTTCCCCAAGAATTCAATGAAATTCTACATTTTTAAGCACAACAACGACAAGATTTCCCCAATTCACACGAATTTTCAATGAAAACATGGATATTCTGTCCTAAAATTCTAACCGTGAATTTCTAACAAGTGGGCCAGAAATTGGAGCGACAAAAATTTCAATTTATAATTTTCCTGAAATTAAGAGAAATGTTGGTCATTGAGAAAAAAATATGTCAATTATAATTAGATAATAGCGCAGATAATTAACATAAAATAATGCCCAAGTAATTATTTATACATTCGGCCACGAAGCGGAACAACAATTATAATAAAGAGTGAAGGCTCGTTACGATCGCGTCCTTGATCAATATCACGAGATTGTAGTCTGATGAGGCGCGAAAAAAAATCAGCTCAACAATTATTTGAAAGCACGTGCAACGAACAATCACGTGACTGTGGCAGAAGCAAAAAGGAGATTTTCAGTCGCATCACCCTTGGCCTATTCTCCTATTATTTATTCATTCATTTGGAAATGAATGAATGGCACATGTTCGGTGATTTCAGCTGATGAGTCAATAAAAATCGGTTAATGGAGTAAAAAAAGTGAAAAACTACCTTGAGGTATCTTAATCACACGTTGAATATTTTAAGACAATTTTTTCTATCTGTTCTTTAAATTAATTGCGTTTTTTCTCGCGCCTCATTCTCAGTAATCTCAAATTATCTCTAATTTATAAAGTTTTTTATGCTTTCAATGATCATTACTTCAAGACTTGGATAATTTTTCCTACATTTAGCGACAGCAAATTGACCCATTACGTCTGCAACAATGAAAACTCCCCACCGGATACTTGAAAAATAATTAATAACCACCGGATAATGATCGGATACACTCGATGCCAATCTCCTGTTCTCTAACCGACAATTCAATTCATAAAATACCCTACTGCAGAAACAGCAGGCTTGCTTTGCAGTAGTGCGAATAGTCACGGCATAAATCATTTCATTAGGTTTGCCAAGGAGATAGACTCATCGTTGATGTAACAAACCTTCTGTTGGCGGAGAGCACATCATTGCATTGGCATGGCCAGCATCATCGCACCTCGCCCTACATGGATGGTGTTCCTTACGTCACTCAGTGCCCAATACCTCCAGGTTCAACATTTCGGTATCATTACACTGCAGCTACTTCGGGAACACATTTTTGGCATTCTCACTCGGGTATTTATCACCGTTTTAGTTATACTGACTATCGCCCAATTTAAATACTTGTGAAAATTAAGCTTCATTTTCTTTATTTAAATTTCATCCACTCATCCACTCTTAAATGCATTATAAAAAGGCTGAATAGTTTTCTATTTTTCATCATTTGTCGTCGACTTTTCAATGATCCGTAATTGTTGAAAAAAAAAATGAACAATCTATTTAAATTGTTGAAGGATTTCAAAGAGGTGACGGAGTGTTCGGTCCTCTAATTGTCCGTCCTCAAGAGGGCAGAGATCACCATAAAGACCGGTATGACGTCGATGAGCATATAATTACGATTCTCGACTGGGACCATGTGAGTGGTAACGACAAATTTCTCGCTCATCATCACTCAACTGGGGACAACAAACCCCCGAATCTTCTTGTCAATGGGTTGGGACCGTACGACTCGAATCATATTGACGCGAACATTCCCAAGAATATGCCTTATGCTGAGTTCCTCGTGGATAAGGTAATTTTTTTTCGTGAAATAGAAAAATGGAATTTCTTTATGAGGGCTCTATTATTTTTTATTCACTAATTCATTCTAAATAGAATTCAATTGTAAACTTGTGATTAGTGATGATAATGATTTCTAGGGCTCAAGACATCGTTTTCGTCTTATAAATGCTGGATTCCTCAACTGTCCAATTGAAATATCTATTGATAATCATACAATGGATATAGTTAGCACCGATGGAAATGACATAGAACCCGTGAAAGGTTCGTAATCAAAGAAACATGAAAAAAAAGCAGTAAAAAGTTATCAACATGCGATTAAATTTTTATGTATGAACACCTGGCAGACAAAAGTAGTAGAACTGAATTGTTCGACATAGAATAATTTGCAGCTTATCTGAAAAATTATTCTAAACTGGGGAAAAATTCAATTTTTAATATCGGTTCACATTTCAAAAACATGAAAAAAAATTTTGCCAATTTTCAATGGATAAATTGACATTTCAGAAGGATTTTAAATAAAAATTCGTGAAATACCATTTGATTTTTCATGTGATTTTTCTTCTCAGGAGTCCGATTCCGATGGCTTGTAACAGTGAGAAGGGAGATGGGAGGTTTTCTTTTACATTGTTCTAACTGAGGAAACACATGACAAGTGTCTCACTTGTAAAAAATCGGACCCCTGAGCATTCCGGAACTCGTGACGATTACGGTTTTCATTACATCATTTGTATATTTTTCAGCGAGTTCACTCGTCACTTACGCAGGTGAAAGGTTCGACTTGATAGTGAAAATGAATCAACGGATCGATAATTACTGGATACGTTTTCGCGGTCTGATGGACTGCGACGAGAGATTTTTGAATGTTAAACAGAAGGCGATTCTAAAGTACAAAGGAGCACCCGACACGCTGCCCGGGGAGAATAAATACTGGATGAATTTCAGACACGATAGTGATAATAACACTCAACCTGCAATGGTGAAAAACTTGAATTTTCATTATTCAAGCATCCAATCGGTTTTTTAAAGAATTAATTTCAATTTTAGATAGTAAATGCCTTGAATAAGGGAACGGAATCAAACGATACGATAAGCATTCCCCTGTTAAAAACATTAGAATTAGACAATGAGGAGAATCTCCTAAAACCAGATTATCAATTCTACTTGGCGTATGATTTTTATGGCAAGAATAATCCTCATTTCAATCGTAAGAATATGTACGGATTTCATCAAGGTGGGTGTTCAATACAGCTATCTAATGGCAATTATTATATTAATAAAAATAGTAATAATTTTTAAATTAAGTATTGAGTGCAACTAAAAATATGGAAAATAAAAAACTGTAAATAAATGATTTCTATAAAGAAATATTTTGAGTTAAAAGAATTGAAAAGAAGAATGAAAATTGCATCATTCAATGAATGTTGAATTTCATTGAATTATTTATGTTCATATGGAGCAATTTTTCATGAAAATTTTTTACTCTGGTTTCAGTTAAAGACCACGCAGTGCGGCTATTCACCCCACAACTGAACCACATATCGATGAAATTACCCAATTTTCCACTGCTACCCCAACGCGACTCAATAAACCCTGACCAATTCTGCAATTCCTCAACAGTGGGTGACTGCAAGCACAAGTACTGTGCGTGCACTCACGTCCTCCAAGTAAATCTTGGGAGTGTCGTTGAGCTGGTGTTGGTAGACGAAGGTGTTACATACGATGCAAATCACCCGTTTCATTTGCATGGCAGTGCATTCCGAGTTATAGCGATGGCACGAATTGGAAAAAGCGTGACTGTCGATCAGATCAAGGAGTTGGATGCAGCTGGTCGCATTGAGAGACGACTGGATAGCGCCCCATTGAAGGACACGGTTACTGTGCCTGATGGGGGTTATACAATCGTTCGTTTCTATGCTGATAATCCAGGTGAGCAATTTAAGGAGGCAATAATATAATCCCTTCATTCGACATTTCTACATTCATTTTTATATTTTCTATTCATGGAATAATTCAGTAGCAAAGCGGTAAAGGATCACGGGGTAACGCGTTAGGCTGTGACTCCGTACGTTGTAGGCTCGACCACCTGTCCCCCTCCAACAGAATTATTTTATATATTTTAATTTTTTTCACCTTCAAAATGAGACTTGATTTATCGAAATTGTTCCATTCAGTCAGTTTCACTCTCCTCTGGAAAAACGATGGAAATTCGAGTGCATTAATGAAAAATGTAAAATAATTATGTGACAATTTTCTTTTTATGTTCAAGGATATTGGCTATTCCACTGTCACATCGAGTTCCACGTGGAAATCGGTATGGCTGTGATATTCAAAGTCGGTGAGCACAAAGAGATGAAGCCAGTGCCTGTGGACTTTCCACAGTGTGGCAATTGGAAACCAACGGGTTCTCCTGAGATTGTTGCCAAACCAACGACATCTCCCCCCAGTAGTGATGTATGCAACGAAGTACTGGCACCCGCCAAACTAAACATAAATTTAAAGGACCTAGGATATTTATCGTCCTCATCGAATCCCCCCCCATTTGCGCTTCTTCGGGAAATCGTTGTGGTTATTGCTATCGTAGTTATGACAGTATTTTAGGATTACGTAGTCCCAATAATTCAGAGTGATATTTTTATATTTTCTTACATTATTATTGTAGTAGTATGTTAATTGTAAATTACAAATACAAGTATAAAATGTCGCATTTAATATTTGGCTGATTTAAGGTTCAAGAATAGAATAAATAATTCTTCTACACCGAGAGGAAAAAGCATCATAACGCCTGTTTGTTATATTGATAATCAAGGCTGGTACTTGTGCACTTTTATTTCTGCATCGATAACTATTTTTCAGAAAGTAGGAATAACAAATTTCTTCTGTTTGGGCTACACTTGGACTACTACTGTGCGGAGAAAATAATTCATGGGATGGAGCAGTGTAATGACATACTTTTTTTGTCACGAGAACGATCGCGCGCTTGAGCGCGCGTGTTAAGGGTGCCAAGTGAATTTGAAAAAAGATTCAAAAAAAATTTTTTCTTTCCCTCCATCATTGGAGAAATATGTATTCATCCATCCGACGAAATTTCAAACCCGCAACCGGAACTAGACATCGAGAAAATAAATGCGGGAAATCCTCTATTTCGCGTGACGAACCTCGAGAAAGCATGGGATCAAATGGGTACGGCGGGTTGAAATATCTCTCTTATTCACCCCGGTACCCCATTGTTTTTTGTCGCCATCACATTGAACACATCATTCCCCATATCTTCAAATTTTTTCAAATTTTTCTTGAGTTCCTAGGGGGTTGAAACGTTCAATTTAATCAAAACTCCATAAGAGGCCGTGTATAAGACTGATTTTGTTTATTTAATTTCTCGATATCCATAAGTTCTAAAATTTTAAAATTGTCACCGATGTTCACCATCTGTTTAATACTATTAATTTAAAAAATTATAACTTTGTTGGTGAATGTCAATTTTCAAGGTCATCGCCAAATTCACTTGGCACCCTTAAAGACAACGAAAACCGAAAGCCGGCCGAAGTCGAACACGTGTGGGCGGATCCGAATGTTCGACCAATGAAATTCGAGGAATGAGCGTTACGCTACAGCTTACGACGTATGTTCTTTTTAGAATAGGATACGGCCAATAAAAAACTTTTCTAGCTCATATGCACTGAGAGAAAAATTTGAAGTTCGATTTACAATAAGAAAATAGTTGAGGCATTTTGGTGAATGATACGATTTTTTTTTTGTATGCGGCACATAACATTGTAGTAACTCTCACCATGACTGAGAGGAATCAGATGAAATTTTTCTTTCGTTTACTGCAGAATGAGGGACTTGTTACGCGATTGCAAATGCCAAAACCGAAATCGACGTCCGTTCTAGAGTTGGAACATTACACAGAGTTTCGTCACCTTCTATCCCCCGAACTAAAAAGATCTTCAATTATTCCCTGGATTCAGATTAAAGGCACTAGATATTCTGACGGATCAGTCGTTGTGATTGATCTTGGTGAAGAATTTCCAGTATTCGGTGAAATCATTTTCATCCTTTCTCCCGGGAACGCAAACTGTGCATTTTTTGGTGAAAAAACATTTAGTAGAAAAATTCAATTCCTATATTAATGCGTATCAAGTCACATTAACCCAAACATGGGCATGGATAAGCTATACTAAATTGATAACACATGTTCCGACGATTGTACGCTTAGCAAGTGATGGGAAGTATTACATTACTATTCGTCATAATATATGAGAACGTACCAGCCCTAAAGTAGTCATGGATTCATGACTCAGAAAGATAACCCTCCGAAGAATGAATCAATCATTCCATTTTTTATCTTTTGCTCATGTTTTTTCTTTGTCATCCTACCTGCTATCTTAAAATTAATCATTTAATCCTTTTTGTAGCTGATGAAATTTTCAAAGGAAAATTTCAACTGATATTTTCCTCTATAGGATTCTTTAATATTGAAATCTACTATCCAAGAAAGGTTGAGGGAATTTTCGAATATTTTTAGCTATTTGATGACAGATGAATTTTTGAATATTTTATCACTCTTCTATACTGTGTTGAAATATTTATTGTCTTCCAAATGGTCCAAGTGAGAAAACCATAATTAAATTTGTGTGTATATAAGCTCTAGGATTATTCGTGCGTACAGGGAAAATCTAAAGCCAGAAACGGAATAATCAATGTAACAATATGTTCCACAAATCGTAGCTTTAAGAAATACATGAACCGATAGAAAAAACACCCTGAACGTGAGAATCAATGTAAATAATTCTAGATTAATAAGAAAATAATGTATAATGTACCTACATGTCAAAATTCCCAAACATGTATCTGAGCCAATTATAGAGATAATTCATGTCCAAATAATAATAAATACAAGAAAAGACTTGTCATCAACTACTCAATGTGTGAATATGTTCATTCTGGAAGGAAAATCCCTATGAGGAGAGAGAAAATTTCTCAGTTATTTCTCAATTCTCTAAGTTTTTTCATAATTAAGTAACCAATGATGAAATAATGAATCAAACTGACGAAGAAAGTGATTATGAACAGAAGGCCATGCACTGTCTCCCTGCACGTGCGCATAATTATTCAAATAAACATGCTAAATGCCACTGGCGCCAGGAAAGAATTGATGAGTTCCCCAATGCTTAAAGGTTATCTTGTCCTATTGAAATTCAAGTTGGGTGGTTTCATTGTCTAATCGGGCAGAGAAAGTTCATGGCTGATAGGGAAAATATAATATTCGGCAAACACTTCTGTTCTGTAGTAATTCATAAAGAGAATCGGCGGGTACTGGATTTGAGTGTTTTTGGTACTTTTGAGAAGTACAAAACACACTTGGACCAAGTTTTTTCCGGTACTCAGGAAAAGTGTTTTCGGGCACTTGATACAAGTGAAATCGGTACTGTTCAAAAGTTTATAGAAAACTTGGAGAAAAAAACTAGAACCCAGTTCATTCCTGACTCTCAGGAAGTGAAAAAATTGTCTTTTCCCAAGTAAAATTTTGTCCTTGGGAGAAGTGATTTTCGGACTCAAGTTGAATAACTGGTACTAGACAAAAGTTTTTTTTTTTTAAGTGTAGTAGTGCTTTACGGGCGCTATACGCGTCCATAAATCGCTGGCGACGACCGCCATAATAAAAAATATGACACACGGTCTAAAAAAACTTTTCTAGCTCATAGAATTACACACATTTCGCACATTCGCCAGAAAAGTTTTTTTAGGGCTCAGCTCAAAATGCACTATTTTTCCGAACGAGGCAGCGGAGTGTCAGCACCTTTGATGTTTACCCCCACTCTATACCCCAAAATGAGACAGAGAAAGTATCTTCAACTTTCCTGTCCAAATCACTCGGACAATCCGACATCGCTCATTCATTACTTAAGTGTCCGTCTAAGCGGCTAGTGGTTAACGAGTGGTAGGTGATTGCGAAAAATTCACTTCCTTCAATGTCGGTCTCCTCAAAATTTCTATCAAACCGTTCATGAAGTGTCAATTCTTCCCATTGGCTGGTATAAATTATTTATGTACCTCGATGGTAGGTCCGTCTAAGCGGCTAGTGGTTAACGAGTGGTAGGTGATTGGTGATATTTTGTTGAATTTTGTTGTTACCAAATTAAAGTCATGTTCAAGTGGATCGTTGTGACAAATTTGTTACTCGTTGTATCGAATTTATCGGCGGCAAGGGGTGAGTTTTTAAAAGCCAAATTGAATTAATTCATGTTTACCATTTGGATACATATGTTGATGATTTTTTAATGATACTTTCTCTTCATTAGAAAATGAAAAGAAAATAACATTGTTTATGAGTTGAATGTTACGAACGAGGGAATGATAAGTTTCCTATTAAATATTTTACCTCATAAAAAAAAAAACTTTAAAAAATTCCAAAAAACCCGTCATAATTACGTGGAATCAACTCCTACGCCCATAATATACATGAGTCACTGGTATTATTTTGATAGCGTCACTAATTGTTAACGGCTATGAAAATGGAGAGCACCTGGATTTGCCTCCCTTCCCCGAAGAAGAGGATTTCGTCGACCTATCCAAGCACCCCTGCCGTCGTCCTTGCAAGGAGCATTCCACCCCGATGGAGTGTCACTACGTCTTCAAAGTGGAGTCTTACACAACCATGAGCAAAGCTTGTTACGATTGTCCTCTGAATGTCACTCAGTGCTTTCTTCCTCATTGCATTCCAGCTGATGGTTTGAGAAGATCGGTGCAGGTTGTGAATCGTCAATTGCCTGGACCTACCATCGAGGTACATAAATAATTTATACCAGCCAATGGCAAGAATTGACACTTCATGAACGGTTTGATAGAAATTTTGTGGAGACCGACATTAAAGGAAGTGAATTTTTCGCAATTTTCCTAATGATCGGATGCACTCAACGTCAATTTCCTGCTCTTAATTAAATCATTTTGTTAGATTTGCCAAGGAGACAGACTCATCGTTGATGTACAGAACCTTTTGCTCACAGAGAGCACATCATTGCATTGGCATGGCCAGCATCATCGCGCCTCCCCGTACATGGATGGTGTTCCTTACATCACTCAGTGTCCAATACTGCCAGGTTCAACATTTCGGTATCATTATCCTGCAGATACTTCGGGAACGCATTTCTGGCATTCTCACATTGGTATTTGTCATTGTTTATTCATTATAAAATTGTGTGAAATACGCAACCACTTTAGAAATTATTTACTTGGTATAAATTCTATTGAAAATTTCTCGAGTTCTTTTGCTGATTTTATTCATTGAAAAATGCCAACAGATTTCGATTCTTCTACTACTCACAATCTATATTTTCTTCATAAAATTTCCTTGGCATGTTTTTTTGTTATTTCCCCTCATCTTGTATTGTAAATTTGAACAAAAAAAGCTTTAAATTAATTTTTCATGGATTTTCTCATAAAGAATGATAAAAAATTAATTACATGTAAAAATTCTATCTAATCACTGATATTTTGAGAAATTTCCATCTCGAGAATCAAACAAAACAAATGGAACATTTGAGCCGAAGAATTTATATTGAAAATATCACAATAGAATAAGTTCAATAGAAAAATATTTTATTAGTTGCCCATAAATTCATTCCAACAAAAGAAAAAGAAACGCGCACATAAGCTGCAGAATTTTTCACTTGTCTAGTGAATTAGCAAAATTTTTCTATATTCTTTCGTACATGATATAAAAATGGAAATGTATGAATTTTTTTCGTACAATAATATTCAAGGTTACCAAAGAGGCGATGGAGTATCCGGTCCTCTGATTGTCCGTCCTAAAGAAAATAGAAATCGCCATAAGCACCTGTATGACGTTGATGAGCATATAATTACAATTTTCGACTGGGACCATCGGACTTGTAACGACAAATTTCTCACTCCTCATCACTCAATTCTGGATAATAAACCCGTGAATTTTCTTATCAATGGGTTGGGGCCATACCAGTCGAATCATAGTAACGAGGGCATTCCCAAGAACATGCCTTATGCTGAGTTTATCGTGGAGCAGGTAATTGTCTCCGTAAAATAAAACAAACAACTGAATTTCTTTAACAGTGTTACATTATTTTTTCGTCACTATGTGAATGAGTCTAAATCATTCACAGACAATTGTAAATTTTTAATTGGTGATTATAATTACTTCTAGGGGTCAAGACATCGTTTTCGTCTTATAAATGCTGGATTCCTCAGCTGTCCAATCGAAATATCTATCGATAATCACACAATGTTTATAGTGAGCACCGATGGAAATGATATAAAACCCGTAAAAGGTTCGTAAGCATTCTGGCAATTTCACACGGAGAAAAAAATCAAAGAAGTTGCAAGAAAAAAAACAAAAATGAGTAGAAATTTCCTGAAATACGTTCAAGTTTAGCCGCTTTTCACATTTTTATTCATTTTCTAATCAGCTAGTTTGTATGACAATTTTTCCACGGATCTAATTTGTGACTAGTTCGGTTTTAATTACGTTATTTGTATATTTTCCAGCGAGCTCACTTGTCACTTACGCAGGTGAAAGGTTCGACTTCATAGTGGAAATGAATCAACGGGTCGATAATTACTGGATACGTTTGCGCGGTCTAATGGACTGCGACAAGAAACTTTTTAATGTCAAACAGCAGGCGATCCTGAGGTACAAACGAGCACCCGACGGGGAACCAAAGAATAGTAAATACTGGGTTAATTTCAAACACGATGGTGATGATGATAACGATCAACCGGTCATGGTGAGAAACCTCAATTTCCATCATTAAATGAGCCAATTGATTAAAAATACAAATTAATTATCATTTTAGGTAGTGAATGCAGTGAACAACGGAACTGAATCAAAAGATACGATAAGCATTGCCCTGTTGAATTCATTACAACCAAATGTTGTTGGGAATCTTCTAGAACCCGACTATCAATTCTACTTGGCGTATGATTTTTATGACAAAGATAATCCCATCTTCAATGGTAAGAATATGTTTTTTGCGGAAATTATAGTATTAGAAACAGTGAAAATTTGAAGATTAAAGAAGAAAAAACAACCGACATTTTTATGTCCCTGTATATAATTAATTTTTCGTTGAAATGATTCATTTTGTTTCAGTTAAAGACCACAAAGTGCGACTATTGACCCCCCAACTGAACCACATCTCGATGAAATTCACCAATTTTCCACTGCTATCTCAACGCGGCTCAATAAGCCCCGGCCAATTCTGCAATTCCTCAACAATGGGTGACTGCAAGAACAAGTACTGTGCATGCACTCACGTGCTTCAAGTAGATCTTGGGAGTGTTGTGGAGCTGGTGTTGGTGGACGAAGGTGTTAGACTCAATGTAAATCATCCATTTCATTTGCATGGTACGGCATTCCGAGTTATAGCAATGGGTCAAATTGGAGAGAACGTGACTGTCGACGAGATTAAGAAGTTGGATGCAACTGGTCAGATTAAGAGACAACTGGAGAACACCCCATTGAAGGACACGGTTACTGTACCTCGTGGGGGTTATACAATCATTCGATTTTATGCTGATAATCCAGGTAAGACGTTCCCTTTTACCTGAAATTATACGCACTCAAGGGTTCGGAGCCAGACGGAGCCAGACGCCCGCCCCTCATTAATTGTTAGAATATCGTCCCCCATATTATCCACTGCTATTTCACCTATTGTCCAGAAATGACACTTGTGAGACAAATAAAAAGACACAGGCATTTTATACAGAAGAGAAACGGCCCTCGAGTGAAATTTCTCGATTTTTTTTTGTTTTTGTGTACCTTTAAAATGAGACTTGATTGACATTGTCATTTGAAAATGATGTGTTTTACTCTGCTCTGGAAAAAACGGTCGATATAAATTCAAATGAATTGATAAATAGAAAATGCCAAATAGTTTTGCAATTTTTTTTTCATGTTTCAGGGTATTGGCTATTCCACTGTCACATCGAGTTCCACATGGAAATGGGTATGGCTGTGATATTTAAAGTAGGTGAGCACGAAGAGATGCTGCCAGTGCCCGACAATTTCCCTGCTTGTGGCGATTGGAAACCAATGAGTCCTCCGGAGATTTTTCCGAAATCACCGATGAAGGGTCTCTTCAGCAAGCCTCCCCAGCAACCGTACCACGTACAGGAACCCGCAAAAAAACAAAGGAACCACTCAGTTGAAATATGGGACCTCTACCTTTGATGCTCATTTCCTATTTCCTGTTAGATTCGATAATTATTCTAATATTCGAATTCTCATGGCTCACAGAGTGACAACAAGATTTTAACATGGCTTTTTGTAAATAAAATAATTCATATATAATTTACTCTTTTGAAATATTTTTCTTCCTTTAAAAATGGCATTTCATTTGAAAATGTCTGTGAAATTTGGCATCTGGAAAAAAAATCCAGGAAAATAAATAAATTTTTCACTTCTTCTATGGAAATTAAATTCTGTAAGGAATTTTTCAATAGCAGTTTAAACATTTTTCCGATAAACTTGGCGACTTGTATGCGGTTTGTATGTAGACAACTCGAGGGGACTTTTGGGACTTGCTGGCGCCAGCCCCCCTGCTGAGAGCCCCAGCCGTACTCTAGAGTCTAGACGCCTCCTTACTCAATCCTCCCCCAAAATTAAAAAGCCCTGATTGGTTGTAATATACTGACCCAATCAGCCGACACCTCACAATATTCCTTATTCCTTAAATAGGAGAAAGGTAATTGTGAAAAATTGCCATTTCCACTGAAATTGTCAAGCAGTCAAGTGTTCCCCACTTAGTTCCTTTAACGTAAAGTGCCAAGACATTGCATTACCATGGAAAAATTGAAAAACGAATCAGATTCCTGGGACTTGAGCAAAAAACTATTGTTCATCGACACAGACAACAATTTCCTCCAGGATCTAGCCACTAGTGGCAGGGAAATTGCCGCCACACCCAGATATCATCTCCATGAATTCTTAACAAGAATCTACAAACACTACAACATTGTCCTCTGGACTTCACATTCCCTTTCGACGTTAAAAGAAGAAATGAAGTCATTGGGAATTTGTGACAATTCTCAATACAAAATCTCGTCCTGCCTGGACAGACAATTAATGACCAACGCCTGTGCCGTCCCTGGAAAAGTGAAATTCGTCAAACATCCGAGAATCATCTGGAAGAAATTCCCCAACATGTATTCCGCCAAGAACACGGTGATCATCTCCAGTGATAGAGTCAAGCGGGATGATAAGCATGGATTAAACGAGAGCCTACCAAGGCTCTCGGAGTATCTCGAGTACATCAGTAACGTCACGGATTTTACGACCCTCGACCACTCAAACTGGGAAGAGCAAGAGAAGAGACGAATTTATCAGAGACCCTTGATCGAGAATTACATCTCCTCGGTGAAAGACATGATTAACAACTACAAAGTCAAGCAACTCAACCCTTTGAGGCCTGATAAAAACCTCTTGGTCCTGGACATTGACAACACCATCTTCGGAATGAGGAATAACGCGCCCTGGAAGCGTCCTCACCTGGATGACTTCCTGAAACGATCGTACGAGCACTACGACATCGCCATATGGTCGGCGAGAAAGATGAAGGGGATCGATCTTGTGATGCACTGGCTGAATGTGACAAACCACGAGGATTACAAGATAGCGTTTCAGATGGACGGAGCAGCCATGATCATGGTTGAAATGACGGGCCTGGTTTCCAGGGCGAAGCCGTTACACGTCATCTGGGGGATGTTTCCTCAGTTCTCACCACGGAATACCATCATGCTTGATGATCAGAAGGCTAATTTTCTGATGAATCCGCAGTCTGGATTGCTGATCAAGGTATTTCCCGGGCAGGAGGACCCTAGGGAAGACGATGAATTGTTGAAGCTCACTGATTATTTACGGTTGATTGCTGAGATGAAACAGGACTTTACGGGTTTTAATCATCAAAATTGGAGGAATTATATTCTATCCTAGCGTCATATTATATATCATTTTTACTTACATCCCTTATTTATATTTTTAGCCATTTGCTGTTATCACAATATTTTCTATCATTCGCAGGGAATAAATATTACTCATGTAAATTGCAAATGTTGATAGAACGTTGGAAGTATTTTCAAAGAGAAAAGAGTTCTGATAAATGCCACGAGAATGCACTAGCGTTCATCATTAGCGATAAATCCAATTCTCCATAGAAATTTTCCACCATTTGAGAAAAAAATTAATAAATTAAAATGAACGATGAAATTCTTTCGATTCCTCGCAGGTTCCCCAGATTTCATTGAATCACATTCTCTGGAATATAATACTAGTTCATCATTATTCAATTCGAAGCGATAAAGCTATTCATCCACTGATACATATGTCAATACCATTCATAAAAAGTTTAAACATTTTTAATTTTGTTATTCCAAATATCAACAATTGTGATTATATTTAATTGAAATGTAATTTCTGATAATAATCTCTCTCATCGCGATGTTAAACTTGCCACCGTGAAATAAATGTGTAATTCTAAAAATAGATAACGTCGAGTCAGAGTCTGCACTGTTGCAAGCGGACAAAGCATTATATACGTATAGACTAAAAAGTTAATATTAAGTAGTTTTCAGTGTATTTTTCAATGATGATGGAGAGGGAATATCCCCCGATCATAAGATTGAAGGTAATTATTAAAATAGTTGTACTTTTCACATGAACAGAGGCACTCAGTCATTGATTCCCCCAGACGACAACAACTATTTCGAGAAACTTTAGAATTCAAACAGCATCAGAAACCAGAACTGAACCAATTGTTCTTCACACAGATTATTCCAAACTCGTCAATTAATATTTATCGAGGAATCATTAATCACAATTAATTACGTCACTCATCATTACATAATATCACTGACAACTATTTACGGTAAAAATGATTGATTTTAATTAATCGCTAAAAAGGAATGTAATGCGAGTTGATGAAATAATTTCATTTTCTCGATGGGATTAAGATGAGAAAAAATCTCTTGATGAGACACATCAGTCGAGATGCACCAGTCAGTTAGAAGACCTCAACACGCGGAGCAAGTTTATTATTGGCAATGGCAGCCCCCCCAGTTCTAAGCTCGTGGCTATTTCTGTAGTAAATCTGTGACAATCAATCGATTCTTAACTTTTTAAAATTTGTCATATCTCCGAGTGATCCATTGAACCGATCTCAACGGAACTTTCATGGTGTGAAAATAAAATTTACATTTTATTTCAATTTTGAATTTAAATTTTTCCGGTTTAAATCCATCGTTCACAGAGATCCTTCACATGTGCATTGTTTTTCTAATGAACCAGACGTGAGGCAAGCGGAATTAGTGCCCGTCCCCATCGGGTATTCGTCTGAGAAAATTTAATGATGCCCGTTTTGTATTATTTATAAATGAATGCGTTAGAAGAATATTTCGAAATATCAATGTGAATTTTTTCGAATAAATTTTTAGAGATTTTATTTAACATTCAACATTATTTCAATGAACAATTCAATTCATATCTTTTAAATTTAAACAAAAAGCCCATTTCATGCAATAAAGCCTGATATTGCAGGACAGATGATTTAAAAAAAAAATACATATATGGTTAATTGGAACTTGATCCAATTAATATCACTTTGAAATTCGAATGAGAGCTTTATTATGGGCTATTTAAATGAGTGCATTCATTTGATTCAAATAAAATTTATTCAATTTGAATAGAAAATTTTTCAGGGTGAAACTTTTCAGCGAAACTTCATCTGTCTTGTACAACTTTTTCTATCAAGACATTTTCAGTAAGAATTCCTCGACGCAAATGTAAAAAATATTTTCCATTCTTTTCTTCATCTATTATCATTTGAAAAAATCAAATAAAAGAGTCAATAGAAAAAGTTGGCGAGGTTTCTTATGCACACATGCATTTATCGACGAAATATCCTTCCCTCACTCCTAATAACAATCGCAGCCAGAAGAGAACAGAACAAGGTCAGATAATAGCCTCCTAATACGAAAACCCTCGTGCAAATATTCCCGGCTCGATTCTCCCTCCACCCGGAGGCCGTGAAACACCGGCTGAGCGTGTGTATGTGAAACGCGACAAGGGGGAGTATTTTATTGATCCGGGGTGACTGGCAACGCAGTCGCGCATTGCTGCGACCCTCCCTTCTTTCTCAAACAAAAGCATTTTCCCATTTTTCTCCATTTCACCGATGAAAAAAAAAAAAAACATGCAAATACGAAATGCGAGAGGCTCAATGATCGACTATTATGAGTAAATCCCCATATTCCGGGGGTATAGGGGATATTGGAAAGATACTGCGAGTTGTTATCGCGAAAAACCTTTCGATTCTGCGCATTATTGTTTCTGAAGCGGAATCATCAACCCCTTCCACCACGCCGTCTAGAGGCGCGACAGAGCCACGGGGCGGCTCCTCACGGCCACCTCCGCTATCGGCGTTTAGCCGGTTCTCGGGTATATCAATGACTCCATGATAATTCCGTTTTCTTTAATTTAAGGGTAAAGTCAGTGAAGTGCGTAAAAAATAAACGTGGGGGGGTGGGGGTGGAGGTGAATTAAAAAAAAAAGTGTATTTGATAAATTAATAAAGAGGAGAATTTGAATTTGTGGGAGGTAATTTCAGCGCCCGGCGCTGGACACTCGGTGTTACGATGGTTACGGACAGCACGAGTCAGGTAATTCCTCGATATTCAGAGGGTTTTGCACCTCAGAATGACAATTCTCATTCATTCATCGATGGTTCATGGTTGTTTTTTAAATGATTCGTTGGGGAGAAATGTTCGAATAGAACACGAGTATTTTACACTCACCGACGACATTTTCGTGGACTTGAATGCGTATAATGAATAATTGAGGGATGAAAAAAAAATGTTGAAGGTATTGTACATGGCGGAGGCGGAGGCGACACTTGCTCCATGGGTCATGTGTGAAGAGAACAATAGAGCACGGGCAATTATTAATGAGGGCGGAATCGCTTTAATTATTTGCGTAATTCACTGGTTTTTGATAGCATCAAATGTTTACATTCAAATTGAAATAATCAATTTTTCAAGAATGTTGACATTTTAAAACATAGATAGATAGATAGATAGATATATTTATTTGCCAAAAGGATGCCAACACTCTTACTGCAAAGGGGTGAAATTTTAATGTTCATTCATTCACATTGATTCACAATAAATGATGGCATTGGAGTAGAGTAACTAGAGCCGAATGAATAGAAAATCAATCGAGTGAGGATCTCAGGGACACGCGGTCCAATACGTAACTGGTTGATAATAATTAATTGGCTTTTTATAGCGTCAATCGCGGCGGTTAAATTGTCAGACGGATTTTTATCACTGTCCGTTATCGATTTCATCTTTTGGTTCTGACAGAGATTTTCAGTCGTACTTTTTTTTTATTCTTCTGTTTGTCTGCCGGAGGTTTATGTTAGTTTTTATTCCCCCACAGACCGACGATACGACGGCGTTTCTCAGGGCTGCACGGTCTGGAAATTTGGAAAAGGTCATCGAATATCTCGACAAGAATCTAGATATTAATACTGCTAATTCGGTTAGTGCATTAGAAATTTTTTAATTACATTTTTTATTGAAGTGTTTTTCTAAATTAATATCAAACACATGTATTTTTTTTTAGAAAAATGACAACTGCAAAAAAGATTCATCTGTTGTTTAACCAAATTGGCTGTGAATTTCGTTGAATATCTATTGTTTATGCCCATAATTATCATGTTTTCATTTTTTAGAATGGATTGAATGCACTGCATTTAGCATCTAAGGACGGACACGTTGAGATTGTAACTGAATTATTGAAAAGGGGTGCTAAAGTCGACGCTGCTACCAAAAAGGGGAATACTGCATTGCACATTGCATCACTAGGTAACTGAATCCATTGCCTCTTTCCTCACTATAAATTTCAAATTTTCTTGAAAATTTGTATCAAATGAAAAAGTCAATGAAAATTGAAAGCAGAAAAATTAAATGTCGTTGAGGTTTTTTCTTCCTCATGCTAAAAAAATTCCAAATTTTATGATTTTTCTCCTTCGAAATAAAAATTCAATGTTGTTCTCTTGACAATAACTCATAAAGTGTCAATGAAATTTCATTTTTTTTCCCTTCAAAGTCCGTACTAAATAGTGGATTTTATATATTTTTGATTTGTCACCAACAGCTGGGCAATCGGAAATAGTAAATATTCTAATCCAATACGGTGCAGCAGTAAATATTCAATCTCAAAATGGTTTCACACCTCTGTACATGGCAGCCCAAGAGAATCACGATCACGTTGTTAAAATGTTACTCTCCAATGGAGCCAATCAGAGCTTAGCGACTGAGGTAATTATACCCCTTATAGATTTATCAGTAGGCGTGAATAATCCAGTGGTTGAATTGGACTTGATGTAACGATACTAATCTTATCTCTCGCATTATCCTTTAGTGATAAAAAATCCCATTAAAAAATTCTCAATCGCAAAATTTATTATCGACTTGACTCCTTTCTCTTTAAATTTACGAAAATGTTTTCTCATCGAATCATTTGGTTTGCGAGACAGTTTTCCAACTACTACAGACAATTCAACATTTTTCAATTCTACAAAAGTAGATGCCTTTGTGAGAATTTAATTTAAAAACTTTCTTCTACTCCAACAAGTTAAACCTAAAGTCGAGATAATTTGACAGGAATTGTCGTTTCATTTTAAACAGGATGGATTCACCCCTTTAGCTGTAGCAATGCAGCAGGGCCACGACAAGGTTGTCAGTGTGCTTTTGGAAAACGACTCCAAAGGCAAGGTGAGACTGCCAGCCCTGCACATAGCCGCTAAGAAAGACGACTGCAAAGCAGCTGATTTACTTCTTCAGGTGAAGAAGAAGAAGAAAAAAGTCACTTGAATTGAACCGTTTTCAAACATGAATAACTCGAAAATGAATTGTGACTCATTCGAAGATATTGATGATTGAAGAAGGTCTCTTCTATTTGAAGAAGGACTTTGTTCATCATGCTCACGTTTTCATAATTTTTCTCAGAACGACCATAAACCCGACGTAACATCGAAAAGTGGCTTCACACCTCTGCACATAGCCGCCCACTACGGCAATGAGGAAATAGGCCGCCTTCTGATAAAACGAGGCGCGGATGTAAACTACTTGGCAAAGGTATAAATCGTTATCACCAAAGCTATTTATCAAATCGACAAACTTTCATTCATCCACACCTGTACCTTTGACAGCACAATATCAGTCCCCTGCACGTCGCAGCCAAGTGGGGTAAGAATAATATGGTCAAGCTGTTGTTGGAAAATTCAGCTATGATCGATGCTAAAACTCGCGATGGACTTACTCCACTTCACTGTGCGGCGCGGTCTGGTCATGAGGAGGTTGTATCTACTTTGTTGGAGCATTCGGCACCGATTAGTGCGCGGACAAAGGTAAATAAATGCCTCAGAATTTTATCATTGAAAATTGCCAACTAAAAAAGGTAAACTTGGAAATTCAGAATGGACTGGCGCCATTGCACATGGCATCCCAAGGAGATCATGTAGATGCAGCCCGTGTTCTCCTGTATCACCGTGCCCCAGTCGACGAAGTCACCATAGATTACTTGACATCCCTCCACGTAGCAGCCCACTGTGGCCACGTGCGTGTTGCCAAATTGTTACTGGATCGTAAAGCCGATCCCAACGCACGTGCTCTCAACGGTTTCACACCGCTCCACATAGCGTGCAAAAAGAATCGAATCAAGGTTGTAGAACTTTTGCTCAAGCATGGAGCATCGATCGAATCCACCACTGAGGTAATTTCACAGCTCAAGTGTTCATTTGTAACTGCATTTTCATTGGTTTTTCTTTTTTTTTTCCAGTCGGGACTGACTCCACTGCACGTTGCGAGCTTCATGGGCTGCATGAATATCGTTATTTATCTACTTCAGCACGAAGCCAATCCAGATGTGCCGACAGTGCGGGGTGAAACGCCACTTCATCTCGCTGCGAGGGCCAATCAAACTGATATTATTAGGATTTTATTGAGAAATGGTGCGAAAGTCGATGCAAGGGCTAGGGTAAGCTCCTACAAGAAACATTTCCATTCGTTCCTTTTCCCTACAATTTCATCATCAAACCTCAATTATACGCTCTTATTTACATCAAAAGAAAAAAAAAGACGAATACTCTAATGCAAATACTCCCTCTGACGATTCTCAATCCATATTCATGAAAAAACTTATCTCAATAGTATGAATTTAACTCTTTCACAGGAGGAACAAACCCCCTTACACATAGCCTCTCGACTCGGTAATGTGGATATTGTCATGTTACTACTGCAACATGGTGCTGCAGTCGATACGACGACTAAGGACATGTACACGGCCCTGCACATTGCCTCGAAGGAGGGTCAAGAGGAGGTAATTTACAATGAATTAGCGAAAATCGCGGACTACATTAATACCCAAAATACCCTGTACCTGTTTTGGAGTCGTCATCAGGAGTACATGATATAAAAAATTTATCCACTTATTTTTCTTATGTTTATTATTATTATTATTATTATTATTTTCAAAAAAAAAGCACATTATTATTTATTCACATGTACTCGTTGTTTTTATTTGAAAGAATGAGGAAAAATAAACAACATCTCCAGTATTTGTTCCACTACTTGTCATTTATTATTTCATTACTTTATTATTTAATCAGGTAAGTTGTTTTCATTAATATTTAGTTTGATGTTGATATTGTTTTTGGTTGGAATGAATTCAAAGACTTGGCCGAAGTGTGAAATTTGGATGGTATATTAGGAGGAAAGGGATCAGAATTAATGATGTAAAATGATTTTTTAACAGGTCGCTGCGATTTTGGTAGAGAATCAAGCCTCGGTAAAGGCAGTAACTAAAAATGGATTCACTCCACTTCACATTGCTGCTAAATATGGAAATATGAATGTTGCCAAGATATTATTGCAGAAGGATAGTAAACTTGATAGTCAAGGAAAGGTGAGCATTGAAAGTATAAAAACTCAAGTTGTAACGACACAATACAATTCAATCTCGTCCTTATTTTTTTTCAATTAATCAATCAATCAATCAATCTAGAATGACATAACTCCATTACACTTGGCCTGCCACTACGATCATCCAAACGTGGCCAACATGATCTTGGAGAAGGGTGCGTCGCCCCACCTGCCCTCGAAGAATGGCCACACACCATTGCACATTGCGGCCCGAAAAAATCAAATGGACATTGCATCAACTTTGCTTGAACACGGGGCAGATCCGAATGCACAGTCAAAGGCCGGCTTTAGCCCGCTCCAACTGAGTGCCCAGAAGGGCCACTACGACATGACGAATCTCCTCATCGAACACGGGGCCGATCCCAATCACAAATCCAAGAATGGCCTGACAGCACTTCACCTCTGTGCACAAGAGGACTTTATCCGTGTTGCCTCGATTTTAGTCAAGAATGGTGCTAATGTCGAGAGTGAAACTGAGTCTGGCTATCGTCCCATTCACGTTGCCGCGCACTTTGGCAATGTATCTATGATCAGATTCTTGCTGAAGCACAATGCTCAAATCGACGTGACAACTTGCCAGAATTATACTCCGCTGCATCAGGCTGCACAACAGGGTCATGCACATGTCGCTACAGCGTTGTTGGAGGGCAATGCCTCTCATAATGCTCGTACGAGTGTGAGTTTGACAATTTATTCATTTTTTTTAGTAACAAAACAATACCACCTTTTTTTTTTCACTCTATTTTTGCTGGAATTTTTACTCCTCACAATGTATTAAACTCCATCAACAATCTCCATCTCCGCCCAAATGTTCATCCAAAATGTCACACACATTATTTATTGTTGGGCATGTTGTTGATGCTTTCAGGATGGCTTGACTGCACTCAACATAGCTCAAAAATTAGGCTATATTTCTGTGATGGAGGTGCTGAAAGGACTTGCCCACGGAAACACGGAAACCCCGGATAATAAAACATGGGAGGAGAAGTACAAAGTCATTGCTCCAGAGAGCCTTCAAGAAACAAGTTTCATGTCTGATTCGGATGATGAAGGAGGTAGTAAACAATCTGACAGTATTATTTAACTTAACTAACAATTATTCAACTTGATCTTATAATTCTCTGTCCGCCAAGCTTCAGATGGATTGACCAACGAGCAACCTTATCGCTACCTAACCGTCGACTTAATGAAGAACCTTCGGGATGATTCACTGCCGATCGATGTGACACGAGACGATCCTGTACATCGTCAAGGTAAGTATTTACTATTTCACTTGTCCACTTGACCATGGAAAATTCATCAAGTGATTTAACGGCTGTCTTGCAGTCTCCAAAGAAGAGCAACAGGAATTTACGCAGAGCCATAACTACTGCCTTGCGGAGAATTTTGATTCGACGGACGGCATTAATCTTGGGTAAGCGACCCCATTAATTAGATCAATTGATGAAAACACCAGTGGAATTGAATACAGAAAAAAAATTTTTTTTTTCATTAAAAATGATGAATTTCCGATTAAATCTTTTCAGAAGACTTCATTTTAGATCGTAAGTACCCAGTACCCACTAGCTGGCCTATTCAATTGATGTATTGAAGAAATGATTTTTTCTGACATCAGATTTTTGGTGAGTTTCCTGGTGGATGCACGTGGTGGAACGATGAAGGGCTGTCGCCACAGTGGAATAAGAATCATAGTGCCACCGAGACGTGCAACCATGCCAATTAGGGTGACCTGCAGACTTGTAAAACCCAGTAAAGTTGCTAATCCACCAGCTTTGATGGAAGGAGAAGCTCTGGCTACTCGAATAATTGAGATGGGTCCTGTTGGAGCGTCCTTTTTGGGGTAAAATTCATTGAAAGTCATCAAATAAAAACATGTTTCACTTTTTCTCTCTCTCTCTCTCTTTCTCTCTTTCTTCTTTTTAGACCTGTTCTTATCGACGTCCCTCACTTCGCCTCAGTAACTGGAAAAGAACGTGAAATAATAATCCTCCGAAGTGATAACGGCGAAACTTGGAAGGAACACGACAATTCCTACGAGAACGATGATGCATTATTCAACACTCCTCACGACACGCAAATGAGTGCCCTGTACACTGGCAGAATAACAAGAATAATCACCACGGAATTTCCCCAATACTTGGCGATAATAACGCGAATAAAGCAGGAAGTGCACGTGATCGGTGCTGACGGTGGAATATTGATGTCAAGCGTTGCTAACAATGTTCAGGCTGTGTTTCCACCAGGTGCCCTAACGAAGAAGATCAAAGTTGGTCTGCAAGCCCACGTGATACCAGCAGAGTTGACTGCCAAATTACTCGGTAATTGTGTAGCAGTCTCACCTGTCATCACGATCGAGCCTAGACGAAGGAAATTTCACAAGCCAATAACACTTACAATACCAGTGCCACAGGCTGCTAATAAAGGGATGATCAATCAGTATCAGTCTGGGGAGACGCCTACCCTTCGCTTGCTGTGCAGCATTGCTGGGGGGACCAGTGAGGCCCAGTGGGAAGATGTCACTGGATCCACTCCACTCGCCTTTTCAAGTGAAAAAGTGTCTTTTACGACCACTGTATCAGCGAGATTCTGGTTGATGGATTGCAGAAATATCAGTGAGGTGCCAAAAATGGCCACTGAATTGTATAAGGAATCACTATTTGTACCGTTTATTACCAAGTGAGTAGTCCAACTACAACATTATCATTTATATTTTGTACCAATTAATTAATTAATTCATTCATTAATATCGTATTTGTGTGATCGTTTCATTTTAGCTTTGTTATCTATACAAAACGAATGGATGTTATGGAAGCGACCCTTCGCATCCTCTGTATGACTGATGGAAAAGAAACAATGCACACATTGGAAAAACAAGAAGAGTTTTTGGAAATTGTTAAAAGTCGAGATGTTGAAGTGAGCCAAATTTTCATTGTTAGAAACAATTGACAGAACAAATAATAATAATAATAATAATAATAATAATAATGCCAAATATTTCAGGCATTAGATGGAAAAGATCTATACATAGAGTTCAGTGGTAATCTCGTACCTGTTACTAAATCCGGCCAACAATTGAAATTTACATTCAGGGCATTCCGCCAAAATAGACTGTCCTTCCACGTTAAAGTCCGGGATCCACTCCTCGATCCCGTTGCGAGAATGATGTTCATGAGAGATCCTAAAGTTGCCAAAGGGGAGCCAGCCCAACAACCAATATGCATATTGAATATCGTCCTACCGGAAACTCTCTCAAAGTCCGAATCAAGCTCAAAGCTCAAAGGTATCACAAATTAGTACTTGTCATTTCTCTGTTACGATGCATGAATTTATTTCATTTACTTTTATTCATAGAACTAGATTCCAACCTCATTAGCAAAATGGATATGTACAAATCTACTTATATGAGAGACTACGGGGAAAAACGTGACATACCAAAACCCACATCACCAAAAGATAAACTCATAACTGATTTGTTACAAAAACAACAGACAGGTATGTAAAAATTGTGTAGATTATTTAACAACTAGCGACTCCCATGCACAATTGATTAAAAAACCGTTATAATCGAACAATTCGAATAAATGGTGCAAAAGAATTGAGCAAAATTTAATAGAAAAAAAAGGAAAAATGACGAAATCTCGATCCCATTACGGCTCCAAGTTGCCGCAACAAATTACGATTCTTACTTAAGAGCCTATTCTATGAATGTTCAACGGCGGGGAAAAAAAAAGAAAAAAAAGTCAATCCGATAATAGCATATAGCTCCAACCCGGCTTCTTAAATTCAATTACCAAGGTAACATGGTCAATCCCTCTGTTCTCACTTGTCGCTCATTGTATCAGAGTTAGTTTAAAGCGAGCCAACATCGCAGCAACAGTTACTAGAAAATAAACCACAAACCGGGAGTGTTAGAAGAATCCTAAAGGTCCGACAAATTGAAAAATACATTTCGTCAAATTTTCCGTTTCAGGTTATTTATTTTAAATTATTTTTGTCCAACTCTTACAGTCACCAGACTAGAGTGATTTTCCTTTGTCAAACAAATATAAATTGCATCAGTAACTTGAATAATGTCGTGTGACCATAGCGGCGAGCCAACTTCGATCGATAAAGTCTGTCAAATAAACTGTAACATTGGATCTACAAACTCCGAAGATGGTATTCGGAAGCAGTCGCTCTCCCCGGATTATACATTATCCCCGAAAAGGGACGGCAGTGCGACAGGAGCAAAGCCAAAACGCAAATCACGTGGGGCACGAAGACGTCTAAACGCCATGATGAGTAACGTCTCGTTGCACTTCTCAGATACTGATTCCGAGGATGAGCTATCGGTGGTGAAGACCAAAGTGCGACATCGCAGTCCATCATCGAGAGCTGTGAATGGGGAGGATGAGGGTATAGCGCCTCCTCCTGTGATCCAAGTGACGTTAGAGACGGCTGAAAGTGAGCCTGGTGATTCTCACTGGGACGGAATGGGCATGATAACGCCAAACAGCGACCGGAGAAGCAGTTTTGGGGAGGCGCTCACCGACGTCGATGAAATCTACTTGGACGATCCGAAATCGGATAGCAAAGGCCTGAGCATTCCTGATCAAAGCCCTCAGGGAGAGACGGACGTGGAGGACATGTCGAATGATGAGGAAGAAACCGAAGAGTCTATCTTCATCTTACCTCCCCAACTTGACATTCTGAGGGAATTTGGAGGGGGCACCATCACCACTAAAGAGGGTGATGGACCCTTCTCCGTCGAAGTGAGGAATCAAATGTCCTTCGACGAAGGAGACGAGCCCCGTCAATGGGGCAAGATGGAGCCATTTCCCAAAGGACCTGACACTGACTCGGAAAACGTCGATGTTTCGGATGAGGAACCCGAGCTCGAGGGCGCCTGTTCCCAAAGAGACCTCATGGATTTCGATCTTCTCGCTGCTTCCCAAATCTTCATGAAAAACGTCAACAAGACGGAGAATGTACTCACCGTTCCCGATCCCTATGAAGACGGCATTAGCGACAGTCATACTGATATCGAAGACATAGACTAATTGTTGTTGTTGTTGTTGTTGTTGTTCGCCTAACTAATGACATTTTTAATGATTCATTTAATAACGCCGATGAAACTCGCTATATTGAGGATTCCTACCTATTCAAATCATTGTTTTTTCTGGCATTTTTACTCATTATTACCAGAGTTTTAAAAACAATTTTGTGACTTTCTTTTTGCACCATACGTTCGTTTGCTTTAGGGTGAATGTTTGTACGTTACGAAAACTTGCATGTTCTGTCATCATATCACATCACATCGTTAATTTGATGATATAAGATCAATTATTAACTTACTACGGCTTCATTAAAGAGAGCATAATTTGTATAATGTACGTCTTTCATAGAATCACTTTCGATGTGCTTTGAAACATGATTCTTTTAATGTTAATTGCAGACAGAAATGCCGTCCTCAACATTATCATTGGCAACCCAATGGGATATTAAATCAAAATGCTTGAATAAATCGTCCACGATTCAGATTTAACTACTCTTAACACAAATATTACAGAAATATTCTGTAAGAAATTGAAAAAATAACAATTAGATTCAACTCAATGATTATTAATTGTACAAATTAAAGCATTTAAGACAGCGGAAACAAACAAATAACTTGACAACTAATTAACTAATTAACTCTAGAATATTCTGTCAAATAAAAAGAAGCTAAAAGTTGATAAAAGTCTATTGTAACTCAATGTACCACACGAGAGAAATTAAAGAGAAGAAAAACGAAAAAAACAATACTGACATAACATGGTTCTAATAAACAAAGTAACACGAGTATAATTTCTTGGTTGTTCTAGATGCCGCAACAATCCACGATTCCCTTGCACAAAAAGTGGCTTGTACCCTAGAATCAGTAGATGCTAGTTATCCCCATAACGTAAATACTCAAGGAGATATTTCACCAGAGCTTGAGAAGCAAACGTACTCAGAAAAACGTAGATTCTGGGAGGATATCACGAGGAAACGTGACAGTTACCAGAGATCAGAGTCTGAGGTTTCTAGGGCTTCGCAGTTGACTGTCAATGAGAGTGACAGTGAGTATCTGCAGAGTATTGTTTCTGAGGAGAAGGAGGAGGAGGAGGCTCCCACTATTCCCCAGAGGTCCGAGACACTTGAGGATCTGAATATCCCTGATATTTCCGAGTGCACGGTGGCCGAGAAGGCTCATTATTTCGAAGAAGTCATTCAGAAAGAAGCCATTACTATTTCGCGACCGCTTTCCAAAGTATTTTCACAAGATTCTAAAGAGTCATTCAAGGAGAGACGAAAGAGCTCGATTGATCAGACATCGGTAGGGTCTGAGCATGTAGATGCGAAGGGCGAAATGGATGAAGAACCAAAAGTTATTGAGGAAAAAGTTGAGACGATGATAGTAAATTCGGCGAAAGAAATAGCACAAGTAGAAGAAAAAACTGTTATTGAGAAGAAGCCAATTTTTCAGCCGAAATCTCGTGAAAAAACTGATGAACCAAAAATATTGAAGGGTGAGTCTTCGATACCAAAACCGATTCAAAGAAAATTAGAACAAATTAAAGAACCAAAAGCACCACAAATAGAAATTCCGGTACAAAAAGAATGTGTTGTTGAAGATAAACTTGTCCAAATAAAAACAGATATAAAGGCTAGGGAGATGACGGAAGAGTTCATATCTTCAGAGGCCAAGTTTAGTGAACAGGAGCTTGAATCATTGAAAGAAAAAGTTATAGTTCCCTCAGCGATCCCCCGTAAATCTTGTGATGAGACGAAAGAAGAAAAACTGCTCGAAAACATAAAGAGTCATGTGAAGGAGTTGGCTATAGACAAAGAGCGCGAAATTTGCCAAGAGTTGATAATTTCAGAGTCTAAATTTGTTCAGGAAGAGTTAGAACACACGAGCACAGAGAAGATTCAGCCAAGCCCAACTACGAAAAGTGAATCGGAAGTTCTTGATGCTAAGATTCCATCTATGATTCCTCGAAAAATAAAACCTGAAGCGATGACTAAATCCGAGCCAAAGAACGAAGTCGCGGATGTGAGGGATGACATGCCAGTATTGAGACGAGATTCTTCCAATCTGTCCGAGAAATCCCTATCAAAGATACCAGTTCTCTTACCGAAAGAAGAAATCCCATCATTGCGACGAGAAACTTCCAACCTGTCTGAGAAATCGATATCAAAAATACCAGTCCCCTCATCTAAAGGAGAAAAAGACAAGAAGCCAAAGGATCCAGACTCCGAGAAGAAAGATGGAGATTCTGAAAAGAAGAAAGAATCAAAAATACCGAAACGGATATCTGAAGCATCAACGACGGTAACCGAAACAAAGATCACTGAGAAGGTATCTCAACACTACCAGAGACACACGTCTGAAACTAAAACCCAGTCTCAGGTGATAACAAAGACATTCACGGATCCCAGAAATGCCTTCAAAGCGTTTGAAGATATGGAAATGATGAAAGAGCCAGACACATCTGTGACGACTTCAACAGTAGACCACAGGGAGTCAACCAAGCTTGAGAAGAAGGAGGTTGTCTCTTCAGAGATATCTCGAGGGGATGAGAAAATAGTGAAACGTGAGGAGAAGGCACAAGAGCTGAAGGAAGAACTCAAAGAACAAACAACAAAGACTGAGACTCCGGAGGAAATAGTACAAGATAAGAAGATCAAACAAGAGAAATCACAGAAAAGACTGAGTCAAGAGATTTCAGTGGCAATTGCGGAAGGGAAACAAGTCATTGATGCAGCAGCTTCGCAATCAACTACATCAATCAAGGATAAACAAAGTATAAAATCCCTTGAGGATAATGATGGGGTTGTGATTCAGAAAGCTGGCTCGAAGATTTTGAAAGAACACGAGATAGATACAGCAATGAAAATTGAGAAAGATGAGTCTCTCTCCAAAGAAGAAAAGGAGATCGATGCTTCTGATTTGGGTATGAGCCTTGAGGATCAACTGAAGACCGCAATTATTCGAGAGGAATCTCGTGAACAAGTTTCCCGTCACTTTGACACCCAGATGTACCCCTCAAGGGACACCAGCGAAGACACTTTGAGAACTGACAATAGCTCGGAAACCCTAGAAGATCATCAGTTGAGAGTTGCGCAAGAATACCAAGCTAGGAACATCGCTGAAGACCTCGTACAGCAGATTGAGGAGGAAATCGTCAAACGGTCGGAGAGTTGTGATGGTTTGAAGCTAACAATGGACGAGATAAAACACCACCAGGAGGACCGATATTCCATGGACCCTGATGAGGACTTTGACAATCAACTCGCTGATGATTTAACCAACAAGTTCGAGCACATGATGACAAAACGGAGGAAGGATTATATTCCGGAGAAGGACTCAACACGTGGAAGCCTCAGCTACAGTGATGATTTCACTAAAGATGAAGAGTCAACACCTCACGATCGAGATGGAAGTCTCGCCTCATCATCCTCACAAGCTAAAATTATGGACCGAGACATCACGATGAGCCCCAGCAGCATGTCAGACCAAATCGAGCTGGAAGAGTCATTGGGATCCGAAAAACAAGACGGCGCGTCGAAACCTTCCGTTGAATTCCCTCCGGAAGTTAAAGTCGCTAAAGGGTGCTTCTTCGGTTTTACAACAGAAGAGTCAACACCTCACGACCGAGATGGAAGTCTCGCATCATCATCCTCACAAACTAAAATTATGGACCGAGACATCACGATGAGCCCCAGCAGCATGTCAGACCAAATCGAGCTGGAAGAGTCATTAGGATCCGGAAAACAAGACGGCGCGTCGAAACCTTCCGTTGAATTCCCTCCGGAAGTTAAAGTCGCTGAAGGGTGCTTCTTCGGTTTTACAACAGAGGAAGTCACTCCGATGCGATTTGAGGCTTACGAAAGCACAGGAGCTAGGGTTCTAGAAATTCTAGAACCAGACAATGATTATCCAACTCGACAGGACTCGATCGACATATCTTCTTTTGAAATAGACGAGCAACGGCACTACCGCTCCGACGATGAAGATCTATCGCTCAACGATAAATATATCAAGGATCTAGATTTTGGAAAACTTCACAAGAGTCCTGAGATGGAGTCTCTAGACAAAATCGGCCAGGATCGTGATTTGACGTTCTCTCCAAGCACCGTTTCAGAGTCTTCCATGGTCCAGGAGCGTAGTATGAGTTCATCAATGCTTGCTAAAGGTACTGATTTAATAGAGAGTGAAGATGGTGGCTTTTCATCGATGGAGCCTGAAAAGACTGAGAAGACACCAGAGAAAATAACAAAACTGGACACTGCAATCATTGACAAGAGCATGATCCCATCAATAATCTCTCCCAAGATAAAAGTAGCCGAATTGGAGATTAAACCAACTGATTGGCTAATCGGAGATGAAAAAATCGAAATATCAGAGACCCTGCAGCCGTCGCAAGTATTTGATAAAGAACTCGAGGAGTATCAGACCAGCATGATTAAACAACATAGTTTAACATCATCTGTCGAAGGCTCTGTGACGCGTTCCTCCGAGGACGTTAGCACGATAGACTCGGTTATCGATGGTTCGAGAGCAAAAATTATCATTGATCCAGCCAGCGAAATAGAAGTTGATCAGGAATTAGTTGAGAATAGATTAGAAATCAGCTGTCAGGAACTTGTTGACACTCTTCAAAGGGAATACGAACTAAAAACTCCGACTGACGACAAGCCTCCACTGACTCCCAGAAGAACATCTGAGAGTGATGGAGAATTTGAATTTGTCGACGAGCAAGAGGGCGCTATTCAGCAAGTTCAGAAGGCATTGGGCTTCCAAGAAAAGCCCCTGGACGTTTTTGATGTTGTTAAATCTGCAGAAAAGCCAGGCTCCATTAGTGAATCGTCCTCAGAGAAGGAGGCAATCGGAGGTGAAGAGTTGAAATTAAAAGAGAAGAACGAAGTCGAAGAAAAAGAAATCGACACAAGCGAACTCAAGGACAAGAAAGAGAAGAGACACGAAGAGATGAAGATGGAAGTGGCCCTGAAAGGTCTCAAAGAATCCTTAGCAGGAAAAAAACCTCCAGGTGACGACTCAAAGCGTCATCCAGAGAAGTCCGCTGACTTGAAAGATAAACAAGGACACACTGGTTCGAGTGAATCCAGTCCCTTCAAACGAAAGAAAGACCCCAACGTTGACCTAAGCGCTAGATACGCTATAACAGTTCTCGATCAAGTTGTCAATAAAGAAATTGCTGAAGTGAAGGAGTCCCTAGAGGCCGCGAAACAAGACTTGATTGAAGAATTAAGCGAGAATAGCGAGACAGTTTTCCAAATTAAAGACTCACCATCGGAATTTCAATTCAAACTCGAGCCAGAATCAATTCCAAATGATCTTCCATTTTTGTACAAAGGTCCTTCCGTAGACCAAGTAACAAGAGATGAAGATAATGCATCGTCAGAATCGCCAGTTGCTAAACCTAGGAGACAGGACACCCAATCTGATGAGCAGGAATCATCAGAAAAGAAATCCTCTGATAAAGAGGAGTCAGATAGGTCCAGTGAACTAATTGGAGACAAATCAGACTCGGCTGTCAAGGTCTCGATCTACAAAGACGCTGAATCCCTAGAAGAATCCCTATCCTTACCAATTGCCACTTCTAGATCCACTTCTGACGTTGATAATAAAGACGATCTCTCTTCTTTATCAGTGCCACCTCAACCTGCCCCACGTCGTCGACAAAAACCCATAAGAGTATCCAAAAAAGGACATTCCGCCACCAGTGAAGCTGAATCCAGTTCAGGAGAGAGTAGCAACTATCAATCATGTGATTACGAAATTGGTTCTGGGAGTAGACCAAGTTCTTCTGACATCGAGGCCCTGCAATCGGCCGCAGGAATGCCCTCAACAACTGCTTCAGAATACGAAACTGCAATGATGTCGATGGATCATTCTTCGCGATCACGACCAACATCTCAGGAATATCACAGCGCTGTCTCCACCTTGAGTTCCAGAGAATCAATGAAATCCTTGAATTCTCTAAGTTCTGGCCATCTTGGAAGTATCGATAGCACAAGCGAGTTGACAGACACTCTAGTGGCTTCTGAATCGGAAATTGATGAAGGGAAAATAGGAGAAAATTTGGAATTAGCTCTCGATGAAGATGAGAAACCATCTGATTCAGAAGAAAGTGAGATCCCCCTTGACGATTCCTTTGACAAGACAAGCGAAGACGTGCCCTGCAAGATGAAGCGATCGTCCGAGATGATTTTCCAACAGCAGATGTCAGAAGACCAAGACTCTTCGTCGATTCCCGGAGCCTTTGGCTCAACAGAAGACACCAAAGTCACTTCTAGTATCCTAATCAGCGAAGACGATGACCTGAAGACATCGACCCTCGATGCGCTCTCAGAACAGATAAGCGGAAAAGCGGAACTTGGCTCTTCATCCCCTGAAATCCGACTGAAATCAATCGAGGCGCAATCAACCGGCGATGACATTGATTCATCTGAATTAAAAATGAGTTCGTTGAGTACAGCCGCAGCTGATGAGGTCGCACTCCTTCTGACAAAACGCTCAGTTCTTCAACAAGCCAGCATGTCAACATCATCGACCTCAGGGATGTCCGTGGAAACAGTGATAGAACGTGAAAAACAAGACAGGCATTCACCGGATTCCGATTCCTTTGAATTGGTCGACAAACCCGATATTATTGATGACTTTGTCGTTATTGAAGAAGTAGGGAGGGAAGCCGAGGAGTTTGACTCTGAAGGCAAGAGCATCTCCATTAGTGCAAAACCAATGGCAGCGGTGAAAAAATTCGACCGTGATGTTGAGAACCTGATAACAGAAGCAACAGATAAAGTAGAATCAGTAGGATCACAACTATCTCGAAACAATGAACTCTTTGATTTCGAATCAGAGGAGAGTCCTCCGCAGGCTTCCAACGATGATCAGTACTCGCAGTCCTATTCGGATGAAGAACAAGACAACAAAAAGTGGATGGAGATGCAGTTCGCAGCGGATCCAAGGGGATACGAAGTGGAATACGATCGGGGTCCTCTCGAAGACATCAAAGAGGAAGAGATCACCGATTTCGAGGCTGGCAGCAGTCGTTTCGGAAGTCTAGGAAGTCACAAAGGATCGCTAGGCTCCAGTGGAAGTATGAAGGGAAGTTTCGGTGCTGAGTACGACGTTTTAGCTGGACGAAAAACATTCTCAAAATCAATCGAACATGACAATATATCCATGAATTCCCTTCAAGAGTTTGAGAATCTCGAGAGCGCGGTTCAAGGGGAACTCGGCAAAAAATTCACTTGCGGCTCTCAGGATTCCGTCAACAATGGAAGCCTTCCCAGAAGGTACATCACCAGTCGGTCAGGCCATGGTGACGATGTGTCAGTATCCTCGCTGAAAGACTTCGAAGGCCTCGAGAAAGCCTGTCGTGACGCTCACATGATAGAACTTCGAGCGAAAGAGGAGGAAGATCTTCTCGAGCATGAGAGCCCCGAAAATCGTTACAGATTAGAGAATCTCCCGAAGCCGAAACCTGCGGAGAGCAGCGCCACAGGTTCCTTCAATCCCAGCACTTCCGGATCGGACGACTACGAGAAGAGAATAATGGAGATCGATGAGATAATCAGAATTGCTCAAGCGAATGTTGAGAAGTTCGACAGGCAAGACGACACAACCGAGGATATTTCACAAATCGAACCAGAGAAAATTGAGCCGGGGGGAACATTAACTCTTCCTCCAGAGAGGGAAGACTCCCCCAAGACTAAAGAAGAAGGGAACATCATGGAGACGAGCACAGATTCCCTAGAACTCGAAGGCGACGAAGCGGAGAAGAAGAACAATCTCATGTGCAGAAGTTCCGATTCCCTGGAGATGAAGACGACTGTTGACTTTCCTTCCTTGAGTTATTCAGATTCTTTGAATAATATCAGGGATACGAAGGAGGCGGGGTCCTCGGTGGATCAGTTTAGTAACACTAGAAGGATCTCCTCGGATTCCCTCGAGATGCCAGTGTTGGAGCATCCTGAGCAGGATAAAAGTGCTAGCGACGCCAGTGGAAGCTTCCAAATGAGAAGCGAAGGGTCTCTAGAGGTCAAGATCACTAAGAATGGCAAGACCACGTTTCCAGCTACTACAGATGTGTAAAAAGCATTTCTAGGGTAAGATTGATATATTTTTCATGCTGTCAGTGGGAAATAATCGGCATTTCTTGTTTTCTTTTCTTTTTTCGTTTTCAGAAAAAAATGTCGAGTTTTGAAGCGATTGGAAAAACTATCTGATATAATGTGAAGAAGCTTTACATGTGTGGAAGCTCGAGGAAAATTATTATCTCGAGGCAATGGTATTTGCGGGGCTTGTGCATTTGTGAAACAAATAGGATTTTACTGTATCGTTATTAATTTCTAAATCGTCGAGACGTGAAGGAATGACACAAAGTCGAGATGAAATTTAACGCTTGATGAAATATAAATGAAACAAAGAGAAGAAAATAATTAAATTGTTGGGTATATGTGCAGTGTAAGGATGCGTAAGTGTAGTTGATAAACACAAAGTATAATTGCATCTTCAGATATTCTTCGTAATAATTTACTTTGAGAATAGCAATGTTTTTAGAATGAAAAAACAAAACACAAAAAAAATTTTGCTTTATTGTTTTAGACTTTTTACACGCATTACGTTGCTATTTGTATATTGAATATTTTGATTAATTAATAATGAAGCAATTTAAAGATATATGTTCACTTTGTACTATACGTAACAGTAACAGTGCTGTACTTGAAAAAACTATTGTGGCATCGTTTTTGTAAAACAATTTCAATCTTGATATAATGCCTTTTTGATGAAAAATATGAACGGAAGGGGTGGAGAAGAACAATGGAAACATACTCATTTTTATCTTAATAATTAAGTGAATTAAAGTATTATACAATTAAAAACAATAACAGTCGTATTATTTTTTCGAGTAAATGTTTACATACGAAAAAATTTAACAGAAAAATCAAGCGAAATACGTAGGCGTTTTTTTTTCTTTTTTTTTGTTCAATAGAAATGTTCAAAGATGAAATCCTGTTGACATTTCCTATTGAAAAAAAAACGTAAAATAAAGTGAAATTCTTTAATGAAGTTGGCTAAAAACAAATACAACTTTCTATGGTAGTATTCGCCTGTTTTTTCTATGAAATTTCTTAGTGCATTCCTTAAACACAGGTTTACCAAACTGTCAATACGGCTTTAAAAGTTCACCAATCCCTTATTACGTCATTGAATCAATACCCCAACCCAATGACACGGTAAACTGTACTGAGGGAGTATGCCACGTGGATTAGAATTCTTCGATTCTACGGCTGCTCCTATATACCTCCTGTTCCAGCCATCTTTTCCAGCCATGTCTTTCTTTCTTTTATATGAAATTCAATTAAGAAATAAGTCCAAGGTCTTGTGTAGGTTCTTAACGTTGATATAATGTGAATACAAACAAACCAAAGAATAATCGCGACGGTACGTGATGTGAAAGCTGCGTTCGTACCTCGTCTTCTGATTCTCGAGTCATCCAGATTTGTTGATCCTACTGTCTTCTGTTAATAATTGGTATTGTATCTCTGATTGTTTTTACGCCCCAGAAGCAGCAGGACGTGAGGTAGATGAGAAAGATGAATTTTGATGTGATTTGAGGCTCGATCAAGATGTCATTTTTGGTGATGTATAATTGAAGGACGCATCGCGTGAGCTCAATCATCCCCGCATATTTGTACTTGTCGAAAAGGAGACCGATTGTCGTCAGTGCAAAGATATTGTTCATTATTATTGTACTTTGGTTCAAGGTATTGCAGTCCTGAAAGACAAATGTGAGTGAAAAAAATTCATGTGATTTTCAATTAAACTCACTTGTTTTTCTCCGTAAAGCTGATAATGCGTGTAAAATACGACGATAAAATGCATGATAATATAAATCTTCAGGCAAAAAGATATCTGAGGATTATATTTTCTTCTGGAGGTGACGTTGACTTTGTACTCATCAAGGCCGAGTCTCGGTGCACCTGGAAACCAGCTCGGTCCTTTCCAGAAAGCCGCCAATTTATTTCCCAGACTTGTCATACTCAAGCTCTTTACGAACATTGCTTTTGTGTAGAATGTCTGGAGATACAGGGGATTAAATGTCCGGGGGCTCACGACGAGGCCGTAGATTATTTCCTCCTTGATTTTTTCACTTGTAAATGTGCCAAAGAGACGATCCCAGATTATTAGAACACCTCCGTAGTTTTTGTCGAGACAGTATAAATTGCATCCTAGGTCAAGTTGAATATGTTGAGGGATTGGCATTTTCAATTTTAATGGAGAAAGAAAGAATTTTTCCATTTTTTTTGTGAATTTGTTTTTTTTTTTTGTAGAAAAATGCTAGTTCAATATATATTATCATCTGATTTATGGCTCACATGAATGGATTCATGGAATTCCCAAAGAGAAATTGAGGAAGAAAAAAAAACAACGAATGCCAACAATAGAATTCAATAGAATTCCAATGATATTTTTCCTAGTTCAATGTACCTTACAAAACCCCTCATCCCAGCACTTGTTTGGCTTCGAAGGCGAAGGTTAAAAGCGTCTTGGCATTACAACAATTCTCCTACCAAAAACAAAACCTACCATGATGCACCCGATGATGTTTCGGTGTATTGAAAACGAGCTCAAGGGGTCCGAGGTCATCGATTACAGTCGTATGAATCCATAATTGATAGATAAGATTGAATTGATGATGCGCTATGAAGTGGGACGGTGGTATGAAGGCAGCAAGGGGTAAGTAGAACATCTGTAAATGGAGATAATAATGCAACTCGTCTTCTTTTTTTTGGACCTGATGATTGAATAACATTTAGAGGTATTGATAACGTGTAACATGAGTTGTTATTCACTCACGAAGCTGCACCACTGTTGCAAGACAGACTGCCGCAGTCCAACCACAAGATTGAATTCCTCACTACTATGATGTACTTGATGTTGAGCCCACAAGAAGTGAATTTCTCAAAAAACAATAATTCGAAATTATTGCCAATGAATGTTTCAAAGGATTTATTTGAAATTATACGTGCGAAAAATTTCGTTGAAATGCCCAACCGATTCGAAAATTCTATTAGTTGTTGGGCGATTCTATTGACTAATGCTAAGTAGAATTTAATTTTTTTATACAATTTTTTCTATAGGCATTGCTCGACATGAATTTTCGAAATTTTTCCACCGTATTTTTCTTCTATTGGAAAAAAAAACACGCATGCACACATAAAAAAGCTGCACGAAGCGAAATGTTTAGTAAAAATTACGGAACTCACAATTCACTCACCGATTACGGAATCGACTCAGAAAATTTAAGTGATGGTATCGTAATTTTTCACAGGAGATTCAGATAAAAAGTACGGAACGCTCCGGAAAAATTCCGTGACAGTTCCGTAAAATTTCCTACAATCACATTTCGCTCCGGAACTACGGAAAAGATACGTAATTTTTATTGAATATTTCTCTCCGTGTGGGAAATTTTTCATTATAGAATCGGCCAAAAACTAGCTAACAGAAGGTTGACTAAAAATGGCTAGGTTTTTAACAATGAAAATCGTTACCATGATTGGCACGATGCACCCAATAGTAACAAAAATCAACCCCCAGAGCCGTCAGATACCATGTCCCCACAGAATTCCACGGCAAACTCCATATCCGATAGTCTTCATAAATCTTGATGTACAGATAGTATTCGGCACCGCGACACAATATTCTACAACATCAACAATTGTTTTTTTTTCTTCACGAGGATGTAGAGTTTCATGAGGATGCAGATTCACATATAGAATTACCTAAGCTTACCGTCCAGATTCCGGAAGAATCCAGTTGCAGAGCGATGTAACATGATCGTTCAAGCGAAAAGTACTTTGTTTTTTTGAGACAAGAATTATCTGCTCGAGGATTATCAATATGAAGAACGAGGGCCAGACCTGTAGAATTATATTTCCCCAATTTTGTCATAATTTTGTCAAGGTGGAATAAACTAATGAGCAATTTACTCATTGAAATAATGATAGCTCCAATGAAAATGTACATTCAGCAGATTTTTTCAACAAAATAATAGTTGAAAATTCTCTTATCAATTTGAAAAATGACCAATTACTTCAATTTATTGGAGCAATCGTATTGCTCAATTAAACAAAATTAATTCCTACAATTGAAAACATTTATTTCACACCTTAATTACGAAATGAAAGAATTTTAACAGTGAACAATGCAGCTAAAAAACTCGTTAAATTGAATGAAATAATAATTACCTCTGTCTGATAATCCGGCACTTGTCCCTCAAATTCAAAACTCGCCTCATAGGGATTTACAATGTACCACAATTTTCCGGCATGCCTCAGGTATTGAAAATACCCACCCGATTTTTCCCGTGTATTATTCATCATCACTGACCAATTGTGCGATCGCTAATGCCGATTAAGAAGTGCGTACATACACGGCAACGTCGCCACTGAACCCTCCTTGTGGTGGCGTTTCGATAAGAACAATAAAAAGAGAAGGCAAAAAAATATTGAAAATAAAGAGAAGAAAAGTGGAAAACTGCATCGGCAGCAATTGCCCACCCATTCAATATGACAACTCTCTGTCTTTTAGTCGTTGAACCGCATATGCATTAAGTACACAATTACATAAGCATTTGGCGCACGTGAATTTATCACACGCACAACCGTTAAAGCTAATAATATTTCACAGTGCAAAAAAGCTTTTTTTAATCAATTTATTATTGCAAACCATTCTCGTCACAATTTCATGACTATTTTTTCATCTTCTTCATTATTTTTGATTTAATGAATTCGAGACTGTCAATTCATCAATATAGTCGGGATGAATGAAAAATTAATGTAATTAATATAATGCGATTTCACTGAGACTGCAGTTTTAAAACTCACGGTTCAACAGACGACTGCATCGAATTTTTTACTTATATTTCCTCAGTACCCAGCATTTGCTCATTATTTTTGTTGACAAGGTACGTCTATTTTTATCATGCATTATCGGTCGAATGACTCAAGGACGTTGTAAATACGCGCCGCGTATATTTATTGTCGGTAAGGAAGATGTTGAGGTTATCTTGTGGGGCTTTTGTGTGTTTATGCGGCTGTGTAATCCACGTGTTGTCGAAGTGTTTCTATTAAATTTGAAATTGAAAAAAAAAATCCTCAGAAACGAATCAACAATTGCTCTGAATCCATTGAAATTGTTATTTGTCGTTCAGGTACGTTCACAGAACATTTGCAAAAGTTTTTTACAAGTTTATTTAATTGATTTTTCATGCTGGGAGAATTATTTTCGAAAGTTAGGTTAACTCTCACAAAATGAAGCCACAAGGGCATTCTTGATGTTTAAATTATCATAATTATTTCACAATTAGTAATTTATAAAATAAAAAATTACGAGGAAAGCTAAGAAATGAAAATCTTCATTATTATTTATCAATAATAATCAATTATCATCACAATTGAATTATTCACATTTCAGTAATCATATCAGTATAATCAGCGCCTTCCAATGAAGTTAAAAAAGACCCGCAAGACAAAAGTCGAAAAAAGAAAAAAAATGAAGAAAGATTTGAGTGAAATTACGACTGACGAGTTTTTCAACCAAGACTTTGAGGCATCAGCCACTGATTCTGACCTAGAGACCGGAAAGCCCGCGGATTCAGACTCTGAATGTGAGCTGGACCCCAAGGCCCACAAAAAGTCCCTCCAGAAATTGCAAGACACAGATCCAGAGTTTTACGAATTTTTGAAACAAAACGACAAGAAACTCCTCAATTTCGATTTGTCAGACCAGGAAGATTGTGAGGATGAGAATGAGAATGCGGATGAGGAGGTGCACGTGCCCAGTGAAAATTTACAAGTGGCCAGTGACGAGGACGATGATAATGATGATGATAACGAGGCCATGGAGAATAAATCCCCAAAGGGAATGACAAAAGTTACCCTAAAATTGCTCAAGGTCTGGCAAGAGGAGATCCAAAAGGACAAAACCACCAAGACGATCAAGAGCATCACCGAGGCCTTCCACGCAGCTTTGTTAACAGTAGCTGATCCAGAGGGTGCAAAAAACATTCGATATAAAGTTGAAGGTAGTGCAGTGTTCAATGGAGTCGTCCAATTATGCATTATCCACCTGCCCACTGCCTTCAGAAAATTGTTAAAAATCTCGTCAAAGTCAAAATTCGAGGCTCACAAGTCCAAGAGATTCGCCAAAATCAAAGGAACCCTCAAATCATACTTGTCTGATCTGCTCAGGGTGAGATTTCAGTTTGCTGTTGAAATTTTCCTGTTTGACATTTGTCTATTCTGGTTCGAGTCTAAATTCAATTATTATGATCTTGTATTTTAGATTCTTCAGAATGTTACATCACCAGATATTCTTACGGTCCTGTTGAAGCACCTTCATCAGATGATACCGTATACTCAATCATTCTCTTCGTTGAATAAACCTTTGATGAAAATTTTACTCAAGCTCTGGTCTTCTGGGGAGGAGACTGTGAGAGTTGTTGCTTTTTTGAATATTTTGCAGATTGCCATGAATAGGACTGATTCTACTCGTGAGACTTTGATGAAAGTAATGAGAATTAATAAGGATAATTCATTTATTTATTGCATTATTAATCCAATAATAGATATTATTAATATTTTGTTTCTTCTATTCAGACAATGTATATTAAATACGTAGAAAATTCAAAATTCGTATCGGAAAGTACATCAGCTTGTATAAACTTCATGAGGCACTCGTTAGCTGAGATTTATCTCCTCGATCACAATCTAGCCTACACCCATGCATTTTTGTACGTTCGCCAGCTCGCGATACATCTGAGAAATGCAGTTACATTGAAGAAGAAGGTAATGGCCTCTTGAATCATATTGATTGGAGCCACCAATTAAAATAATAACCATAATAATATAGAGGGGTGTGATATCCGGCTGATGAATAATCAATCAAATCATTGCTGAAAATTTCTCTTTAATTTTCAGGAAAACTTTCAAACTGTCTACAACTGGCAGTACATAAACTCCTTGAGATTCTGGACAGAATTAGTGAATCTATCGAATAGTAAATCAATGTTGAGATCTCTTCTCTATCCATTGGTACAGATCATCATTGGGACAATCACATTAATTCCAACAGCACAATTTTATCCATTGAGGTTCCACTGCTGTCAAATGTTAATTAACATTTCCAAAGAGACAGAAAAGTTCATTCCCGTTTTGCCATATTTATTGGAGGTGAGAGAAGCCATTTGAAGATGATTACAAACAATTCTATTTGTAATTTTATTGATTTTAATGACCATCTGCAATTTTGAAATTGTAGGTATTGACATGTTACGATTTCAACAAGAAACACAAATCAGTGACAATGAAACCATTGTCATTTATATGTCTATTGAGAATGTCAAAAGGTCAATTGCAAGAGAATGGCTTCAAGAACAGTCTGATTGATAATATTTATCAATTGATCCTGGAGTGTGCTGCCAAGGATAGCCACACGATATGTTTCCCTGATATGTATGTCTTCTGTATTATCCAGGTAAATATATTTAAAATAAAACGAGTGAATAACAATATCAATTAAAAAATTTTCTCTGTACTAATTATTCATCTTTGCAGCTAAAATTATTTTTAAAGAAATGTAAAGTCGCCAACTTTTGCAAAAAGATGAAGCAACTCATGGACAAAATTCAGGAGAATCGTCAGTTCATAGAGACAGAACGAAACAAGATAATCGTGGACCTGAGTGACATGCCAACAATCAGAAACTGGGAGAACACAATTAAAAACAAAGGGACCCCACTATCTAAATTCTACCAGTCCTGGTACAATCTCCACCACTCCCAGAAGCTCAAGATGTTGACTCAGAACGATGCGGAGGGAGACTTGAGGCTGCCCATCCTGAAAAGATCAAACAAAAGAAAGCAGGGGGATGATTTCGATCATGACAGTGATCTTGACATGCCCGTGGAGGAGATGAACAAGCTCCTAAAGAAGCAGGAGGAGAAAAAGAGGCAGAAGAAGAAGCAGAGACAGAAGATGACTCGTGAAGAGGACGAAGAGGATCTTCCCACTAATGATTCTGATGTCGTTAAAGACACAAATTTAGATGATTGGAATTAACTAGTTAAGATTTTCACGAAATATTTATACACCACAATATTTTCGTTTTTATCAAATGGTTTTTCAATCTTTTGTTGATTTCTTACGTTTTAATATTGATGCTACAGTTCATCGGCAAGGGATAAATCTCGTCGATTATTTCCCCACACAAATCCTCAACCCATGCAAACAGCATAAAGTTCCAACCAATCCTAAGGTGTCGCTTCTGGTGGTCTATTTTTACCCTTTTTCACGATCCACAGTCGTGGAAGTTAGTAGCTAACGGCTGGGCCACCTAATATAAAGCCACAATCCCTCGTGTTGTAATTAGCGGTATGTAAAAAAAAAGTGAATAAAAAGTTTTGAATATTGAGCGTTGTTGAAAATAAAAAGCCCACCAACAAAAAAACAAAATACAGGAATAATTAAAACGTACGTGGCTAATTATTCGTTTTGTTTTGTTGAAAATTTAATTCCCATAGAGTAGTGGAGTTTTCGGTGAATATTAATATTCATGGCATGAAACATCAACTTTTGGAATTGACTTTTGGAATCTATTTCAATGAATTGTTAAAATTATCGAAATTGTGAGTTGTACATAGAAATACAGTTCCTTCGCTTGAAATATTGATGCAAAGGTCCTGAAATTGAATAAAAACTACTGACTATTGATGATTATATTGAAGATAAAAGTAAAAGAAATCAATTTAAAAAAAAATAGTTTTTTTCATTGTAAAAATATCAATTACGAATTGTCGATTCTCTTCATGCAAATGGGTGTGACAAAGCAAAATAAGAATATAACGCATTGCACCTTTCGGAGAAAAAAAATAAATAAAGAAAAATGATTTCAAGTTTTTCCCGCCACGGAATAGCCGGGAAATCTTCGTGTGCATGAAAAGCCGACGTGCCAAAATATATGCTGAATCCTCAGAATTATTCAGCAAGATTCAGAAATCCGGAGGTGGTTGTGAGTTACGCAGCGTGTTAACAGTTTACCCCCACAGTGTCGCATCAAAGTTCTGTGTTGGGTTTATTTGTCTATTTTGATTTGATACTTAACGAACGATTGCTATTACGTAAAATTTTGTGAATATATACACAATTGCCGGACTTATTTGCTATTTTACGAGGGATATAGGGATAGAAAAGATGAGAAGGGCATCCTTCGATAAGTAATTTTCTCTAAAAACTTGTTACTTTTGTCGTCGTGAACTTGAATCAATTAATTGCTTCTAAATCTTGGAATGCGTGAGAAATCCCAATCCGCTTATTATATCCCCCTTCAAACATTTACATGACAATAAAATTTCCTCAAAGGCCAGACGTAACAAAACTCTAGACCATTTCCTCGAAAAAAAAAAACAAAGTGCGCACAAAATTTATTTATACCCCTGTCGTTTAGTGAAAGTTCAATAGCCTTCGGAACGCAAAAAAACATCTCCTACTTCTCAAAGACCATATCTGAAAATAAACCTCATCATCGAAATGTAAAATTCCAGATGTTGACTGATATTTTTTTAAATATTCGCCCGAACGATATTAAAATGTTGTTAATTTCTCCAACCGAAGAAGCAATTGATTCGATTCGAAAGTGATGGCAGGTGGAGAGCTCACACATACACACATACGATATGTCAAAATAAAACGATCCGTCTGTTTATAAACCCACGGACATAACTGAGACAAGACAAGTAATTGGTGATTGAAAATAACCGTGGAAAATCCCGAAGATAAACAGAAGGTTCTCAAGTCTCTTTGAGACTGACTTGCTCTCCCCCCACCGCGTGAATTGAAAGCCCGGAGAACTAAATTTATTGCACCTCTCGTCGATCGCGTTAAGCAGATAACTCGATTGAATGGAACCAGATGATGGAATGAATTCAAATTTCTTTAATGTTGATGACGGATTTTGAGCATTTGGCAGGGACAATGGTCCCACGACAATTGCCGTTGTTTTTATTTTATTTAGTGAGGGCGTATTGGTTCGAGGCCGCGTTGATCTCGATTCTGAAATCGTTCGGATCGTCTCGACTGCATCCACTGGGTGACTTTAAAACGTATTACGTTACAACGGTGGTAGATAAATTTAGCGTTTTCTTTCTCGCAAGTTGTAGGATTGGTCGTTCGTGGCCCATGCCAATGCCGCAACGCGGAATTAATTGGCGTCTTGGATGGCAACCAATTCGTGTTCTTGTTTCCCTCTTGTCCTTTTTTTTTAGGGGGATGTTTTGTTGAAGCTATTGACTAGACCGGGAATTGTTTGGCACGGATTGGATTGAAGAAATGTCAATTCTCATGATGATACTTTTAGATTTGGGAATAAATGAGATGAATGATTTAACACGGAGTTTAGTTTTATTTTTCTATGAATAAATCTGAAAGTTTGAAGGGCTTGTGATTATTTAAACTGATAAATACTCAAAGAATTTCTATAGAAAGGATTTGTTCAATTGATTAATAATTGTAGTTCCGCTGAAATCTCAAGGAATTGTGTCATTGAAAATTCAAGTCCATTGGGGAATTTCATCATTCTTTCCTCCAAATGAAAGGCAACATCACTCTCTGGACGAGATATTCATCAAAAACTCAAATAGCACTTCGCTACTGATTTATTACTGCTTGAAACAATTTGGCTTGACGCTTCGTGACATATGACTAGCTACTCCTTGCTTGGTTTTGCTTTTCTCATCGCTTCATTCGAAAAGTTGCCTCAAAGTTCACTTCATCAATGAGTTTCTGTATTAATAGACATCTGTATATTCATCTCGTTATTTCTGATTTATTATTCCAAGACCACTAAACACAAAGCGCAGTAACGACAACTCGACATACCAGTACAGGGTTTCAGAGAATCTAAAAAATGTCGAGATAAAACGACTGAACTATCAAAATTTGGATCGAAATTGTCAATTGCAGAGAAGTACCTCTGCCGACAATGTTGTGATACGAACGCGGGGATTCAAACCGTCAGATAGGCACGATCCGTCCAAGAGAGTATTTCTTGAAAAATTGTCCACGAAAATTTTGCACTTCGACATGGTAAGTTGTTCATTACGCGGTAACGGGTAAATCTGCTTCTTCGCTTGTATTGGGACTTATCGGAGGACATGCTCGCATCACATTAATTAATTAATCGTTTAATTTTCTAATGGGATTAATTTTCTCGATTTAGGATAGCGGCGACAAAGCACCTGTTCCGATCAGTTTGGAAAAATTGCTAACACCTGCTATGGACTGTTCGGAATTACTTCAAACGAAGAGTATGTGAATTTGTTTAAAAGAAAGATTAAATGAATATATTCTTTTATCTTTTCATTGTTTTTTAAAAATTGTTTTTGTCGTCAAATCCACTAATTGAAATATGAAAAAGCGATTCGTGAATTCATGTCAAATACCTCGATTATGAGAAAATGGGAGAGAATCTTTTGGATTCTTTCATGTTTTACTCAACTTACGAATAATTGAACAAGTATTATTAAGACGTAATTTATCGTGTATCATTTTTCATTGAAGAAAAAATGTATGCATCTTCATGCTTCTACGCCCCAACCCACCCAACAGTGGAGGATCAAGTTGAACTCGCTCGGCGGATTTCATATTCGTTGAGTGATGCTAAAAATATGAAGAGCAAGGGCCAATCTATGTACGTCAATAGAAAGAAGAGATCAGTCAAATGGATCCACGATGGAAATGGTAAATCCCTTCACTCTCTTCGGCATAATAAATTCTATTCTCCTCAATTCTTAAATTACTTGCATTCCTATTCAGGTGCTGAAGCTGACGAGGAACCTCAGACGTCCATGTACAAGGTACATACAGTACACAGTCGTCAACAGTTACAACTAATATCTCATTGTCAGTAATTAATGTAAATCCTCTAATTTAGGATAAAGTGCCCCTGAAATGCATGATGAATCCAAACGGCAAAGTCCTGGACATTCATTGCATCCAAGCTCTCGGCGAGGAGCCAAACATCGGAACGAGTCCTATAAACGCTGACAAATTATTCGACATTGTTCGTGATTTAAATAATCACAAGGGACGAGGTGAAAATTTAAAAGAAAAACCTAGCGAATTCTTGGTACTATTTTATAAAAAATAAAAAAAATCAGTGTAATTTTATCTTTCTATACAAATCCCGCGATACAAAATTTTTTCCCCTCTATTTTTCTTCTCTTCTCATTGAAAGTTTTCTTTATTAAATATTTCTATTTTGGAAAAAAAACACACGCACACACACATACACTTTTTCCTGTTATTTAATCGGTAAAACTATTTCAGGCGCCGAAATATTCGCGAAACGCAGGAAAAGGTCGGAGAAATGGGTCGTCGACAAAGACCAGCCCTCAACTCCAACGCAAAATTACCCCAAAGCATCAACATACCCAAGCAAACTGGTAAACACCATTATTTCATATTTAGCCCCAACATTTCCAATGAAAATAACAGAGTTTATTGAAATAACTTCAGGATTATGGTGCAAATGAGAACTCCCAGTTGTCGAATATCCCACCACCCCAAAATGACTCGAAGCCCTTCTTCAACCCCTTTACGATGGATTTGTCACTAGATAATGGAAATATGCCATCGGGTGAGCAATTATGCAATTCTGTGTACTTTTTGAAATCTTCTTGGCAACCTAGTGTATTCCCGAGAAAATGCTATTGGATTCATAACGCTATTCAATTGTCTAACAACAATACAATATAGTATATTTCGTTACGAGTGCGGAAAAGAGTTTTTTGGCTCGTGGGAGGTTTATAGCACGAGCCGAAGGCGAGTGATACAATCCCACGAGCCAAAAAACACTTTGCCCACGAGTATCGAACGATATTTTTCATCACAATGTGTGGAAAAGTGAAGTTTTAGGCACGCGAAGCGTGTCTAAAAAGTTACTTTTTCGCACAGCGTGATGAAAATAGAATTTTCTATCGAATTCACTGGGTTTCTTATCATCGCCATCATCAGCTTGATAACTTGCGCCGCTTTCCGCTAACCTCTGCTTCGCTCTCCACCAAACAATTCCAGGAAGCGACCCCCGCTGGTCAAGACCACCCCCCGAAAGCTACTCGCGAAGATACGAGGAATCCCGAAAACCCGGGCCCGAAGTAAAGAAAATTTACTTGCGAGAAGTGGCAGTAGGTACTGAGCCAGACTATCCCATGAATTTCATCAACGGTCACCAAAATGGACTAATGCCGGTGGAGAAATCCCGGAGGATGTCCTTCGATTCCGAGCGCTACGAGTCATCTCAGCAGCAGATGAAGCCCCCCCACCGCATTAAGAAAAATGCAGGCCAGAACCCGCAGAGTTATGCCAATTACACCAATCATTACGTGAACCAATCTCAGGGTCAGGGTGAGCGGATGCTCGAAGAGGAAGATGAAAACGATTACACCCCAGTGCCAGTGAAGCAACTGATTCAGGAGTTTGAGAAAACCTGCCGACCCGTCCTCCAATACAAGCAGCTGAGTCGAAAAATCGTCCCCGTGGTGCAGCAACAAGCCCCACTGGAAGATATTTCTCGTTTCTTCAACGCGGCGCGACCCCAAAAAAAGTACGAGGACTCGAGAACCGTCGCCAAGTACGCCAGCAACGGACAGAGCGCTCACGGCAGTCAGACGACCTCCAACGGCCACGGAAATAATGGCTACGCCAGGGGCTACCAGGGGGCGATGGTCCCTAGGTACGAGTACGACTCGACTGATGATGAGATTGACGACTCCTTCGGGGAATCCAGTTGCTCCGAGAACGGACAGAATTACTACGGACCGAGTCCAGGTCCAGGCTTCTCAAGTGGAAATGGCCTTTCCGCAATGAGCGATTACGACTATCGACGTCAGATGTTCGATTGCGCCACTGAACAGCTCTTCGACTCTCCCGGATTCAGCACGATAATAGACGAAAAATTTGTCGATACTGAGGCTACCGTCGGGGCGGAAACTAAGGCTCTCAACTTGGCGATGATTGCCTCGCAGGAGGACATTATGGAACAGATCAAACAGCTCAGGAGGACTCCTGTTGTGGAGAATCTGGTGCCGGGGCCCTCGCCGGATCGCAGTAAATTGGGGGATTTCATACCGGAGCTAGGCATGATATATTTTTTATTCTTTTATTTTTAGCTTTATTGAAGCCGCTGCTTTCTTGCACTCATTCCTTTTCTTTCTCTCTCACACAAAAAAATAACTATGGTAATTAATTGATTAATATTGATGGTTTTCATTTCATTATTTTTCCAGCAAATAAAATGCTCGAGAGTACCTACAACGGCCCGAAAATTTCTAGCTATCAAGCCCTGACGAATTACAATACAGCACCACGCGGTTGGGATCAATCCCAAGCTGTCTACCGTCCTATCACTTTCCGCAAACCCCAAGAGCCCATTGCCTATTCAGATTTCTGATCAATATTGAGCAGAGAATATTATTGTTATCCACTTGTCTATGAAGGAAAATAAATAAATAAATTGATGAAATTCCCTATCCCGCCGCTATCCAAGAGCTTCGGTATGTTTTACTCATTAAAAATTATTAAAAGATTTGATCAGCAATGTGCTCTATTAATGATATTTTAATAATTCCCTGCCTTGTGTTATTTAACATCGACTCTATTCGTTTCTCACCGTGAGTAGAGAAAATGCTGCTAGAGTCGTATTATGACGAGCCAATAAACTAATTAATCTTGATTTTTCATAAATTATACGGCCAAATGGAAATACGCTTCATATGTACCCACAACTTTTCAATTAAAATGCTTTTGAAGGAGTTTCCTTGTCTTTTTTCCTTTATTACTGTATGCCAAGAAATGTTGTTTTTATAATGTCTCCAATATTATTCTGCAAATTTTGAACAAATCTCAAAAAGAAAAATCGATATCGTATAACCCTAGGTATGTATTATATACCTGCTGACTGATAAGTAGACAAAAACAAGCAAAAGTCAATCTAAAACGTTTGGATTTCAAGTCAAGTCAATCGACAAGATCGGACATTGATCGTTCATTTTTAAACAATTAATTGAATAAATAATTAGTTGGAATCACTCACCGGCTCCGCTTTCATCACCTGTACAACTGCCTACCTCCAATGCAATCCGCAAAGTTGAATCCTCTCGAACGCACTTTGTTTAAACAAAAAAATTGAAGAAATTTTTTCACACACACACACACACCACACTGACTTTAATGAGAAATTATTTCTCCCCCAACCCCATCCCCACTAACAACACTTTTTGCACTTCACTCACAATTTTCAAAAATACTGACAAAATCACCCAGAAATGCCGCCATCTTGCGTATTTGTCAATACGTCGGTAATAGGGGAATTTTAGAAAAACTTGAATACCTTTCACTCACATCTCCAAAAGTCACAAATAAATTGCTTTATATTCATTTATTTATGGCCCCTTTGGACCACAGAATAACACAGCAGGTGTTATCTAGCGATGTCTCGAGCTTTTTCATGTCAAAAAATTTTAGTGTTGAGCGCATATATTGTCTTGGGACTCATAATACATGAGAATAACAGCCAATTCCATCGTAAACCCATGAATGTCCATTGTTATCACTCAATTATTGCATTGTTTATAATTATTTTAATGGTTTTACCCTCATTCTCCTCGAAAATAACCGGAACCCGGAGCGAATCCCAACGCCAACTGCGAAACTGCGGTCTGCGGTGAGCGTCCATCGCCATTTTGTATTACATGCGCAGGGAGGATGCGCACTCAATGCCTTCTGGCGGGTAAATATTTTTATTTACAGGCGCCAGAATAGAATTTAATTTCATGATCAGATTATGACCATCTGTTATTTATAATTGATTGTCTCATTACGGATGATTATTGATTTTATACTTTTTTCCCTAACAAATGTAAACCTCTGATGTAAACACAGCGAATGTCAACAACCCGCTGGCAACCGCCGGTTCAATTGTTGCTGATTATTGCCACTTGGTGGCAGCACTCCGAAACTTGTGTGTGTGTGTGTGTGTGTGTGTGTCAGTTAATCATAACCTCTCGAATAAAAAAAAAGATAAAAAAAAACATTCGACTTTGTGTCTTTCTTGTCAATCAAAATTCAATTAAAATATGGATCTCCTAAAAGAGGAGATAATGAAAAAACGGAAGCAACTGGAGGAGAGTAACGTTCTCGTGAGTAATGCCCCTAGTTTCATCTCTATCAATAATTACACATGAGACATCCTGTTAAATTTTCGAAAAGCACAGGCTGGAAATAGAAAATACTTTCGAAGAGGCGATCTCATTTCCAAGGAGACAGCAACAGCACAGAGCAGTGGTTGTACAAAAAATAATACCGAGAACACAGTAGTAAATAGAAATTCGGAGCAGTCTGTTGAGAATACAGTGGAGCATCAACAATTATCCAGGCCAGAAGTTATAAGAAGAATGCGTGAACGCAGTGAACCTATTCTATTGTTTGGAGAATCGGAACTAGAGGCTTTCCAACGACTACGTAAATGTGAAATTTTGGAGCCAGAAGTTAATAAAGTGAGTTATTATATTTTGCATTCATCAATGCATTATTTAATTATTTGGCAACAATTGAACGAATTGCAACTGTTTTTTTTGTTGTTTTTTTTTTCATTAATCGATTCAACTATTCTTCACATTCAATTGAATTTCATTTGAAATGAAATAAAAAATAATTGATATGCAATCTCCAGGGATTCAGAAATGATTTTCAAGAAGCGATGGAACAAGTGGACCAAGCGTACCTGAACGAGCTTCTCTCCTCCTCAAAGCCAAATAATTGTGATAGAAAAGGAGATGTCAATGTTCCTGACGAAGAAATAACGTACGAAGACATTCAGAAGATGTCAGCGAGGTTGAACAGGGGAGACAGGGACTTCGATATGAGTGTAATTACCCAATTTCTCCAGTTTCTGGTACTCGTTTGGGGTAATCATTTGAATAGCCGGGGAACCGCCGAGAAGATGAGCACGAGGGGGAAAATGGCTAGTGCCACGTATGCACAGACTAGAGAGTATCTCAAACCACTCCTCAGAAAACTAAAAAATAAATCTCTCCCCGAGGATATCACCGACAGTTTGACTGAAATTGTTAAACATTTACTTGAACGAAATTATATTTTGGTAATTTTTATTCATTTCTTTTCTCTCTCTCTCTTATTTATTTATTGGTTTATTTATTCATTTTTTATTAAAACAAAGCACTGAATTCTATTTAATCTGATTAAAAGAATTTTTGCGCTTTGTTTTTATTTTCATTTAAAAAAATTAATTGGTACTATTGGAATTAATTTGCTGATTGATTTGTTTCAGGCAAGTGATGCATATCTCCAAATGGCAATAGGAAACTCTCCCTGGCCCATTGGAGTTACAATGGTTGGTATCCACGCACGTACAGGAAGAGAAAAGATTTTCTCGAAAAATGTAGCCCACGTGATGAATGACGAGACTCAACGGAAATACATTCAAGCATTGAAGAGATTAATGACGAAATGTCAAGAATATTATCCAACAGATCCCTCCAGATGCGTCGAGTATACGAAAAAATAAGTCTCAGTCAGTAACAATTATTTGAATTTAATTTTCTCAAATGAAAAATAATATCAATTGTAAATAAACACCAATGTCGATGATTTATTGAATTTTGCAAAGAGTATTATTATTATTATTATTATTATTATTCTTTGCAATTGTTACAATTTAATGAGTCTAGATTGAGGTGAATTATTAAATAATCCAAGTTATAAACATTAAAATCTAGAAGGTGTTATTGTTTTCTATCTTTTAATAATTCAAGTTCTCTTCTTATAAAAATGTAAATAACGCTAATGAAATAATACTTTCCTTTAAAAAATATAAAATAATTTCTCCTTTAAACCACGAATGCATATTGAATGAAAAAAAATGAACAAAAAAATGGAATGTTAAAATATTTAAGGTAATAGTTCTCTGGCTCGTTGAACTGCTGCGTCAATAGCATTCATAAGTGAAACCCTGACCCCACCAGTTTCCAGTGCATGAACTCCAGCGATAGTCGTTCCCCCAGGGGAGCAAACCTCGTCCTTGAGTTGTCCTGGATGTTTTCCTGTTTGCAAAACCATTTTCCCAGCACCGATCAGCATCTGTGCTGCTAGTTTAGTGGCTAGAGCACGAGGAACTCCATTTTTCACAGCTCCATCGGCTAATGCTTCTGTCATGAGGTATGCCTGTTTGAAAAATCAGATCAATTATCCATTGGAGATTATGTTTAAAAACGAAAATAGATTTGGGTGCTTACATAAGCTGGTCCGGATCCGGATAAAGCACTCACAGCATTCATCATCTTTTCATCGATTTTTTCTACAATACCAATCCTGGAGAAAATGGCTTCTACAAGATGACATTCTTGGGAATTATCCTGCCCCGGTGGGCAACAGTAAACTAAAAAAACATTATTGAACGGGTTTAGTTGTTCAAGCATTCTAACCAGTCGCAAAATCACAATATTCACCTGTGATACCTTCACCAACAGCCAAGGGAGTGTTTGGCAGCGTTCGAATAACTCGAAAGATATTCTTGGGAGGAAGAACCTGCTTCAATTTCTACATCGTATGAAAATGTGCGAGGAAAACTGACATTAGTTAATTTATTCTTATTCTTGGTACTTAAGAATGAACTCAATTGATGCATTCGTTTCGGAATTTCAAACATTGAGAAATTCTTAAAGTCCTCAACTCGTTGTAAATTGGGCTTTTCTAGTTACACTGCTTTCCTCCAAATACTTTTTTTGCATACCTCAGTCAATGAGTCAATGGGTATTCCCACTATTACGGAAACAAACAGTTTGTTGGGAAGATCTTCCCTGGAGCGTAAAACGTGTAAAGACGCCAGAGCAGTGTCTAAAAATTGCGGTTTCACCGCCAAAATAATGGTTTTACAATTCAAAATAACTTCTGAATTATTCAGGGTGGTATGTACACCCAATTTCTTCCAGAACTCGAGGGTTTCCTCAGTGCGAGAAGACACCCAAATATGATCGGCTTGGAAAATTCCTAAAAAAAATCCCCGGGGTTTTAAATACTTTTAAAATATTCCATAATCCACCATTTTTTTCTCGCACATTTCTTCCCTGATATTGCTTCCACAGGAACTCATGCTACTGGTATTGATACCAGTTTTTTCTCCTTCCCTGTGATCCTTTCAATTCTCTCAATTAATTTTCCTTGCAAAGAAAAGAGGGTTATTTAATATTTAATCTACGTGACAGAGGAAGAATTGTTACTAGAAAAATATGGGTGAAAAAAACATTGGGGAAGAAAAGACGGGGCATTTATTACAATGAACTATCCCCATTGACTAGAAATAAAGATTACCTCTTTCAATTAGTGTTGCGCCTATGGCACGTGCCATATTTCCACCCCCAATGAATCCAAAGGTTTGTCTGAGTAAATTCGGGGGTGGTATTTGATCTTGTGCCATTGCTAACACGAAAAACAGCTGAAGAAGAGAAAAGAGAGCATATTCTCAGCGTTAATATTGCCTGATTTACGTCGTTATATCATCGAATAATTATTGAAAGTTTCGTGGAAAAATTTTAATAAAATGGACACTCACCACTTGTTATTATGTCCGAGCAGTTTCTTTCCTCACGTGTTTTCTATTCAACCCAATGCAAAACAGCCAATCAGCTGATTTACGAACTATATATATACATTCTATTCTAGATTTAGAGATGTAGTATATATATAGTATGTACAAGAAATAACCTCTCAGATCCGAGAATAAAGCAGATTTCTTCATTTGAAAAATTAATTCAATTAATCTATGATTACTATTATTTTTATACTACTCTCTCTCTCTCTTTCTCTCTCTCTCACAGCCTTGATGGCGTTTGGCTCTGTGTTTTTTCATTTGTCTTTTGTAAGGGCATGGGGATGGGAACAAAATGTAAAAACCCGAAAGGGTATACACGTGAAAATAAAAATAAAAATAATTCAATTAATCAATCAAATTAATTAATTGTGGATTAAAAAATTCTCTTTATTGAAAATTCATTACCACTCATATTGATAATGATTTACTTCAAATTGAAAATATACAGACGACATGTATCGCCATGGACTTTACAATTTCATTCAAATATCATACATCATCATAGAAAAATCACACGTGTCTGAAGCATACGTAACAGCATTCACTTCAAATAAATTATAAAATTTAAGACTAAAAATAATAGATTATTAGTATAGGGGGAAATACTTTTTAGAATTCAGTTCTCTTTTGAAACACAAATATAAGGGAAATTTTTAATTTATTATTAATTTTCGACATTTCCTGGCGACGGATTGAGATCAGTGTTTGCTAATTGCATAACACGGTTTCATTAATTAATTAACAACATTTAGCCTTTCGCCTGACATAGCATTTTTTAAAATAGTTTAGTTTCATTTGTCATTTTCTTATGTAAGTAAAAATAATTATTAATCAGATGCGAGACAATTCTTACTTTTCGTTCATATACCATTCACGAAAATTGATATATCCCGTATGTTCCTGGATACTCTTTATCTTTTAACCTGAAAATTTTGAAATAAAAAAGAGAAAAAAACATTTTCCCTCGATAATTCTCACTATTGACAATAATTGGACACATTGATCCATAGAAAAATGTTCATATGCCAGACAGAAGGTTAATGAAAAAGGCATTAAGGCTGCTGTGACACGGATTCGAGAGGAAGGAAACACAATATAAATTGTCAAAGGTCCTTGTAGTGATATTTGCTAAAGTACGTCAAACTGCTCCATATTCCTCGCTGGATGGTGATTCATCACTAGGTGGCGGTCTCAGTGGTCTCGGTGGTCGAGGTGGTCTGTGGTGATGGAGAAGAGGTGCTGGTCTTCTCGGGGGAGGAGGAGGGTGCCTATGATAGCCACTGTCTTCTCCATCCTCACTGCTCGGTGACGACGAGGGTGCCCGATCCTCTTGCTCTTGTAGAAGTTGACGAAACTCCTGGATTGATTCATTCAGTGACCACAATTGCGACAACAGGGACAAATCCAGCTGACGTAATCCAAACTGTCAATGTAAGCCAATGTCAGATGGAATAAAAAGAGTACATTTTTATGTACAGCTCGGGGTTTAGGAGTGGATGAAAGTTTTTTTTTACGGAATTTTATAGAACACAAGGAGACAAAACATTGCTATAAGGATTTCACTCCACACGTCTGAAAAATTCTAAAAAATTTATCCTGCTTCACGACGTTGCGATTGAATTACGAGTACATCAATTTATGGTGCTTGCCTCTTCAATAGTGAGAGGAGATAACCACAACGATCAGAAGAAGACGAAAAAGGAGAAGAAGTACATCAATTTTCCTCAATATTTTTAAGGCCCATTCATTTAAAATGATATGGGTAAGCTACCCAGTAGTAGGACACTGCCCTATAGATGGACGAGCTACTTTTGGATAGGAAATTACGCAAAAAAATTCTGAAATGTGAATTGTTGCTTTCAATTTTCACTAACTGTTGTAATTCTTAACCCCTGAGTGACGATTTTTTTTCGATCAATTGCTAAAAAAACAAACGTCCATTTATTGGGCGGTTTTCTTAGGCGTCCATCTACTGGGCAATTTACCCTAATCTAATTCTTCTAACTCACACATTGAGTAATCTCTCATATTGTGCATTTTACCTAAATGTCTTGTTTTTTCTGATAATCAACACGAGATTATTATAATACGTATTTAGACATATCGTGGGAACAGTCTGGAGAAGCGATATAAAAAAAACGTAAAATGCGACTGAGAAAAGGCTCAGCTAAGGATATGCCAGAAGATGGGGGGGGGGATGTGAGAGGGAATATGAAAATGAAAAAAAAACAGCGAAAAAGAAAAGGTGGTTGCGAGGAGGAGAGGGAGAGAGTAAGTACAAGGGGTCACGTTGTCGAGAAAATCCACAACGTGGGAGTGTGAAATGGTGGTACTCTTGTGTCTTAGGATATGCCCTATGCTGTGTCCTTTCAATTGCATCAGATAGCAATGAAAGACAAAAGTGTATGATCGACTTGTAATGCCACTTCACTGCACTTTCCCATAAATCTATTTCAATGAATCCTTCAACTCTTGAAATCATGAGTCGAGACTAAGCGTTCTATAAGCGGGAAAAATGAAAAAAAAAATTTTTTCCTACATAGACGCAGATGAATTTAACTTTATCGGGCATTTTAAAATTCAAAAGAAAGCGAGTTGTGTAATAAATAAAATTATTAAATAATGTAAAATCGTAGTAAAAATTATTCAAACGAATGCGGTTTCTTACCATATTTTTATCATGAGAACATTTTCTATTGCTGTAGTTTGATTATTAAAATGGTATTTTTGTTGTAGCAAAAAATTGACAATCAATATCAAGTTAATTAATCATTATGAGTTATATTTCCTAGTTATTCAACCGAGCTCGATCAATCTCAATAAAGAAAACACGTGATATATTTTGACTTCCCTGACAATCGGCGACTAAATGTCATCCTCCGATAATCAGATGATTACGTAACTCACCATTTCTTTTCTTAGAATAGCAAGTTGAGTGTCAAGAGTGGTGAGTTGTCTACTCGGTGGCGATGGTCTGGAGCCCGACTGTTGTGGTGGCTTGTTACCTTTTGAGGTTTTACTTGATGATCTTGTCGGCGGTGGTGGTGGTGGCTCATTGTCCCTCCTCACCTCACTCAAATTGAAACCACTGAGACTCCTCGGTAGTGGCGGTAAACCCTGCAGTGAAGACATGGCTATTCTCTCACGTATGCTGAACATATCAGAAAAAATATAACTAAATAAATAAATAAATTGGATTTGAGTATTTCTAGAGGTGTTGAATGAGGTAGCCGGATTTGTAGGTGCACGAGGTGAGAATAAAAAAGAGATGCGTTTACTCAAGTTGTGGAAGAAAATGTAGTCAATGATTGTACATGAGCCAACGGGCCAATATGTTAATAATATTCAATATCCAGATTAACGATCCGGAGTAGTAGTAGTAGCAGTAGAAAACTAGTAACTAGCGCGGAGAGCGTTAAGACTTGATCTAATTTTCTTTTATTTTCGTAACGGACACAAGGCACGCCATGAGCATCCAAACAATGCCCCTCGCCTGGATAGTACCTGGAAAAATCGAGGTTAAATTTCATCCTCTTCTGGTTTTCATTGTCATCTCCCTCAATAGCACATTCATCTGCCCGATCATTGATTGTATCATCAGCCGGTAGTGTAATCTTGGTGGAAGAATAACGGACACCAGCCTCCAGCCAATCCTGATGCTGTATATTGTCTTTATTATCATCATTGATTGTAATTTTATTAGGCTCAGGTTCCTCGATCACAACAATTGTAGCACAATCCTGAGATGTGGTTTTTTTAATCGGTAATAATAAATGTGCTAATTCATGGTTGTTGACATCATCAATAACATTATCATCGTTGGTAACTTGTACTTTTGTCTTAATCAACGAATCTCCTTTGCGAGTTATTTCCTTAACACTGTCTGTGCCAATGGTATTATTAACAGTTTCACACACCTGCCTGTTACCCTCCGTGTGAATAATCTCAGTACCTTGAACTACATCCTTCCGGTTTGTAATAATAATATCCAAACTGTTGCCCTGAGATTCTATCTCGTTCGTAAACTCGGCAATATTTTCACTGCTCTTTACGATCAGTTCAGTTGGTTGTTGTTGTTGTTGTTGTTGCTGCTGCTGCTGGTGCCGCCTGTCATTCCTTTCACTACTGCTGCGACATTCCTGCCTTTTCTCCGGGTCATTCGTGACGCGCTCACTGCTCTTTATTGTCTGATGGTTTGTTATTTTTGATGATTGGTAAATAACAGTACGACCAACTGATGCTGGAGCGCATAATTTCTCACCAGGTCTCCAGGGTTTTGTGTTGGGTGGAGGTGGTGCTTGGCGGGTGGGACAGGGTGGCCTTGGATTGCATTTTAGGGCCTCTGCAACCACTTGTTTGCTTGGTCGGGGAGGCACAGGAGGGGGTGGATGGGCTCTGTGAGTCGCTGCGAGCTGCATTGCTAATTATTTTGTCTATCTAATGGTGAAGCAGATTTCACAACCGAGTTCATCAAATATGGACGCACAAACACATCGTAATTACATCATTGGTAAGATGAGACACTTGAGGACAAAAGCAACATCGCTCCAAGTCTAAGCAGGGAATGAAAAACTAAAGGCCAGATAACTTTGATAATTTAACAATAATATGTCCCATTAATTGTTTTTTTTCTCTCTTTCTTCTATACTCCACTTTATTTTTACGTTATTGAGTCACCGATTGTAAGACCAACGGGAGACTAAGTAACTCGGCGCAATCCCGCAAACATCCTTCGCGGTTGGTGTAGCCCACGTGATTTCACTACACCACTGGATGTATTTCTAAGTGTATATCCCTCCCACCTCAGTCTTACCCGTAGATATCCAAGGGAAATTGTAAGACGGGGATATATCCATCAGGTAGTCTTTCGTTGGAAATGCATGTGTTGGTGAAGCTGGTCGCTTTCACATGCAGCCGATCAACACTGTGTTTTTGTTGAATTTATTTGGTGTGGGTGATCATGATACCGTAGTATCGCGTGAGAGTTACTGTCGCTGCTGAGCAGAGTGAGGTGAAAAAAAAAGAAGGAAATGGGAGATTTAGAAGAGTGAGTGGAAAAAAACGAGTGTTGTTGGGGTTGTGTGTGTCTATGTCTATGAGAAGGGGGAAAAGAGAGCTATAAGGCACTCGTATTCCTTGTGAATGGATACTGCATCATTGTTTCAGGGTTATGAATACAAAACTAAAAAAAAACTGTTGGATTTCGAGGTTTTCTCCGAGACCAAAATTCACTCTCCCAAGTTCTTTTATGTTAAGGAAAGATTTATTGCTTTATATTGCTATGGGGTCTTCCCTGAGAGTGTACAATGGGGAAAAGTCCTCTCGGGACTTTTACTGATTGGTTTTTCCTGAATGTGGGTTTTTCCCACAAGTACAGCTGGCGACCAACCGGGGTCAAGAGGGAAAGACCGAGCGTTTGCTTCAGGGAGTGGAAATTATATTGCCCTCTGGATCTGTATTAACCCTGGGCCTCACTAGCAACCATCTCTTTAGTCTCTCGTAGATATTCATTAGTGTCAACTACCTCCTGACTGTGTAGAGTCTTAGGGATTTTTCAATTAAAGTGTTCACATAGATAAAAGGTGTTTCTTATTTTTAAACCCCATAATCCAATGAAAACGAATTAACTGAAATGATTTTGTATGTAATGATAAGAGAAACAGACCTCAGAAATTTAGTGATCTGTATTTGTTTTTCGTTTATAATATTCAAGGGAATGATGCCTGTTTTTCAATTTAAAATTGTACCGTTTCAAATGCACATACTTGATTCGTTGATCAACACATCACGCAAAGCCAGGGCCGAATATGCAAGATATAACAAGTCACATCAGTCTTTACATTTCATTGCATTCTGCATATCGGTTTTGTTTACACTGATTTCGTAAATTGAATTTTTTCTATCAAATGCCTGGAAAATAAATTCAAGGTAATTCAATTGTTGCTCATTTGTTTTTTGTTTTTTTATTATTATCTAACTTGGGTTTGATAAATTATGAATTCTCACCTTTTTGTCAACTGAGTGCTGAGTGCCAAGGCCCAGGGGGGTTGATATTATAGCTTTTTTTATTTCTCTTTTTTCACTTCTTATTAATCTTCCATTGCTGATGAGAATGGAGCCACTTCATGATGCAGTAAATGTGAAAACAATAGGAACATTGTCTCCACACTGCAGATACATTTTTAATTGAAAATTAATTGGTACTGAAGTTTTGATACCGAGAGAGATTCACTAGGTCGAGACCACACAGATGACTGTGGAAACTATTGGCACAATCTGAGACTAATGGGCATATGCGGCGTGACCAGCGTGAAATACTTGGACCGATCGATAATCAAAGAGAATATGCGCAGAATAGCCACATAATACCTATTTTCTTCGAATGTCATCTGCATATTTATTTAATTGATACAAAGAGAGTTGATTATAGCAAGTTGATTTACTCATTTATTTTGAACTACAATTTTTTTTGTGTAAAAATCGCAAAAAAAAGAACATTTTCCCCTCTTACTACCCGCAGGTACGTTTCCGAGGGTGTTGGTAATTTTTAGGGGATTGGGGGAGTCCCTAGAAACATGCTCCAATAGGCATTGTTTGTTTTTTTGGATATTTCTTCTTCAAAAACTTTTTTTTCACCTGGATGAAGGGTCAGATCTTAGTTTTTCTAGGGCCCAGGCTGATTTGACTCTGACCCCTAAGTTCTCGTCGGCGAGGTCCTCTAGGAAGCCGCTGTCCTCCTGCGCGGAAAAGTTGCGCAGTGGTAATATTTGGCGTATGGTAATTATTTTGATTAATAGTTATCTCCTACAACTATATAACTACTAAAAATATGAATTCACCCATTGCATTATTTCCATATTTTTATATATATGATTCATTACAATTCTAGATAGTGTGTATATTAACGTTGTTTGTTATATGTTGAATGCAATTCAAATATTCCTCAACAATTTCCCTGTGTTCATTTATTGAGTTATAAAAATACAATTATAGATTATCTTTTATTGTTGTATAATCGCACTTCTCTAGAGCACAAGCCTTCATTCTGTTTTTCTGTTACACCATCATTTTTTTTAGAAATTTTAGGAGCTTTATAATCAGAAACATGATCCACTCTGATTGTTCTACCCAGGATTTTTATTGAATTCAAATTATCCACTGCCAAAGTGGTACTCCTCTGATCTTCATAACACAAAAAGCCATATCCCTTCGATTTCCCGGTTTCTTTATCTCGAATCAAATTTATGTTAACGGGTTCACCATATTGGGAAAAAATAGTTATTATATCCCCTTCCGTGAGATCATATGGTAAACCACCAACAAAAATCCAGGCACTCTCTTTGTACTGATCGTGCCATGATGTCTTATTATTTCCTAATAACTCTTGTTCCCCGAGTTTTTTAATATTTTTCACATTCGTCAAAGGATTCATGGTATTTATCAGTTGATTAATAAATAGAGTTGGAATGATTCGCAAATTTTTTCAATTGAATTGTTGACATACGGAGAATATAACAATGGACTCATAAAAAATATTCTATGCAATTCTTTGTCACGTAAAAATCATTGTATGTAAGCTTCCATCCTCTGACGATCACTCTATTTGTTCTTCTCTGTCAAATAGGTTATAGCTATTCCTTACGGCACTGTAGACAGTTCCTTCATGCATGCCAGTCAACTAAATTCGCCAACTAAAAAATATTGAAATATTACTTTTTTTAATGTGAAATTCATCTAGTTATCTAGTTGACACTTTTCTAGTAAATCATTAATTTATAGGCATTGTATTTATTTACATACAACAAAAAGTCGGACGACATCAAATGAGTGTTGGATTATCAATATATTTGACAAATAAAAACCCTTCATCTAACAAGAAGCAGGCTTTGGGGGATGGCACCCACCGATGAAAGATCAACTTAGATATTTACTAAATTTTGTCAAAAAAGGAATCTCGATTTCAGTGGTGCAGAGCACGAGCATAAGTGGTGATTTGGCTATAGAGGCTTTGTTGGTTATATCCCCTTCTTCAGTGAGGGCCAAATGCCATTGTATTTACAAGAAGCACTCGTTATATTTACTGCCGGACCTGAGAAGAAGATTGTACTGTCGGACTGAGGAGATTTAGCCCTGAGTGTCAGAGGTGGGAGACAAAGGTTGTAGTGGGGATTGGGAAAAGTGGGGGTAAATTTGAGGACGACATCCTCAGTTCAACCATATGTACATATAGTCGTACTGGAGAGACTATAGCTTGGTTTTCAGAGATGGGAGACGAGGATGTGAGTGGGAATTGGGTAGAGTGGGGGTAAACTCTGAGTACTATAATCTCTCCAGTACGACTGTATACTTAAAGCATAAAGTCCTTAGAACAAGAGAATGGTCTTCTTTTCTTATTTACATCATATTGGATTCGTAATTGTACTCAAATATTAACTTATCGCTCTCTTTACTGTTGATAAATTTTGAAAAATGTAAGAGCATTTTCATTTGTTGAATGAAAAATTTTCTTGTTGATGATGAGTTGGACATAATTATTTCTACTTGTATGAAATAACATTTCTATCATCTCTCATACTTCCATAATCCATAACGTTCATCCGTAATAAATAAATAAGGAAAAATACAAATATGGATGATAAACTACGCCAAATGGAGGACGAAATGAGCAGGTAAATGAACATAACCTTAATTTTTGCTAATCAACAATATTGTTTTTATAACTGAGGCTGATAAAACTGCCATTACGAATTTTTTCAACAATCATGTGGTTTTGCGAGAAAAGGAAAGCGAAAAAAATTGTTTCTATATATATATATATATGAAATTGTAAATTCAGATTCGAGGCTGAAATCGGTGGACCAATAGTGACTCCAATGATGCGTCCAGTCATTGGTGCTAATACATACAGCCAAGTTGCTAGACAATTGGAGCAACATGAATTACCTACACCCGTTGTAGCAGCAGCTGCTGCCAGTCTAGCATTTCCACCTATGATGGGATTTCCACCGCCACCACCACCGCCACCACCACCACCACCTCCACCTCTACTTATTCCACCACAAGTGGCACGCCAGAGTGAGTTACTCAGCTGTTAAAAGGGTGGTTAAGCTAATCCATCATCAAGCCAATTTCACTACTTTCATTCTTCTTCTTATTATTATTATTGTTATTATTAATATTCATTTCTCCCTCAAAATCTTTTATTATTATAATATTATGTTTTTCTCTCATGGCAGACAGTGTTCCAATCACAACTTACTCATCACCAGCCCAAATAACCAATTCCTACTTACCAAACATTGTGGAACCAATACTGAGTTCAACATCGAAAACGTATGAGTCGACAGCAGCTCCACCAATGATTCATCCCGAGATTATTGAAAAAATAATAAATACAAAAATACCAGATGATGAAGGTAAGAAAAAACCGAAAATAAAGGGTGTAAGTACAGCAGCTGAATTGGCTATTAGTCAGGGAAAGGCCAGTTCGATAATGGCCAATGCCAGTGCTGAGGAGCCTCATCCAAAAGGAAAAGGGAAAAAGAATAAAAAGATTATTAGAATGGCTGGAGGACAAACATGGGAGGATCAGTCACTACTTGAATGGGATGATGGTCAGTCTCTCTGTCGACTTTGTTTATTTATCCATACTTGTATGAAGAATCGATGTATAAAAAATGGTATAATTCAATGATTGCAGATGACTTCAGAATTTTTTGTGGTGATCTCGGTAATGATGTAACCGATGAAATGTTAGTGAGAGTTTTTGGAAAATATCCCAGTTTTCAGAAGGCTAAAGTAGTGCGGGACAAGCGAACGAATAAAACGAAAGGATTTGGGTTCGTCTCATTCAAGGATCCCCAGGATTTCATCAAGGCCATGAAAGAAATGAATGGTAAGCTGTGAAAAAATTTCATTTTTCAATTTATTTTTCATTATTATTCGACAAATCTTTGTTTTCCTTAGAATTCCCATGAAATTAATTGCATCAATAGACGTGATCTAGTATTATTTATAAACATTTAGAAGAGAAAAATTATTCTTCACTAATTACACGCTGTACGTTTAAGTTCACAGTTTATAGCACCCGACTACTAATTCAACTGAAATAGTAGACCATACAAGTCATAACTAGCATTTATTAAACATTTATTTTCCCAAGTTGCATTATTAAGGTCTAATGAGATCAAGCTTGTGCAACCATCAATATTACAAGTATATTTAGGTTTTATTTACCAAATGGGCCCCATCCGTAGGATATGAATAGTTGAGGTATTACTGAGTATTGTCTTCTTGGCTGTAATGTACCATTCCTCACAGCTACTCGAGTATTTGGTTGTTTTGAACTAGCTAGTGGAACATCCACTGACTTCTTGAATGACTCATTAGATGTTTTTGAAGTGTCTGTAAGGAGAAAAAATAACATAATTTTTTTCGGTAATTTAATAGTATATTGAAAATACCATTACCTGAAGTTAGGGGGTGGCTCAATCGTGTTTCATGTGTGTTCATGTAAAGCACTGAGAATGGCATACCGCCTGCACCCCAACTGCGTGACATAAATACATCTTTCTTCACTGGTTTATTGGACATTTGACGAATCACCGGTGATGCTGTTCTCATATCCATGGCTACCAGAGATTTTCCGTTCCCCTGAGAATGATCTTGTTCCGCATTGATATTTCGTTCAAATCTGAGGAAATCAATCGTTAATCATAATATGAATGTAAAAACCAAATTTGCTGCTCTCATAGCTATCTGGTATAGGCATTATGTTTAAACTTGGAAAATTCTAGTGGGAGTCGAGTTAATTTATTTTCAATTATCAACAATATAATGACAAACAATTTTATACTATCACATTTGATCAGGACTAACAAGAACAAGTAGAAGTAAAAGACGTACAGAAGAAAAAAAAAAGAATTTGTCTTTTCAAACGAATGACAATAATAGTCTTCAACTCGGACACTTTATCTCAAATTACAGTCTCATCTATAAATAACTAATGGATGATAAAAAAAAAACAAAATGCCATTGTGAAAAATGTTATCATCAAATTATTTTTCAATGTCTTGTACTTCGTACTTTACATACGTTGAAATATTTAAATGGTTTTGGAGGCGATAATTCTCAGCTTCTTGGAATCGGTTATTTTCACCACGACGCGTCGTAGTCGGCAACCACCCCCAGCATCCATTGTTGGAAGTACATGGTGAGGTAATTAAACTTGACCGAGGCTGGATGTCATAAGTGGGTAGGCCACAAGACGATGCCAGTAGTATCATTTTCATCAACAAAATTCCCCAAATTATCTTCATGATTTATCACCAATTGGTTCTCTCAATTGGTCAATGGAAGGTGACCTCCTTCTATACAAATATCCCACCTATAATCCATTCCATTTTTATAAATTTGTCATCAATTCATAGATAGAATCAACAGCATCATTCTGTTTATATTACAGAATTTCAGGAATGTCTACCACTATTTATACAACAATTTTTGCTATATTTAGATTAGTAATGTATGAATCGCGTTGTTGATGGCCACATTGATATGGGTGGCAACTAAAAATTGCTCCAATGATAAAAGAAGAAAAATAATAATAAAGTTGATTCTAGTAAATAAATTTTAGATACGTTGAAGGAAAAAAATGTGGAATATTTACATTTATTTAATTCAAAAAAATATTTTACATTTCTTTGAAAAAAAAGTACATAAATGAGAAGTAAAATTTATTATAAAAATAATGATGAAGAAGTAAACATCCCAATAATAAATAGTTGTGTTTATCGAATAGTGGGAAAATATGGGTGAACATATTCTTCCTCCCTCCAAGTTCTTTCACATTTACTTTTTACCTCCTATTAACTTCATTATATTCACTTCCCCAATCTTACAACCTACTCTTCTTCCACATCTCATTTCCAGCGTTTTCTACACATTCCAAAAGGTTGGTAACAATAATATAGCCTGAGTGATATTCTAATTTTTCTCGTGTTGATCATTAGTAAAGGGCAAGCTTATTCGATTGCAACTTTCAAAAGTTTATACATTTGGATTTCTTCATCCTAATTTTGTTCTGTTCAATGAAAGATAATGAGACAATATTAATGTTCATCTTAAAGCCGCAAGTTTCCGAAAATTATACTACTATTACTATGAAGGAGAAGCAATCTTTGAAAATTTTAAAAATATTAAAAAAATTGAATAATAATGGTGTGTTATTATTTCAGTATTTGCGTCTTTCTATAAAATTATAATTATGACTCACCCTCAAAAGCGTACAAATTCTTCAGTTCTTTCAAAAGTTTTCAAATAGAAATCCGTCGTAGAAATTACAAATCAATATAGGAAATGTGTAATGTCACCGATAAAATGAATAAGACACGACTTGTGACATTGACATGTGTCTCAGTAATCTTCTTTTTACTTTTTAACTTCCCGCCTAAAATTTCCGCACTGTTATCACTGAGGTTATCGAGAGAGAGAATGCGCCACAACGGTAGATATCTAGGTACTCATTCAACCCCCTACTCAATTTCCACATTGAATACCAGGCAAAGCCTCTTCATCTCCCCCACCATTCATCCATCTGTCTTGACGATAGCCAATCCGAATGTTCTGATGTACAAGACAATCTCCATATTTACCTCCAGAGAGATTTTCTTGTCCTTCATTTTTTTTTTCATTTATACATATTTTCTTTCATAATAAGTGAGAAAAAAAAAGATTTTTTAGAGAAAATGACAGAAATCATTTCATCTTGAATGTGGTTCATTAATATGCAAACCCCTTTTTTCTCGCGTAGCGGTCCTTGAAAAGTCATATAAAATAGACTACAGACTTTTATTTCTGTCCTCTTTTTCTGCTTCTTCTTGTTTTTTTTTTTACTTTTGGTCTTATGATTCAGACATGGAACATCCTCGTGGGCGACAAACAAGAAGTGAAATAGCCCGTGGGATTTAAAAAATGGCAATACAGATTCTTCGGGAATATGTATAATCATTCCACCAACGTCATTCACTCAATATCCCCCAGATTTTAGGTCGTATAAGTTATACTTTAACATGTATAACGCACTAGTTAAATCATTGAATCACAATTATTCAAATAATGTGTGTCGTTTTCCAAAAATTTCCCTACAAGCACAAGCGAAATTTTTATTTATTTTTATTCCCTTGCACAGAACGATACTCTAATATCAATATCTCATTTATTTTACAAGATGAACTTGTGATCAATTATTTCATCTTCCTATATATTATTATTATTATTATTATTATTATTAGATAAAAATAGGGGAGGAGGTGGATAAAGGTAGATAAATCCATTGACTCAATTTATTATTGATTAATAGAAACCGAAAATCACAATTTATTTGGTCATAGAACTATACTATCCATTATTTATAAAATATATGAGTCACCTATTTGTTTGTTTATTGTCTTGGGAGGAGTTATGGAAATGATGAAAAATTGAACGGATATATGAGCCAACGTTTGAGGAGCCTGATGATGCGCTTCAATATCGTATCGCATGCATCAGGCGGTACCTTGCGTAGCTTTGAATTTAGTTACACTCCTGATTCAGCACTACTCTCAAGGCAAGCAAACACTTTACAAAGTGAATAAGAACCATTATTTTGAATAATATCTATATACAAAATGGAGAATGAAAAATTGTCAATTCAATTGATTGTTGAGTGATTTCGATAATTGACAATTCCAATACTTTAAATTTCATCATTACAGCAATATTAAACCTTGTAATTCAAGCGATATCACTCCATACATACTTTGTAAATCAACTATATGTCCAGAGTATTTTTATAATACCTCTTGCACATTTCACTCGTTTCATTTATTGATTCAGCAATTCTGGGTATAAATTTAAGAAGGATAATACATAATACAATGATATTTGTGCAAATTTTTATTTCATGTGAAAATTTCTACCCTTTTTTCTCAAGCACAATTTTTCAGTCTTTCATCATATATTCTACAATTTCATTTGTTATAGGAAGGTACGTGGGATCGAGACCTATAAAACTACGAAAGAGTTCCTGGAAGCAGAGGAATCTTGAAACAGTGAGGAAAAAGGAGAAAGAAAAGCAAGCTCTCATTGGACTGCTAACTGGTCGGTGAGGTGTGATGTACAATATATTGTGCTATTGGCTAGACAATGTAAACTAATGAAAACTAACAGTTGTTTCTTTTTCACTTTCATTGGAAGAAATACTCGCTGTAGAAATAAGATTACGATCAAGACATCAAGTATTTGTTCTTAATTTAATTATCATAACATAACGGTGTAGCTATTTGCACCGGACACGGACGTATCCGTAACTAATAGAGTTACGGATGGGCACACAGATACGTCTGTGTCTGGTGCAGATAGCCACTCCGTTACGACAAATATAATATAAACTGATGATTAATAAATTAGTGTGAATTCAATCATTCCACTATTTTGATTTTCTTTTATTTGTTTCATCTTTTTCTTTTGTTTCTTTGGTTTTTCGAAAATTATGACAATTTCTAGAAGTGAGATTACAAACAAATGTTGGAAATGAAAAATATGCAAGAAGAAACGTTGGGAGAAAGAGGTGAGGCTGAAAAAGTGGACACCTTGGGTGTAAGTTCAAGTTTATGAAGATGAAGAATTGTCTTTTTTTCTCACATCCAATTCAACGCATCACGACAATACTTATAATATTATGTGTAATCAGTATTCAGTAATTTTTTTTCATGTGTTTCTGCTGACGAAAATACATTGTTATTCGTTATTGACCTTATCTACAAACGTTGCAATTAGAATTAATGATAAACGTGAGTGAAATTCTATCCATGGGCACAGGTTTATGAAGGCGAAAAAAATTCAAAGGGAGAGAGACATGGTATTGGCAAATATCAATTTCCAAATGGTGATGTTTATGTAGGTGGATATTGTCGAGGTCTTCGTAATAGTCAGGGAATTTACGTGTTCAAAAACGGAGCGAGGTATGATGGCAAGTGGCGGTGCGGTTTAAAATATGGCAGAGGAACTTTTATCTATCCCGATGGAACTCGTTATGAAGGTAGGCCAATATTTTATTCAAAATTACATTATCTCATTTACGTAAATTTCCTTTTCGATTTTTACATTTGAAAAACGACTAAGGTGAATGGAAGAGGGATAAAAAGAGTGGATTTGGTGTTTATTATCATTCGAATAAAGATATTTATGAGGGTACTTGGCGAAAAGATGTTCGACATGGGTTAGGGACTTATCACTTTAGTGAATCAGGTATCAAGTTCATGGGTACTTGGCTAAATGATTATCTTCAAGGACCTGGGGAGATTGTCTATCCTCGCTACCATTTTCATGGCACTTGGAAGGATAATTTGGTAATGGGTGTTTGTTTTTTTCACCTTTTTTAAATTTTATTAATGGATTATTCCTCCGCGCTTATATAATAATAATAATAATAATAATAATAATAATAATAATAGCCCCATGGTCGCGGGTGTTTTGTATTTGAGAACAATTGTATGCAACATGGACATTATATTCATCAAGTCAATTCAAATAATCAACACAATGAAATGATCAAGGTAAATTTACTCTCTAGTGTATATGTGAATTATTATATTGTATAATAGAAGATATTGCGAAACATTGAATTTTCCTTATTCACATGATGCGGACATGGAATTATTGAATTATGATTGAAGAATAAGCAATCACAAATGGATTTTTTTCCTATCTGGTGTGCTCGCTGCATTAGCCCCTATAAAATCCATCTTCTACCTCCAGAAGCTAGGCCGCTTCACGAACAAGTTTGTTATCATTTCTTTATCAGACAGAGCGTGTGTAAAATAGCCTTCAACATCCATTATAATGAGAAGGGCATGTTCTTGGATATTGTTGATTTTTGTTCCTCTTTTTTTTTGACTCCACTTTTCAACGGATAAAAACGTTGAAAGAGAAACAAATATTTACAGCAAATTTATTGGTTCCTTTTTTCAATTGTAAAATCACTTATCACTTATCGTCTCTCCAAAATGAGAGTATAAGTGATTTAACGTTTTCCGGTTCGTCCGAATAAACCGTCAAATTCAATATTATGGTTCGGTGACTCATTGCATTGAATTGAATTTGCAATGTTGACTTCCGTTTTGTTATATTCATCGGGCATTGTTGGAGTGACAGAGAATAGGCATCTTACGACGTTTAATTAAATAACGATATCCGGTCTTCGGAGCTAATTCTTTCGGTGTTAATATTGAACTAATGAAAATATTCATGGTTGCAGATGACAGAAGACGATTCACTAACGGACGAGTGTCGTAACGAATTATCCAATGATGAGTCTTACACGTTTTTGCCACATTCATCAGACGCTGAAAATGATTCGACTGATTATAGGGACGAATTTTTGAACGAAATATAGATTGGCAAAGCGAAATTATGGTACCATTTTAATGTCATTTTTATTCACATAAAACTTTATTGGGGAGAAATAAAAAAGCAATTACGTGTTTATATAATTATCATGTTTGCATTTTTCTTCTTTGTACATCTGACTGTTTTTTTATATATTATATATTAATACTCATGGCTGTAGAGTTTTATAAGAATAATGAGAGATTATCATTGTTTTCAAGATGAGGAAATAGTTTAGCCTCATTAGATTCTAATATATTATCATCAATATGGAATAGTATTATCATCGTTATTATCATTCACATATAATCATTTCACGTTCAATTCGATCAAAAGATAGTGATAAAATATAATTTTTCATGACATAAGAAATTATTAAAATTAAATTTAAAAAATCCAATCATTCCTCATACATTGAATTTTGATTTGCTATATTTTTACAACAATGACATTTATATGTTCATTCCGCCAACTACACTTTCGACATGAGAAATATATTATATTGTAGTTATTTACAGAATATAAGTTGTCTTTCGTCATACATTGAAAGTTATTGAAGGTAAAACTACCGTCAGATTGTGGACAATTAATAAAAATGTAAAAAATATGCAAATACACATTAGAACCAAAAATATCTTCCCCTATCACAAATGAGTAAGAAAACAAAAATACCCCGGTGGATTAAGGACGGATAACAACTTGAGAGCCGATCAATTGAAAAAAAAAACGCGAACATAATTACGCAGTCTTTTTCTTCATAAGGATTGATTTTAGAAAAATCATATCATATTTACCCAAATCATAATTTCCACATTTTCATATCTACATCCTTCAAAATCTCTCACCAACCACATTTCAATTTAATATGGAATAAAAAATAGCAGCCCATTCTCAATTAAACAGAATGTTTTTCTCTTATTAGTATCTATCATTTTCACTTGGCACAATAAACATTGAACCGCACCGTTCTGATTATTGTGTGTTATCTGATTATTGAGTAGTTGGGTCATTGGTAATTGTGATTTACCGATTTTTCTCCAATTATGGTTTTCATTCGATGAAATTAAAGAAATTAAATTCACTGAATTTACAAAGATGCGATTATCAGTCATTCTAGGCATTGTCAAATTTATATGAGAGAAAAACAAATCAAATTCATTTTCTTCCACTCAGTACCACAGCTGATGATTTAATTTTTCATCTATGTGGCCATGGACAGATAATAGTCTCCTCCAATTGAAAAAAAAATCACTTTAATACCCTAGCACTTCCTATGTACAAAATTCCTCACTTTTGTCATGGCACTAGTAATTGTTTTGCAGCCTTCTCAAGTACTGTTGAGTCAATAATTGCACAGTATGATCTATTCGATGTATAGCTCACTGATCTGTGCGTGATTTATATTTTTCTTTTCTTTTTTTTTTCTTACATCCTCCAATGATGGAAAATTATTGGATTCATAATTGAAATAACAGCGCAAAGTCCAAGTTTCACATTGCCACCAGGCGATCAGGTGGCAAGATCAGGTCAGGTCAGGTTAGATCAGGTTCCTTTGGCAAGCAACACTTGCCAATGAAATACTGCAAAGACCAGCAGTTATCACGCCAAGAGAAATGTATACTGCCGTTATCAGCCAAAATGCGAATAGATATAATGTTTTATTGCAATGTTTTCCGTTTGCTGGATCGTAATTTGGTTCATACTCCTTATACACCCACATCGAACCTGTTTTTTGTATCACCAAATCGATTATTATAATACATTTCATAATAAGGCAAAAAATTATTGTTCTAAACATGTTTATGTTGCCATGAATTTTTCCACACTGACCAACTTAAAATCATAAGTTGTTCCGTTATTTAATTGAAATTAATGGAAACATACTTACCAATGATAAACCAACCGAGCATAAAGCAATTGATCAAGGTTTGTGTTGGTGATTGGCGTATCCTCTCTTCATCCCTCTCCTCTTGTCTTCTACGTACTCGTGTTGAGAGATGCAGTAATTGTTTGAATACACCAAAACCGCCACCAACTAGCAAGTACACTGGGATATATTCACCCTGAGGGCAATCGTACAAGTAAATACCGCCCATTATCATCATGCAGACTGGTACTACTATGGTAACACCTATGATAAATGTGCATCCAACTGAAAAAGCAGGGGAAAAAAAACAAAAACAAAATGTATTATCTCTCTCATCTCTCAAAGCACTTGTACCATTTGAAATGGTACAATATATTTTTTAAATGAATGAAAATGATAGACTCACTTGTTCCAAGAAGAAGTACAATAATATTAAACAGAAAATCAAAAACTCCCTTGGATGTTTTGTGGGCCTCGCGCATTCTTCCAAACAGTGAATCATAAGAAGGTGGAGGTGCTGAAATCATGGAAAAGAGATAATAAAAATGAAAAAAACAAGAGTCCAATTCCAAGTTACAGAAAATAGCATAGACAAACAATGAATGAGCAATAAAATATTATTGATAATAAATTAAACCATTTGGATCGATGACTTCCTCGTATGAAGGCGGTGCTCCTCTGTCATCAGCACCAATTAAATTCGCAGGATGGCCAGGTGGTAAATTAATATTGTGATACGATGGTGGTGGTGTATAGCTTATTGGAACAATCTGCGGTGGTACGCCGGGATTAACACCACTCATACCTTCGTGGGGTAATCTATGGGGCGTTGCATAGAGTGGCATTTTGTCCTCACAAATACAAAATAAAAACTCAATCACAGTGTCACATTTAAACTTGCAGCACGATTTTTTTTTCAGTGTCCCAATCAATCAATGACTGGCAAACTTTTAGCGAAATTGGCAAATTCACACAGTGAATTCATTGTTTTCGGCAATACATCAACAAATAATGTCACACCCCTACAGGCACAAAATTGATGCAACACGACTGTTCCACTCCATCCCTGGATGGGTTACTTTGATGTATATTAAAAAATTTCGACAACGTTATGGTCGACGAATAACATCAGATGAGAAATTTTTTAGGATAAAACGAGGCGATGAAGGAGGAGGAAGAAGGAATATTTTCACTTGCTGCAGATTATTTGCGATTTAGTAGATGAGTCAAATGTTTTTACATACAGTGGATGGAACAATAATGTGATGGACATGAGCCACACTATGGCGGTTGTGTCATCACATATAGAAGGTTATATGCAGAAAATATATAACAAAATATATAATGGTAACACTATACTCAATCAGTCAAGCAGGTCCCTATGCTATCGATTAATCATTGATTTTCTGTGCAGAATAAAAAGTCTGATTCTCCCTGCTCAATAACTCATTTTATTTTATTCGTTGAAAGCCCCCATAAGCAATATATCATATGTTGCATCAAAACTAAGACAAAAAAATATTGATTGCCATCATGTCTATATTAATATTGTCGATTAGAATATGGATAATTTTAAATTCACAATTAATTCATCAACACTCTCATTCCCTGGATTGAATATTACTTGTACTAGGGGCGAGTGGGGTAAAACGGACACTAGACTTTTTTTTTATTATTCATAACTCAGAAACCAATTGAACAATTGAGCTCAGTTCAGGCTCGGCACCAAGGGAAAGAATTGTTCTTTGTATTGAGAAATAATAATATTAAATTTTATCAACATTTCAACCCCTCATTAGCATTTTAGAAAAAGTCAAAAGTGTCCGTTTTACCTCAACCTCCCCTATATTATATAATCATATTCCTAAATTGAAAAGTTAACGTCCCATTCCAGGAAGTTTGTGCATTATCTTTCCTTTGACTGTAATAGTAACTATGGGAGCTTTCCCCTCTTCAAATATAGTCAGTACACCCTCGGCTGGACCGTCAGGAATACCTGGTGGCAATTTCTCAATGGGAAGAACCCATTCATGGATTTCCCAGTCTGCGCCCTGAATATCGTGTAATTTTATTCAATTCATTATACCTGAGATAATTGTTTTTTATTTTTGTTCTTATTCCTAAAAAAGTGAACTGATTAATTTGTAGAAATCTTGTTACCGCTTTGATTGGACATTTTTTAGGGAACATCTCCTTTGGTAGGCCATGTTCAACTACTCCTTTACCAATTGTTTCATCTTCGAGACCCGCACACAATGTCCCTTCATAATCCACAATTTCATTACCATCCAAGTCAATCACTACGTGCATCTAAAAATTATAAGAGGATAATTTTTTTTAAGATGCATGGTGCATATTGGGTGATGATTTTAATAACCCGCCATTAATAAAGCATTGGAGACATAAATTTAATCAGACTGACATTAAAAATTATAAATGATAATTACCATCATATTAGGAGGGAGATCACTCTTAATCGGCATTTTCACTGTCATTTTTTCACCTGACCCAGATACGCTCGCTGTCCAAGGATCGAAAAATGGATTATCATTCGTCTTGGTATCAAAATTTTCCACGATAACTCGCATTGTTGGCTATAAGAAAATAAACAAAAATATACATAAATTAAACATTTTTTAAATTGAATTATCAAGGAAAAACACTATAGGGGCGGGTGGGGTAATATGGACACTCAAAGAATGTACGAACACATTTTTTTTTGGAAATTCAAATTTTTTAAAATGATTTCATTGGGCAATTTGGACAGTTTTGGACAATTTGGTAAAATGGACACCCGAAAATTAATGAATGAAATCGGAACAGTAGATTTGATACAATTTAACGTATTATTTAAATCTGGTGTCCGCATTGCCCCACCCCCTCTCCTCTTCTGAGTCTCAAAATTGTTCAGCAATTGAGAAATATTAACTTTACTAAGTCTCTTATTCTACCATCAGTGTATGTACTTGAAAATATGTTGAATTATTCCCCCTTATATTCACATATAAAGTGCATATAGACATTTCTAAAAAATGAATCTCAGGATTTATCTTTTGTTGTGAGTGCCCGCCGCCGTTATATATATTTTATTCTCTTTTGAGTATTTCCCTCATCGGAATCTCGGCCAATAGGAGGGCCGTATTTGATGTCACGTGGTACAACTTACACGGTTTTATACACGGAGAGAAAAATTCAATAAAAATTACCAGAAAAAAACGTAAAAATTACGTTTCGAAACGTAATCCGCAAGCGAAGTAAAATTTAATAAAAAGTGAAATCTCTCCTATAAAAATTTCCAGAAAACGATTCCCCATTGCCGAAGTCGTCAAGTTTTTCAGGAAAAATCGTGATCTCGCTTAGAAATCGCTTCACACTCGTGATTTTTTAATCTGAAAAACTTGACTCCTTCGTTTGTTTGCAACGAACCTATCGGAATATACCCGATAATTTTGAAGCTCTTGTGGTATTACAAGTGAATAATTTGTGTATGAGGATAAGAAGAAATGGAGAAAAAAATCTTACATCTCCACAAACAGCCCCCAAAAATGTAATCACGATAAACGCAATACAATAAATTGATAACATACTGCAGTAGTTTATCAATTTTGGACAAGCCAAAGAAATCACTGACGGTGTAGTTGTTCAATTCATATTCCGCCGGCATTTATATGGAAACCATCATATATTTATTGTATAATGATGATGTATCTAACATAATTAGGTGTAGATTACTTGCGTGTGATAAATTGTAACAATACCTGTCATACATGACACCGGAAATTTATAATTAAAATTGAAATAATAAGTTCATTCAACAATCAACTAGAAAATCATGATGAGAACATTTATACATAAGAAGAATAATAGGAAACGTTTTTTCACTTCCACACTTTATAACTGATGAAATATATTAAATAATGAATAAATAAATAAATAAGAATGATTTAAAGATGAAATGATGAATCCATGATATATGAAAAAAAAACAAATAATTTAAAAATAATCAGTGATGGCAGCACATGTACATCCCCCACCCGCATCCAATAAGCCACGGTACATAAACATATATGTACGTGAGATCTGAGATGGTGAGATGCACAAATGTGCACAAATGCCAACAAAGTCATTGAGCATCATTATATTATGGACTTAGTGTAATGAAAATAGAAACTCTCATACCACCCCTGCGATGGATTAAAAATAAATATTTTTAAAATTTGACTCCATCGTCAAATTGTAATAAACAAATTCCAATAACTGTGCACAATTTGTTGTATTTTCATTCGAAATTCTAACATTAACTTAGTGATTGAGTTTGTTGAAAACAACATCAAGTGATGCTAGAGTGACAATAATGATTCACTTGAGTGTTAATAACAATTTATCATCATCTATAGTAATAAATTGAATTGACAAGACAAATATTCATTATCAATGATGGATAACGTAACAGTAAGTTTTAATATTATTATGCCCTCTTAATGTGTTCACTCTACTAACCTCAACTCTAATGCCATTAATGCGTTTAATATTGAAAATTTCTGATCACTTATTTACAGGGAATATTAAGAGCTATGTGCTGTGGATTTACAGATAGTCTCAAAGGTGCTATGGTACTTTTTTACATGGATAAACATATTAATGAACGACTTAAAGCATCACCCATAAGAATCGATAGAAAAGATGCTAATTCAAGCCCTAAAGTTGTATTAAAAGGACAGAGGTATTTTTCATTTTCTTTTTGCTCTTTATTTTTTTGGAACGGGCGAGTAAAAAGGGAATTCTTTTTGTTCCAGAGAATCGAAAATATTGAAAAGAACAATTCAATGCTGTGCCTTGAATGGCGGAGTTTTTTGGGCGAGCATACTTATTTTTGAATGTGGATTATTGCCACTTTTGAAATATTCACTAACAATTGTTTTTGGACATTCCCCGGGTATGGGTATGATGGTTTGGTCATGGACACAACCATTTTTGTCACTGACATTTGGTACTGTTTGGGTTCTACCACTTTTTTTGTTGAGTAGAATAGTTAACAGCTTATGGTTTCAGGTATGCATAGTGAATAAAATGATGAATCACAAGAAGAAGAAGTATAATATTGATTGATGGAAATGATAGGATTATATATTTTCTTAGGACATAGCAGACAGTGCATATAGATACAGACAAGGAAGACCCCTTCTGCTGTCGAGTGTTAGCAAACTGATAGCTGATACACTCTTCAGTATTCTCGTCCAGGCTCTATTTCTTGGTCAGGGTATGCTTGTATCGAGGATACCAATACCACCTATTGGTGATGTACTTGCACTAATACATATGTGCCTTTTATATTCTCTATATGCATTCGAATACAAGTGGTTCAATATGGGTTGGGAGCTACATAGACGACTGACATTCATTGAAGCCAATTGGCCATATTTCGTTGGCTTTGGTTTGCCATTAGCTGTTTTAACACAATTGCCCAATTCTTATGTTATAAGGTGATAAACGAATTCTCATTCATTATTTTACAAACTTTTTATTAGGTGTTTTATTATAAATTTCTTGTCTCCTTCTTCTGTATTTCAGCGGTTGCGTATTTTCAATTTTATTTCCACTGTTTATTGTCAGCGGAAATGAGGCTCAACCAGTAACAGGAACCTGGTAATCATTTATTACTAATATTGTATTAAAATTTCATGATGCTTTAGTCTCTAATGTTTCCTCTAAATTTTTCATTACAGTGATTGTCCTTTAAAATTATTTTCTCCCGTCATTGCAATCGCCAATACCCTCTTCAATAAGACCATCGGTCCAGTACAGCATCGGTAATGACGGTTGAATACTAGTTGAAAAGAAAAACACAACAACAACGACAAATGGAAATCAAAGTAATGGAATCAATTAATGATAAATTTACAATTAAATTAAATGTGTAAAAATGATAATTATTGAATCTAATCGTTGTGGAGTGAGGATCAAGTTTTTTTTCTTTTCCTAGTTCTACTTTATCTATGGAACATTAAGAGTAAAGGATAACATTACTGCCATTTGCAATGAGGATTGATATTAGTATAATCGACTAGTCAATCATTTGCAGTTTTAAAAGTAAAAAGTGGTGTCTTTTACATTTCATGAATTGTGAATCAAGTAATGTATAATTATTGCGTCTTTACTCCTGACAAATTTTAAGGAATGAATCAAGATCGAAGGGCTATTCAAAGAATTTCGAATGGTGGAATGGAAAAACGCTAGCAAATGTAAATATCAATGTTTTTTTTGCTTTATTTATCATCATTTCGTCGTATTTCATATGAATTACTGCTTTTTTACACAATTATACATTGGATAAAGTAAAAACAAATTATGTGATAACTCTTCCCCTTCTTATACCAACATTGGACAACTTTCTAATATTGATATATTATTCCTAGATGGTTATCAAATGTAAATTTATTTATAGAGCAAATTAAATATCATGTTCACAAGGTTCTTCCTTCACTCTATAATCAGAGATGAATGCAAAAGTTCTGTGTAATACTGAAAAATTAATGCCAGGATCCATTTCTTCTTCAGCCATGGCAATCATTCCATTCTCGCTAGGCTGACTTTTGCTCACCTGTTTGATAAAGTAATAAAAATAAAGTCAATGAAAAATGATGAGAATATCACTGTCAATGGATATAAAATTATGAAAAAAACACAAAATATCACTACTTCAAAACGTTGGGTTTTGTAAAGAGACAGCCTTCTCGTTCCAGGCGAACTCTGAATTAAATTCTGTATAGTAGGCTGCGATACACCGAAGAAATATCCACCCTTTGGTGGTATATTGCAGAGTATTGAAGATATCGATGATAATAATTTAACATGACATTCATCAGGACTTGCACCCACTAGGGGTTGATCCAAATCACAGTCCGAGACTATTTCAAATCTGAACAGTAAAAATCAAAATAAAAATTGAGATAAGAATTGTATATATAATAATGAAAAATAGTCCTACCTGGGATTTGCACCTCCATCTAAAATTTTACAAGTGTACAAAGCCTTTATTCGTGGATTCTTGAGACTTGCATAAACTCTTGTACTGCAAAAGCCAACTGGATAAATGTGATCCTCGGTATGATAAGCAACTCTATCGGTTATTACTTCACCGAGTGAATAAACAGTCAAATCTCCAAGAGAAATTGGAAAACGTGGTCTTCCATGGACATCAAGAGGCATCAGCTGTACCATTTTTTTTGCTGTCTTTCCATATCGTCTTGCCTTTGGTTTTACCTCTTATAAAAAGAAGAAAGGCAACAATTAAAAACAAAAAAGCTTGGCATATTCTCAATACTGGAATGATCAAGTTCATTCATGATTGTCCATTGTTAAAATATCCTGTTAAAAATATCCTTTATTTTACCAATATTTATTCCACTGCAGCTACTGTAATTATTATCACTTGGAGACTTTTTTCTATTGGTTCTTTTGAGAATAACCTCACTACTCAGATTCTGACAGTACATGTGACTATTAAAATTCAATTGAGATCTTGATGCCGATGAGTCAGTCTCTCCCTGGAACTGACACAATTTTCTTAATAAAAATAAACGCTCTTCATTGACCACCACGAGATTCTCCTGCATGTTGGAAACTTGATCACAAAGTGCAGCATTCTCCTGAAATTTTTTCATTTAAATTTTTTCCTCAGAAAATTAAATTATTAGATTTGTTATATATAATTGAACAACTTACAAATACAAGATTCTTCACTATTCTTTTGAGTTTTTTGTATTTCTTCTTGTATTTGAGATTCTCTTGTAGTTGTGCATTTTGATGATAACTATTGCAATAACGTTCATATGGATGTGACATTTCCCTTTTTGCTGTCCAAGCGAATATGGATATGTTCTATATTTTATTCTTCCTATTTTCGTTATAAAATATATTAATAACCGTGTCGGTTGTTTTTTAGTTTGTGATTTTTATTTATTTCTTTTTTTTACCTTTTTTCGAGGTTATAAACTTCCGCCGCACCGACTGACACCTGACACCGCTACCACTGAACACTGCTGCGGCGCGTTCACTCCCTATTTTTTTCCGTTCGAAATGAATTGTATGCATTATACTTACCTGCAATATTAATGTTTAACGTGCCATGAAAAAAAAACTCGTAGGACAAAAAAATGAAAAATCCTAGTGTTCACTGAGGATTTAATGAAAAATTCAAATTTGTAAAATAATAGGAAAGACAAAAGAGAAATTTGTCATTTCGAATTATATTCTAAATCAATCGAAATACAGAGGTACGACTATTAATAACATGGAAATTTCTCGTGTTTTTTGGTTTTAATTGGGTGTAATTACCCGAAAAAATTAATTCTATAGTAAATTTATTGTATTTTCTCAAATTTTTCAGGAGACGTTTAAATGAGACGTTTCGTTTTTTATTTACTATTTGCAAATAATTCTAACAGTTATGTTATCCACGTGACTAGATCAATATTTATAAACAACAAGAGAAATGATGTAAAGAAGATTTCAATATTTTACCTCTCGTTTCTGTGTATGTATAATGATCATTACATTATTCCTTTGCTATTCCATAGATCATCACAAAATACAAAATTACCGACAGAATTCAATTATCGAATTGAGTATTGAAATTCTGAGTATTTTTATAATTTCGTTGTTTCTAAATTCCGGTCATTTGTGTTTTCTATTAAAATAGTTGATTTGATAGACACGAAGTGTCATGTCCTTCACGGTATTGTTGATTAATTCGTTTATTTGCTAGGAATTGTGTATTTGAAAAAACTATTGGCTGTAATTACCAATTACATTGATGCAGTGCATTGTAAACAATTAATAAACGTAATCTTGTAGAGTATTTAAATATATTTGATAATCGATTCAATGCATTGCGATATTTTTCGAGAGGTCTGAATATTAGCTATTTCTATTACGTTAAAATCATGCCAAGTGAATTCATACAGTAGTATTTAGAATGATTTCTCTCTAAATTATTCACTCATGCAAGTTTTTCTTTTATTTTCTCATTATTTTAAAAAGTATGCAATCATAATTCGTTGTGCTTTTTTGTTTTTCTCCTTTTTAAATGTTCATTTTCAGATCTTGTCCATATCTTTCTTTACATTATACTGCGAAGAATGTGGCTATTAATATTTCATTTGGTAAAGGAAAGAAATTGTTGATTTGTTTTTTATGAATACGCAAAAATTTTGCACATTGCATTGGAGTTGGTCAATTAATTGCGGATAGGATTTAGTAAATGCTGATGCGTAAATTTAACAGACGGGAATGAAATTGCTGATTATACGTTACATCGCAGAAAATATAGCAAGTCAGTCTGTTGAGTGTGCGAATTGTAAATGCAATGTGCAATAAAATGAAATAAAATCAAGTGATTTTTAAAAAATTCATTTGATGACAGTTTTTCCAGATGTTAACAGCTATATAAGTATTTATTTATTGATTTTTTATTCATCAGTCGTGATTCATGCACTCGTATATGTATATAAATGCAAGTAATTTTTATCAGTTTTCTGCTCATTTTTCGTGACAACTAATTTGCCCAACAAAAAGTGAAAAAGAAAAAAAAAATATATATATAGTATATATATATCATGATTAAATATATCTCTGCTTCTAACAATCATTTTTCAATTCTCTTGTTTTCGATCGGAATGTCATCACACAACTTTTGATCTTAATAATTGTTAAGGCGATTACGTGAAATTATCATCTTTCTCATAATCAAAACTATGGACAATCAACAATTGAAAGAGATTAATCTTCACACATTTTTTCAAGGCATCCTTTTTTTCTTTTAATTTCTTATTTTTAAACATTTTCCATTTTGAGAAAGAAAAAAAAAACACTGACAAAAATACATTTTTCCAACAATTAAACAGACAATAGAATGTATTGGAGGATTGAAATAATTATCGATTGATAATTATTATCCCTTTTAATACCAATAAAATTTCAGAAATTTCTTACTATCACTTATGTGTCAATGACAATTCTTTATGCTCATTCATTAATTAATTAGCATGTGATGAATTATCGAATTTTGTTAACATTAAAAATGAATTGACAACAGAATAATAATATATCTTTTTCAATGGAAGAAAAAAAAATTAGATAAAACGAATAATAAATATAATAATCATTTTCAGCTACTAGAATTGTTTTGAATTGTCTCGATTTGAAAAAAAAACCTAAAACTGTATATATATGTACAATTGAATAAGAAGAGCACTGATGACTGATGATAGCAAGCTATGATGGCACGTGCATAGAATAGAAGAAAAATGTAAATTATAAATGAGCACCAAGATTTTTTTCTTTTTCTTTTGCTTTCTTTTTTTTTCTCTCCTCTTTTAACTGTAACCAAATTGTGTCTTTCGGCATTGACACAACCATTTTATTATTCTAGCATTTCTCTCGACGATGCTCGGCGGATCACTAACTCTCTGACTAGTTTCTTCATTTGCCGTGCTACAATTGTTTCCCTGCCACTGTCCGTCATTATTACTACTGGATTGGTTGTGACCAGACCATGAATATAATCCCAGGGCTGAATCAACTGAACTTACACTATCGAAGAATACGGGTGACGAGGAGTTTGATATTGGTACTGTTATACGCTCGTAATTATCCGAATCAAGACCAAGACGATCGAAAAAGTTTTCCAATTCTGTAATGGACTTTGGTGGTCGTGGCGGTGGTGGTGGTGGTTGTTGTTGTTGTTGCTGCTGCTGCTGCTGATGTTTTTTTTTCTTACGCTCATAATTTGTACTGTTGTTATCGTGTCGCCGATAGCGATCACTTATGTCTGACTTTGAGCGGAGAATTGGGCGACCACGTCCCTCTTTCCATCCATCTGAGAATCTTGAATTACGAGTAGAACTGTAATCAGTTGGACTATTGCTACTCTCAGAATCATCAGTACTCAAGTTTCTTAAAATTGAAGGGGGAGTTCCACCACTAACGTGACTACTGCCTCTTCTAGATCGTTCTTTATCGGTCGAGTGTTGAGTCGAAGCTCCACTGTCACGACGTATGTGGCCCCAACATTCTTGTATTCTAGGGGGTGGTTCACTGCGGTGAGTGCAGTGCCCCGATGAGCCCCCTGAATCTCTAGCTGTTGCTCCATGGCTGAGTTTACTCGATCCTGATGACTTTTGAGTACGTCCACCCGATGATAAAACACTGTTGGCATCATTTCCTCCTGCTGATCCCAACGATCTTCTCATGTGTCTTGAACTTTGATAACAAACAGAGTCCCTCTTGAAACTATGATCCGAATAATCCGAGCTTGTTTCACAATCAGGACAACTAACATTAACATTAACATTAACATTAATAGGCTTGCTCGCTGAAGATTTTGTGGATGCTCTCGGTGATAATGATGCCCTCCGGCGTGCACTAGTATGTAAGTCGGGTAATGATTTATGGCAAATTGTAGTCTGGCAAATTGCCGGTGGAGAGCTAATCCCACTATTGGATTTATTATGATTTTTCGTTGATGTGTGCGAATGAGAATGACTCCTACCAAATTTGAATCGTACTTCGGGAGGAGATAATTGACAATTAACCGCAGGGGATAATTGACCGGATGGAGATGGCGATGGAGATTTAGGTGGTAGTGATGTGACATTGCTGGCATTTCCACGAATGGAGTAATTATTTTTTGATCCTGGTGAATCAATAAAATGAATATTCTCTTTGCTATCTGTGTTTAATAATTTTCGTAATTTTGCTTGAAGCTGATCGCCTCCTGCAGTGCTTGGGGGGCCCGATATAGCGCGCCTCTGCGGTACTGATATCAGTCTCGGGCTCTTTGGTGGTAATACCGGAGGGGGCAGTGTACGCTGCTCTCCAACTGAACCACCAGAACAACTGCAAATCATTGGCAAGGATTGTTGCTGTTGCTGCTGCTGCAGATTAGCACTACATGAAACTATATTTGTGCACTTTCGTAATAATCGTGGTGGTGCACCAGCATTTGTTGATGGAGCAACTTGAAGATGTCCACTATTTTTCAACTCCTGTTTTCGATCCAGTACTATTTCACTCTTTACGTAAAAAGCTTTCGATTCTTGCAACAATTCCACTGCACTCTTTCTCTTACCTAATAAAAAATTTACTTTAGCTCATTGATGAGAGTGAAAAAAAAAAGTTTATATTTACCAGTTTGATCACTTATCTGACGATGTTGAGTCCTAGTGTAAGTCGATGGTAGCGATGGCAGTCTCTGCATATCCCAATAATTTCTATTGCTATTGCTATTACCGTAGCTATTATTATTTTCTCGGAATATTTGCTGCTGTTGCTGTTGAGTGTTTGCCGATTTACTACAGGGTATTCTTGCCATAGCCGTCATCATCTTTCTCCCCGCTTGTCCCGGTATTTTGTCTCGTCTTATACGACTAATAAAAATCATAAAATCCATCAACCTGATGGTGAGTCTGTTTTTTCACTGCGATGATTTCCATTTCCGCTTCATTGTTTAGTACCTGCAACAAAAACCGTTCAAACGTTGAAAGGATTTTCACCATAATTTTCCTCTTGAGGAACTGCCTTATGTGGCTGTTTAATTCAAACGTTATTTTCTCATCTTATAATGGGCAAATAAAATGAATGGAGACAATTATGTATATGTACACTCAGTACAATTGAATTCTTCTCATTTATACACTTTACTTTTTTAACACTATCATACATAGACGAAAATTTATATACACGGAGACAAATTTTTTAGAAAAATTCTAGTGCTAGCACGGGAAAAGAGGCGCAAAGTGAGATCCGTTCAATTAGCCCCTCATGTATAGATATTCCAAATTTTTATTTTTTTCCTCATTGAAGTAGTTTTGAAGAAAATTGCGGGCTAATAAAAAACATTTGCTAGTTAGTACTTTATTTAAAATAAATTTTTGAAAAATCACCCCTGAAAAAAAAGGCGTTATCCCCCCTATTTCATTATTTCCAAAAAATTTTATCACCAATCGATAGCAAATTGTTTGAAGATTTTAGGGAGTTGAGAAAAAATCGTCAATGCAATCCTATTATTGTGTAAATTAACAATTCCAATTTCAAGTGAAAACCAGAGTTGATGACCAGAGTTTGTAACAGAGATGTCAGACAAGATATGAATGTTTTTTTTGGCTCAAATGGAAGAGCGGGTCGAGAAATGACGTGCTAGAGCCTCTAAACATGACAAATGTCTCTAAAGATGAT